TATGCCTTGGCCCGCCTAGTCGCCTCTTTCAGGAAGGGCTGATAGGTCAACTTGGCCTTGACACAAGTGTCACAGAACTCCACAGAGCTCACCATATTGAGAGTAAGACCCTCTATCAGTCCCTTCTCTACAGTGTGCTTGATGGCAGCATGCAAAATGTGGCCAAGGGCCTTGTGAAAATTGTGAACAGTACATCATTCACTTGCAAGATGTGCCTGATGTTTGACCTTTCCCACAACACTATATAGGCCCTCAACTTGAGGAATGGTGGCAATAACCATGTGATCAGGAGATGGAGACAGGATCTTACACATCCTATCCTCAAAGTGGACAGCCAGTCTGGCGGCAGTGATGTGATTAGTGGATATCAGTATGAAGGCCATGCTAGGTGCATATAAGGTGACCTTCAATGTCCCTAATGTTTTCTGCTTGCTGTTAGGCAGTTTGAGCTTGACATCCCCTTTTCCAATAGTGCTAAGGGTTGATCTGTTGACTGTGTGTATGTCCTGGGGGTCTATTGCTGCATAATTGAGGAACTTGGCTGGATCTGGGCAGTAGTGGGAGGTTGCCCAAGAATTGACAATTGTGCCTTCTTTGGCTGTATGTCCTCCTTTATTTCTCTGATTTGGGCCTTGACCCTCCTTATCACTGCCAGGCCTCCAGCAATCACTCTCATAGTGGCCTTTACAATTGCAATTAAAGTAGGTAATGTCCACATTCTCTTTGCTACTCACGCCTCTGGTCCTCTTATTCCTCCCAGGACCAGATTTGGCTACTAGAGCAAAGTTACTGCCCTTCTTGTTGCCACGTCAATCTAAGAGGAGCCTATGCTCATACTCTTTGGATACAATGTTAATGAGTTCCGAAGGACTCAGGGGTGTTTGTGTACCTTTCACAGCAGCATTTATCAATGAGAGTAGAGGCCAATATGATTCAGGAAGGGACCCTAGTAGGATCACATAGAAGTCTCTGTCCTCAATGGTGGCACCCATACCTACCAGGGACTCGTAGAGCTGCAGCATCTTGCTAAAGTGAGTTTTTACATTGCCATTCTCCTTACACCTTGTCTCTTGCAATCAACAACATAGATCTATTTGCATGAGTTTGGTTTTACCCTCATGAATGTCACATATCTTGGTCCCAATCTTCGAGACATCCTTGAGCTTCTGAACTCAGAGCAGAAGCACAGGCAACATTAGAATATATAAATGGCACTGGTTTAAATTTGTATTCTAATACTCCACATTGCTCACACCCTTGAGAATCTATCTCTGGGCACTATGTGTCTAGACTTGCACAGGTGAATGCATGCAAAGATTTGTTCACTGTTTTACACCATGGTTCACTTGAATTTTGTTAGATACCATGTTCAGATGGAGAAGTGGAGGGGTGGGGGCTTGGCTTCAGCTCTTGCATTGCACCCTTAGCCAAGTACATGCCCCGAATTTGAGGTGGAGCCAATGTTGTCTGATGATAGGACAGTTGAACTGCTTTGGTCCAACTGAGGGTAGAGGAAGTAATGATTACTAGTGGCAGGCCAACAAGTAGGTGGGCAGATGGAGCGGAGAAGTGGACAGGAGGCAGAAAGGATTAGAGGGAAGTTTTGTTGGGTGGAGGGGACAGGATGTAAAGGACTTAGAGCACAGCTTTAAGTCAGAAAGTGGAGGAGCAGAGATAACAACAAGACAAGACTCATTGTCCAGAGATGAGCAAGGATCTGTGGAGAATCCACACAGTAGAAACTGGTAGAGACAAAGTAATATCAAGACTGAGAAATACAGACTAAGTACAGGGTGTTTATATACTCTAAGTAAGAATGCAGTGAATAACAGAAGGCTATGTGCTGAGTGTACAACTTGTAAGTATGATTACACAAGAAAAACATGAGAGTCGGGTCAGATATTAATATGTACAACACAGATCAATAATCAGACAGCTATAGGAATAACCAGTGATCTGACAAGGATCACTATGTACCAAAAAGGGAAATATATGCCTAATGGGGAAAGGTCCAGTTGAATAGAACCTATATGGGAAGTAAATGATCAAGATAGCCAAATGGGAGTGCTGGTTGATCCGGCATGACTGAACAGACCAACTGTGTTGGGGCAAAGTAGAAATGAGGGGAAAGTGGGATAGAGTAGGGTCAGGTAGCCTGCTATGAGTGATGTTGGAAACAGTTGGATCTGATATATGACAAATTTCCACAGAACACCTAGGACTGTCCAGGTTTGAGTACAGTATGTTTTACCATTTTCATTTGGAAATGAACCGCTTTCAAACAGCACTTGAGCACCTCAGATTGGCATGACTTCATTGGAGATGGCGTTGAGATGGTGAGACCAATGAGCTGCCCTCTTTAAGTACATTGATGGATAAAATTCATGGTATGCTCAGTGACTCTGTGGTCTGTCCCCATTCATTGTGCTTCCTTATAGGCTGGTTATCTACCCAAGACTCCCTTTCTAGAATGTCGCAACCCCAAAGCCTTCAACTATTATATCCTGTATTTCTGGACCCAGAATTCCGGATTCTCCCCTATGAAAGCCCGGACTTCCATCCTGTTCTCTGTCCAGCACTCCAATTTCATCTCCGGACTCACACCTATCTCCTTTTAGATTACCGCTCTCCGGCTACTGGTCATACACCTTTCCGCCTTGCTTACAGATCTGTCTGTCTGCATTTCATTTCCAACCTCATTTCTTTGATCTGTTGTATACTTACTAATAGACTTTCCATATGCTTTGGGCATAGCTTTTCACTTTGCTGACTGATTACTTACTTGATATCTACAGTATATAAAATCCTGTAAAACTCCGTACCTCCTCAGTTCAAATATCATCTTAGTTCCTGCTCATTCCTGTTTCTCCAGACTTGAGTCGACCTCTTGTCCACCTCCGAGTCTTCAGGTTTATTCCTTAGGACTATATCTTCGGCTCTACCTTAGGGTGGTCTACCTCTGTTCCATTTCTACTCCAGACTTGTCCAAAGTAGTCTTCTGAACTCCCCCTGTGTCTGACCTCCAGACTTACCTGGACTTCTGTCGGACTTTCCTCCTGACCCTCAGAAATTAAGGGCATGTACTTGGGTAAGGAGCACAGTGCATGAGCTGAAGCCAAGCCCTTAGAGTTACTCTTCCCTTGAGCACGACCTTAACATCAACAATTACTCCCTACCATCCTCTCACATTACATCAGGGAACTGACATGAAAAAGATAAAGGTTGAGAAAGCATTATCTAAAGTAAAATTTATATAAAATCTGTCATAATTGTACTCCAAATGAGAAAGCTTTAAATACCCGCACTAAGTTGGATGAAAACTCCCAAAGGTACAATCATGGCAGTCAAATTGCAATTTCCTCCCAACTTAGCAAGCTGCGGCAAAGTTTTATAATCCTGGACTGTGTCAGATGAAAGCTGCCATCTCAGCATGGTTCTCACATTCTTGCTATTGATTTTACTAGAAAATACTTTTCACAAATGAATACAATTTTCATTACAGAATAGTGATACATGTCTTAGTAAGGCAGAAAACTATTGTATGAGAAAGAATTGTGAAAGAGGGAAATAAGTTAAAATAAAGAGCAGATTCGGTAGTAAAAGATAGAATCATGAGAGCAAGGAATGGACTAGAAAAGAAAGAGTCCATGAGTGATGTCAGGGAGGGAGGGCCACAAGGACAGACACTAATATAGGAGACTACAAACAAGTTATGAGGGCCAGGAGGGAAGGAACCATGAGGGCCATATGGGAGGGAGACCATGAAGGGGGGCTGGACCATGAAGGAAGGCCAGAGGGAGGACCACAATGGATGGCCAAAGAGGGACCACCACGGATGGCCAAAGAGAGCACCACCATGGAGGGACCACAATGAAAACAATGAAGGGCCCAGACTATACTGTGATAATGATAAATTAATTACCTAGCAATAGTAGTGTAATTGTAATACATGAATCAGTCTAATGAAGAGCACCACTACTAGCAGCAATGGTGATGTATCATTTGGAGGATCCAGTTTACCCAGCTCCCGGTACAGCTTCTGGCTTCCATCAACCTTGTGCCTATCTTCCTTTGCTTCTGATATTGGTCAGCTGCCTATATTTGACACTACATTATTTTTATCTCACTGTCTGTGCTTCCTTTGATTTGTCAGGCCTATATTTGGATTCCTAGCGATTCTTATATCACTGCATTATAAATAGCACGAGTGACAGAAATTTCACCAAGTCCACGCCAGGGGTAGAGACTGCGAACCAGATGCAATTAATGTATCACTCCTTAAAATTAGAACGAGTGATGGAGAAATTCTGTGAAGTCCATGCCAGAGGTGTTTTAGTCCTTATCCTTACTGACAATCATAAATGTGTGTGGTGTATGATTTCCTTCATGCAAACATGAGATGGACTCAAGAAATTTCATTACAAAACATAGGCATTTGCGCGGTATAAGTATATTATACGAGATTCCAAGATATAGATATTAACAACATTGAGTGGACGACATGGGCAACAAGAAAACAAAAAGACAGAGATATGTAAGAAAGTGTTACCAATTTGTTCCAATGGCATTGGCAGCAGCTGCCCAAGATGACTGGAAACGCTGCCGTTTGCCCCGACCCTTCCTCAATCAGCTCTGAGTTCTCGTTGGAGACAACCACTGCCCCCCCCCTTCCTCTGACGCTTAGCATGAACCATATCTGAGTTGGAACTCTTTATGTTCATCTTGGTGGGCTTGCGTTTGGAAGGCTTCGTTCCTATTAATGGCTGTGCTGCACCAACCACAGGGGACCCTCCAGGACAAGTCAAACTAGACATTGGTCCAACTACAGTGGCGGGTACAGCGGGATCAGCCAACATTAGTGCTGCAGGATGAGCGGGAGAGGTAGAATCAGGTCCAACTGCAGTGGCGGGCATGGCCGGATCAGCCAAAATCAGTGCCACAGGATGAGTGAGAGAGGTAGAATCAGGAACTGTGGTACAAGTAGCAGGGTCTGCAGGAGTTCAAACAGGAACACTAACAAGAGTGGCGGGAATTGTGATGGGAGTAGGAGTGGGAGTAGGAGTGCAATGGTTATAGGGAAGCTGACCTGTGTGAGAGGGAGAGGGTGAAGAAGATGGTAGTGAAGAATGAGAGAAAGAAAGGGGCGAGGAAGACGGTAGTGGAGAAGAAGAGGGAGGCAAGTCTATGTAGAAGTTGTAGGCTGGGAAGGCATCCTGAGGAGTAGGGAGTGATACATCAGTGGGAATCTGTCCCAAAAACATAGGTGGTCGTGCTGGTGGTTGATAGTTGGAGGGCATGGGTAAAATTGTCCGATTCAGGTCACGATCCTCTTCGTCGTCTTGACGAATGGGAGGCAAATCCTGGAAGAAGTTGTAAGCGAGAGCTTCCTGTGATGGATGAGCAAGTGATGTATCACGGGGTGTGAGTTCCTGTCCCAAAGGCATGGGTGATGGTCCTGAGAGCGCGAATGATGTATCAGGTATGTGTAAGGGAGAGGAAGGACTGGTGAGTGATGTAAGTGATGTATTGAGTGTGTGTAAAGGAGAGGAAGCGCGGGTGATGCTGGTGGGTGATGTGGTGTCAGTTGTAACGTCTGAGGGAGTGGAGCTGTTGTCATTGGCAATTTCGCCATCTTTTGACTGTGATAGTGATATTGCAGCCTCCGCTAAAAAATCAATACTGAGTCAACTCAAAAACAATGACAGAAACCATTGGACAACTTATGAAATGCGCGAGATGCAAATTCAAAGTAAGGTACCATTATCCTCTCCTCGAACTTCGGACACGCCTGATTGAACCAATTGCCAAGTGTAGTCGTCCCAATATGCAAGCTGCTGACATCCAGTTTGCCGCCATTTGTAGGGTCAGGGCCACCTAGCAAAATACTAAATGCCCATCCTGTTGAGTCGTGGAGCTCGCCAAAAAATGTCGACAGAATTTCTGTAAGCCAAGATATGACCCTGCTTGCTGTCAGCATTACAATTGCAGCAGAATATTAGGTGTCACTTACAAGTCCTTCAATGGCATCTTGCAGTCACTCGTGTCTTTCTCCCTCTTGTCCTTCATTTCTCTTACTAAGTTGGCGACTTCTTCCTTCACCTCCACTGTTTCATTCTCCCACCAGGATGCCAGCTGCCTTCGAACCACCTGTATCAGTGCGTTTCTTCAGGTCAGGTGCGTCTGATGACTCCTTCATGGCATCAAGTTCCTCCTTGACTGCGGGTTGAACACGTGATGCATAGTACATTTTAGAATAGACCTCAGTGGCCTTCAGAGGACGAGATTTCTTCCTCTCGTTCTTCATGATGCCACCGATGAGTTTGGTAACAATTGTGTTACCAGCGGCGTTTGCGCGGCGTCCCACCTTCGAATTTCCAAAATCATTCCGCAGTTTGATGATCAACCACTAATGTTAACCATGATGATTAACTGATATTGGAATATCCATGTGTCAATCAAAATACCTTATGAACCACGACCCTTCCTTTGGCTACCTCCTGGGCCAGCTGCGCCTCAGTAAGTTGTTGATCATCGTTTGAGACCTCTACAGGCCACTGTTCTTCCCATTTCTCAAAGAATGGTGGCCAGAAAGTAGTAAAGTTGCCTTTTTTTTACATTCGAGGAACTCATCCTGGTATGTCATGATAAAGTCTTGCTGCTCCTGGGTTGCCCAAGTGGGTGGTGCCATCTATCATATTCCATGACGGTCAGCACTTGACTCAATGTGAGGTAATTAACATAACATTGTGGACGTACACTTGTCGGGTCCTCGCGTGAAGATGCCAAATGAACACGAAATCCGAGCCAAGTAAGACGTGAAATGAAAAACTTCAGACTGCAAGCGCGTCTGTTCAGCCACAGACGTGATTGCTCCTGAATTTATTAGTCAGTCATTATTAGCCCTACTCACTGAGCACATTTGGCAAGCATTCTGCACGGATAGATATGACTGGTACTACATACTAAGTAGTGGTGTTGTATTGCGTAATTTGATGATTCAATCTGTGTTGCCCATGCGCCTTGATGAAGTAGTCTACCCCCAGCATAGTATGAATCAATAGATCTTCCACAGCTGTTAGCACTCTGCGAATTCAAAATACGGAATCCTGTGTATGATGGAGGTTGCAACCTGTCCCACATTCCTCAATAACACTCTCTACCTCGGACTCCACACATTGACGAAGTTCTTTCAAGCTATCAATGGCTCCCCTGCATGACGTCCAATGAATCTGGGTTATCTGGGTTAGAAACGAAGTATGTGCAAAGGCCTTCGACAAATTTTGCGCTCGAAGGGCCAATCAACACCTGCAGGCAGGCATCAATGTCATCGCATTTTTTGGTCCTATTTAGATTGTGAATATCAAATATGGCACAATACTCCCGAGATGATGTACCAGTGAGAGCGTTTCTTCTTGCCGTATGAACCTGTCTTTGAATACGACAGTTTGAGATCACTGCTTCAAGTTTGGGTACTTAGGTCAAGCACCCTGTGTGTAAAGTGTCACATACTCTTTCAACTTCGGCTTCATTTGATATCTCTCCTGCTTTTTGGCACGAATCTGTTCACTGGTGACTACATAATGATCGTTGAAGTTCACCTAATCGGTGAGTCGTGACAACATACCGTTCGTAATACATCCACCTGTAAGTGCATGCTGCTTCAAGTTTATCCTCAGGGGTATGGTACATGCATGGCCTTCCTACAGGCATTGCAGGCATCGATGGAGTGTCACTGCGGAGATGTTAGATGCCATTCACATCACCAGCAGGTATGATTCTCTCACCTAATATGCTGTCCTCCTTTCTCTCTTTTTTCCGTGCATAATTTGTTGTGGTGCTGACTGAAAAGTATCATCAGTCCCATCGACACGCAAGCCAAGACAAACAACACTACCATGCATAATAAGCACGCCGATAGCCACACGCAGCTTCTGCTCTATCTTCGTCAGTCTTGTGTAGTTGTGGTCGTGCCATGTGTCAAAAGTAGCTTCAAACTAAGTGGGTTGATATACTCTATATTTGTGTAAGAGTTTTGAACAGATTCGTGTAGGAGAACAATTTGGAGATTTACTCAAGTGTATGCTACTATTTCTCCCATTGAAACTCACAACCAAGCAAACATCGCTCTTTAAATTTGCACTACTACCACCCTCAAAGACACAGTACTAGTGCGCATCTCAGGTATGGTCTCACTCCATGATGATATAACATACTGATTTGTGATTTTCATAGCATACTAAATAAAATGTCGCTCATTGAGCTTGTCGAGGGTGCAAGAATTCGGTTGCTGCAGGAGGTTCGTGTTGTGAAGGGCAGCACTTGTTCACAGTAGAAGAATTGCAGTGTTCCTTAGTAGAACAGGACTTTCATAGACCTTGATTGTTCAATGTATTTCACTGCTCGTATGTATTGGTATGAACAACTAAACAATATTGTGCGCTGCTAAGATCTAGACTACCTGGACTGCCTCGCCATGTTCTATTGCGCACTTCACAATCACGATACCTTCCTCAACAGTATCTACTTTGTGAAATATGGCACAAGAAACACCAAGAACCTTGGGGCCAGTAGCATCCCTGGGACGAAAGTTTAGTCAACACAATAAATGAAGCACATTTAGCTTACCACCCAGAGAAAACACCAATATAACAACCCCTTGTAATATAGTACAAGGGCGCCTTATCGTTGATGGGCACGTTGAAATACTTGCCACGGTAGAAACGGACGTGGGAGTCATCGGCGAGAGAATTGGCTGCATTCGCTGCATCTTCATCATCGGTGGAGTCCCTGTTATCAGAATGTACAAAGAGGGCGACAGTGGAGGGAGCCCTGGTGGTTGCAGGGGAAGGATCTTCAGGAGTGGGCATAGATATTTCTGTGGCCATCTGAGGAACAGGCACAGAAATATTGGTGGTAGAAGCAGCAGGGACAGGCCCTGCAACATTGAGGAAGCCATGTCAGTCATAATAAATCAAAGACACCAAGAGATTCACCTTCAGATGTATCTGGACCGGAACGAGCCAGCAATGCAACTGATATGGCTGTCCTGTCTTCGAGACAGAGACCCTGCAGCATATTTATCAGACCTTCCAGTGGAACAGACACCACAGTGTCGGTCTGACTGGAGGGAGACACAGGTTGAGTCATGATTTCAAAGATGGATGTTGAATAGCAGAGTAGCTGCCAGTAGTAGATGATGTATCGCTCTGCAAGGCGGGGATTTATAGTCCAGGAATTCGAGCACGCACCCATAATCCTCAACAGTGAGCACAGGCAAGTCCACGGAGATACTCCAGCTCGTAGACCTTCACTTGGTGTTGTTCATCCCATATGGGGCCGGAACATATGCGAATCTTGAAAGTTGTAATACATGGCTGACTAAGCTCTGCAAAGATAAACTGATCATCTATTCCTTCATACAATGATCTTCGTCATTTCGTCAGTACCTACTGCGATGGACATTGGCTGAGACAACTAACAGGTAATTGTAACTTCACAAAACTGACTGATATTCGCCGTTTGCAGGCTATGCTATTCTATCTTGCGATGCAGCTTGTATTGTGTTGTCCACAACATGTAGCTGGTTATAGTCTTCTCCGAGGTCAGTGGAAAGGTCTGGCGCTCATTACGTGCATGCTCACTTACTGCTCGATAGATTGATGTTTGGGCTAACAGCTTCGCATGTGTATTGTCAGTGAACGGAGTATTAGTGTCACATCCCAGCCACAATGCGTCAAACTCCATTAGCAACACCGACGGACTAGATCTATTATGCCTGTGGGACACCCAGCCAAGAGTGCTCGGATTGAGCACACTCAATTTGTACCACCCACGTTAACCACAGACAACGCCCCACTGTTGTGCCTTCGTACAGCAGGGATTACCACTGAGGGTTGCACGAATGTCAACACTTGCTATATTCCTGCAAGCACTATTTCTCCCCCCAACTTATCAAACATTGGTTCCAATGAAAGGATGCTCTTCGGTGGTTGGGATGAATGCCCTGCAGAATATGAGGAGGGGTCAGCAGAAATCATTTGCGAACCGTCCTCTGACAAGCGGAAATGCACTGCTGCGGTAAGTTTATTTGTCTTTTAATATCTTTACTGCAGAACTCAAATTACCCCTCAGGATGCACCGTTACTAGCCTGGATCCCTGAGCGCCAGGTGTTTCTAGATGAAACACTGCACCTCAAGGGTCGTGGAAATGCAGGAGATTTATGTTATTGTGGTCTGCCCGCACCCGTTTTCAGATGTTGTGATTGCTTTGGGATGCGAATGCTTTGCAACCAGTGTGTGCTTCACAGTCACATGAGCAATCCCTTACACAGGATTGATGTATGTACTTTTTTTATTTGCTATATTAATTAAAGACTCGCAGCACCCTATCAGATGTGGAGTAACTCGTATTTCCAGCGCACCTCCCTGAAACAAATCGGTCTCCGCATGCAGTTAGGTCATAATCCAGGCGAGATCTGCTACAACCCTCATCCCTCTACCAGGGATGACTTCATTGTAATTGACGTCCATGGCATTCATGAGATCGCGCTCAATTTCTGTGGCTGTGCAAGCAGTCAGGTGCGCTATAAACAACTACTTCATGCTTGCTGGTATCCAGCTACAACATCAGAGCCTCATACTGCTGTGACCTTTTGTCTACTCGAGCACTTCCATCTCCTATCATTTGAGAGTAAGGTTTCCACATATGAATTCTACCACTCCTTAGTGAGACAAAACAATAATGCAGGGTTGTTACCTATAAGGGTATGTAGCTGGTATGTATGGATACTGCGAGTACTGATATATGGCTTCTAGGATCACTACTCTGCGTTCATGTGTATCGTGCATGAATGGCGTCATCTCATGCAGATTCATCGCGTGGGACGAGGCCATGATCCTGCTGGTGTCAATGCCACCGCTGCGGGTGAATTAGCTGTGCAATGCCCAGCATGTCCGCACCCTGGGAAAAATATACCAGAGGGCTGGGAAGATGCACCACTAACTGTTAGGTAAATATTAATTACATGCTAAGCAAGGTACTCATACTGATGGGCCACTATTCAGGTGGAAATATGTGTTGTTTATTGCAATTGATGCGAACTTTAGGCTCAAACGGAAGGCAGTCTCATCGGATAACGTCAACCCCCAACCTCAATTCTGGGTGGGCGTATTTTGTCAAGGAGGCTGCATACAAATTGTACCTGGCAGATCAAGCCAGTGTGAAACAAGAGTGCAGCATGTGTGTAAGTCACAATGCTGTTAATTTAGCGGATACGAAGTCCTCCTGTGGTCTCGCAGCAACGGGTGTTGGGGCTGTGGACTGTGCTAGACACGACATGAAGCTGGCAAACGGTGTCAGAGACTTGCAAAAGGGCGAGAAGTGTGTTTTATTTCATCGAAACTCATTATCATTACTAATAATAGTCGTATATAGATACGTCAATATGGATTACCTCGTGTTCTCGTCACTCTTGGCCTTCACAGTCACGATTATCAATATTTTGTACGGCATTGCGTGCCAATGGCATAAGAAGCTTTGGGTGCAAATGGAAGCCATGCCGTCAAGATTACACATTCCTCACCACTCCATGACCGTCCGGTTCTTCGTTCCAAAATTCCACCTGAAAGCACACATAGATGAGTGTCAGCAGAATTTCTTGTTCAACTGGACCAAATATGTCGGATGAATGGACTGGCGAAGCTCCAGAGCGAGGATGGTCAAATATAAACCGTGTTGCTTCAAGTACCAAAGAGATGGGTCCAGGATTGCGTCAGGATACCCTCAATGACCATTTCGGGGATTGGAACTGGAAGAAAATCATGGTGTTAGGTCTGTTCTTTCTCAGATCCATTATCCTGTACTGATTCAGGAAACTAGGCCAAACACTCCTGCTGCAAGATTCATGAAGCTGTCAAGTGGAAAAAGGAACACAGGGAAGCAGCTCGCAGAGCTCGAGAATACCATCCAGCCTACTCTCATCATTCAGTGGAGGAAGGAAGTAGAAGCCTGGGAGGAGGATAACTCTAAATCCAATCCATTTGAAAGTCGTTATGCTCGTGCGTAATCTTTGTTTGTTTCAGTTCATAAATTAATATCTAGCAGGTATTACACAGGCTGCAGTTCATCTACAACTCACTGAGCTTGAAGCTCACAAACTTCAGGCTGGGTCCAACATCTCCTTGCACACCAATATATCTTCCAGCAGGACTAATCACTACCGGCATGGATCTGCAAGACCAACAGTGAGTCTCCTCTGCAAAAATCAAGTTCACCACACTAAGACACAAACCGGCAGACAGCGCCTAAAAATGGATATCATCAATGTGTCTCTCCACCCCACGGACAAGCAGAAGAGTAACATGCAGATGTGCATCACTACCCTGCAATGTCGTCTGGATGCCTGGGCTCATATTCAAGAGTTGTACATGCCTGTCATGTCCCAACTGCGTCATCGAGCATCTGACACTAGTACGTCAAATACAGTGGAGCTAAAGCCTAAAGCCTTCAAGCTGTGGCTCCCATTGGAACTCCAACCAATGACAGTGTGTGACGATAGGCTAGCAGTGCACAAATGGGAGTTGCGACACGCACAAGCACTAGATGCACTCACCGAACTCCGTTCATATCTGCGCCTTCGGTCGCATATGTATATTTACAAGGATAGAAATGTGCGCGGCCAAGCGGCTTCTACACGCACACAGGCCATCATCGACGGTGTGGAACTGAGGAAGTGGGTTAGCATTGAGAAGTACCGATGTGCATGCAACGCACTGTTAGCTCTCAGCCGTCGACTCCACAAGTCTGGCTGGGAAATTTGCCTCCCACCGCTCTTGGATTTGGATGTCAGGCCAATGGGTGACATGGAGAGGCAGGGTACTGGGACCATCTCATGGATCTGGTTAGACTCACATGCAGACAACAGCAGCTCAGAGAATGAGCAAGTTCAGGACTGTGAGTTCATGAGGCACAGTTTATATGATGCTAACTACAAGGTCATAGGTGTTCGCGTGGAGTGGTGTAAAGCACGTGCACGCATGAACTGCTGGTCAGAAGAAGTCAAGCTCCTACTAGAGGAGATGCAGAGAGTCATAGTGTTCTTGAAGTGGCAGGCGGAGTGGTGGAGTGGGCGGGCTAGTTCTCGAGCCCTCAAGCCGGCTGATGAGGAAGGAGTAGTTGCATATGCATGTCGTCAGGCTGTGCTGCGTCTCTCACTTGTGGCCTCCTTTCAGGACCTGTGGAGAGACATACCGGTTCTTGCAAGTGCCGCATTCAACATGCCAGATGACAGTGAAGATGTCACACCTACCATTGATGAACAGCCCCAGTTGTAGGACAATTTGTAGCACGTCATTCATGTACTACCACCTTGATATATTTATATTACACATGAGTTATCAGAAGATTCAATTGATCAAGATCACAAGGTACCAATGACATACAAGAGTCACCGACGACATACGAAATCTGTGAGATCGAGAAACAACATACGAGAGGCACCGACGACATACAAGATCTGTGAGATCGGGAAACGACATACAAGAGGTACCAATGACATACGAGATCTGTGAGATCAAGCCTTGTTGCCTACTAGGGGACAGTATGGCCTAGGGAAGTTATGTATTACTGGGCACTATACAACAGACTGATTCGTGTATTACAATTTCGCTATGATAAGAGTAAGTAATACATTACTATCCCAGCTACAGGTGAAGGGCCAAAGAGAAGACCACAATGGGGAGCCAAGAGGAGGGCAAAAGAGAAGACCACAATGGGGGGCTAAGAGGAGGGCAAAAGTCCATCACAGTCCTGGTGGTAGTGCTGAGAACAAGTTGAACTTCAATTCAGAACTTGCGTGAAAATTTTCAAGTCACTTACCTAAGTGTCATGTAAGCACAGGCACTGGGTAGCATTAATATTGTTGCAATGTGATGCTGGATTACCAGAGCTACCAATGACCACCAGTGACCATTTTCCGTCACTGTGATAAGGATTCTGTCAATTCTTTATCACAATTGCAGTTGTCTTGCAATATCTTGTCCTTCAATGCAATTTGTTCATCATTATATATCACTTTATCTAGCTTTACCATTGCATATAATCCCATGGATTTTCGTTCTGATTTTACCAAATCAATCTAGGAAAAACCATTTCGCAGTGATACCCTGATGTAAGCCTCGAGCACTTCTGCACCTGCCAGTGCACCCCCACACACCGAATTGCACAGATTGCATACCCCTGGCTTTGACGAACAAAATAATGTGCATCTCAATCCCAGATGAGCTCTACTAATCTTACAGATTTATCCGTCAACGATGGTGAACGGAACTTTATCAGGGTCAAATATTCCTCCATCGCTCAAAACACTCCTCACCACTCCAAACACTTTACTCACGGTTTGAAGTTCAAGCCAAGCACTCAGATCTCATTACTGTGTATCGTAGGCATCAGCATCCTTGTTTATAATATACAGCACTACTGATTTTCGCTTGGTTCGAAGGTCCGAACTCGTTTACGTACTGGCGTTCGGAGAAAAGGCGTTGGAATCAGACTGAACCGAAAAATTGTGTTCCTGAAATGATGGTGGCGACCTCGTGCCCTAAGCCTGAAGTTTGCTCGTCGCCTGACGTAGAATTCGCGCACTGGCCTACTCGTCATGGGGGAATCAACGAAATCAATGAAGTCAAGGGAACGATTGATTAATATTGGGAGCCTAAAAGCTTGAGCTCTACAGGAGGTTCGTGGCCTGAGGTGGCGTTGATAGCGATTAGTAAGTCTGGGTTCAAGTACCCCTTCTTTTGGTTAGACCTATCTCCACCGCATGCCCCCGCATGTATGATTCTCAAGGTCTACTAGTAGCAGAGCATATCAGGGTGAGAGGCTTGGAGAAGAAGGAGGAGGCAAGCAAAGGATGAGGCACATGCGAAGGAGTCAGTGAAATAATATGCAAGAGGTTCTGAATTCGAACGTTGTCACAGTGAGCCGACGGTCAGTATGTGCAACGACTTCCCACGCAGTCGAAAAAGGTAATATTTATACTGCAATATACTGTAGTAGTACCATTGGGCCTCGGCAAGATCTATCAGGGTCTGTTCTCGTGTCCATAAGTAGCGGGGTTCATGTAATTGGGCAACTAGGCGTCCAGCACGGAGCGCTGAGCGCCCATCTCCAAATATAAACTCACCAGGACTCTTCCTCACGCCTGCAGCATGAACTGATTCCCAACGCTAACCATCATGGCAATGAGAGCACTGGCAGCCGCCTTCAACAGAGTGCGTCAAGATGACTCGAAGGACGTCCCTCTTGAAGACCTCAAGGATACAGCTTTGCCACCTGCAGTGCCTGCGCCCCCGTAAGTTCTATTCATGTTCTCTTTTTGAATATTTCTTTGTATTTGTCAACTGATGCTTTTACCAGATATCGACATGCTGCACCGTCGGGACCATGGCCATGGATGGACGTTAACGCCGTCGTTTTCAAGAGCTCTCCAACTGTCAATATTGATCAATCCTGGCCAGGGTATCCTCAGAACCAGTTTGGGAACTGGACTCAGGATCAAGTGGAGCGCAGCCAGATGCTCGAAAGGTGTTCGAAGAATCAGTCTAGCACCGTTTATTGGATGGATGTACTTCACAGCCGGGAGTTTGCCGCCTCAAACATTGGAGGGAACGGTCATATTACGGTAGTGGACACTCAACGTGAGGGATCAGAGGGTGAATTTTGGAATATATTACAGGGGCAGGTGAGTCTCATTTTTTGCTGGTATGCTGGTTGGGGCGTGATATAGGATTTGCAGCGACCAAAGAATATCCGGGTGCGATCGTTATTCGTGGATGACTTAACGTCACCTGTCTTACGCATGCTTGGGACAAAGTGTGTAGCATCTTTTACTCGTCTATTCGCTCTGAGGTCTTGTACATAGATACAACATCGAGCCATTCTTTTTCACGTCTTCCATTAATTGGATACCCTCACGATATCAGGAAGCGCCTATCCATGGAGAAGGAGACCGTAAGTCCAAACCTTCCATTTTGAGTTGCATGGCTGATACGTGTGACAGACATAACTATTACCCTGCCATTTGTACGAGCGATGCCGGGATGTCCAACACTTAAATCCGCGGGTAAGCGGCCCATCACCTGTCGTAGTCGCCCTGTTCACCTCCGACAGGTACCAAAATCAACACCCAGGCTCATTATCCTATGGGCGGTATGTACATCGATGTTCGTACATTCACGCTCTGACATCCCTCAGATCAGATGCTCGTGATCGACCTCCTCGCAATCCACATGGTCCGCGGTGTAAACACGAACACCATTATCTCCTACCATCCCGATTCTGCATGGCGCCGAACTTCCGCGAAGCAACTCCACTCGCTCATGCAGCTGGTGGGGGGTAGTGTGTACTGGCAGAAAATATTCAGCAAGTCCGAAGACCCGACCTTCGTGTTCCTCGCGATTTTGTGGTATGCGCTATATGCATGGGATGAGTCCTTTGAGTTGCTAGACAACCATGTCAGTGATCTGGTAAGCAGGCCTGGTGCGGAGTGGAAGTGATGTTACTGAAGCACATTTAGGAATCACAAGTGCTGAAAGATCATGGGCTCAGTCGCGAGCTTCATATCCTCCAAGCGCATCTTCTGCACTATCAAGCGCTCCTTCATAGCTTTGAGGTATCAGTAACATTTATCGAGAAGACCCAGAATCCGGCCATGGAGTCCAGTGTCTTTTCTGACGAACAGCGCGTAGAGTCGAATGGACTTATGAAGAGGGAGTGCGAGAACCTCATCGGCGAAATAGATCGTCTTGAGAAGCGACGCATGATGATGAGCAGCCGACTGAAGAATGCGACGGACCTTGCTTATGCTAGTGTCAATCTTCAGGACAGTAAACAGACGCGGACGCTGACTGAGACGACAGTCAGGGACTCGGCGGCCATGAAACAGGTATCCTTCTTCATCAAATCGAAATGGCTTACCAGGTACTGACAAACTACTTTTCTGAGATTGCGTACCTCACGATGATCTTCCTACCGGCAAGCTTCTTAGCCGTAAGCGTTTAGGTCTTTCGTGCGCACCCTATCTGACCACCTATGTCCTCAGTCCGTCTTTGGGATGAACGTCGCAGAGATCAATCCAACATCTCTAGAGACAATCCCTCACTACGTCGAGACCACTATTTCGCTCACGCTCCTCACAGTTTATATCGTCATCACGCTTCAGACGCATAGCTCATTCCACAAGGACAATGCCACGTTCTTGCAGCGTGCAGCGTGGCCGGTTCTTTCTCTCAGGAGGATTGTGTTCAAGACACCGGCCGGGGCCAAGAATGCAAGCGCGAAGACGGTGGATGACATGGCGTGATGAGATTGATGATGGATTCACGACATACATACAAGCTTCCGACTTATGATTCGCTGAATGACTACTGATGCCGTTTGCTCTGTCTATACTGTTCCCACATATTTTTAGAGATCTACGATGTACCCGTGTCCATTTGATACTCCCTCGATAATCAAATTTACATTGCACAATCACTAGATCTGAGTCCGACCCGCGAGTCAAGCAGCTCGAAAATTTCCCAGACATCATGATCACTCCGTGGACCGTCAGATACCAAACCAACCTCCATTTACAAGCTCATTCCCTCATCAGTAGCCCCACCAGATCCCCTCCCCCATCAGCTTCATGTGAGCGACCTCGACCAGAAATTTGGTTTCATCAACCTCTCCACTGCGTCTGGGATGCCGCGATTTTCTGTGGTGAATATTCGGCTGTAACTCGATATGATAGTACCTGGCCTTGGCTACAGATCCGAAATTCCGAATGCCGTTCAGACCCAAAAGTCTTGGCAAGACTGCGGAGATTTGTACATGTTGGTGAAGTTTGAATTTGTAGTAGGTGTTGTGGTCGGACAGTCCTCTGCTTCATAGTCGTTATTGCGCTTGTGATCGGAACACGGCACGAATTAGTCTCCCCTAGCCAGCCCTGGCCCCTATATAGACGAAGGAAGATAGTCGTTCCTTGACACGAATAACAAAACAGCGCTCGTTTTGCGCTAAGAGATTTCACAAACTGTATGTATGTATCGTCTTCCAATTGCAATTGCAGTTCGCCGTCAGTTTTTAGTGGACAGCTGGCCATCCGAGCCTGGATTAAGTATCTTGAGCTTTATGTCGCTTCTGTTCCCTGCCTTCGTCGTTATTGACACTAACTTCAAGGAGGAGATCACGCACACGAAAGTTATTCAGTCCACATAGATGAGTCAAAATGAGAGCGGAGTCTAATAAGGACATCGTGATTCGCTAAGCTGAAGAACCTTACCATCTAAGTTCACCACCACTCGCTCAATTCTAACCAACACTTTACTGTGACGACCTTCTTTCCTCACCAACCTCGCAGGCGAACACTACCGCACAGACGACATCACAATATCCAAACAGCGCCGGTTTTAATCCGTATTCTACTACTCCACATCGTTCGTACCCTGGAGGATCTATCTCTTGGCACTACGTGTCTGGACTGGCACGGGCGAATGCATGCGGAGATTTGCTCGCTGTGTCATGCCTACCGCCCACTTAAATTTCTGCAGAACACCAGCGGGACCGTCCAAGTTTGTTGAGTACAGTAGGTTTTACCATTTTCACTTGTTGATGAACGCGCTCAACTGGAAATGAACCGTTTTCACGCAGCGCTTGAGCGTCTCAGACGAAGTCACGGCAGGCGTGACTTCGTTGGAGACCACTACATAGTGGTGTTGAGATAGTGACACTGACACTCCTCGCCACTCCAAATACTTTACTCCCGCTTTCAAGTTTAAGACAAGCACTCGGACGCCACTACTCCATACCGTAACATCAGCATATTCATTTTCATATATAGCACACCGTCCAGGGTACGGCCGTACACTGTATACTTATGGTACTACTGATTTTCGCTTGGTTCGGAGGTCCGAAGCCGTTCGGTCCAGAGTTCGGCCTTTTGCTCTGAACCGAACCCACTGGTGAGGTCGGAGAAAAAGGCCTCACTGAATCGGACAATTCTGTTCCAGGAATGATGGTGGCGGCCTCATGCCCTATAGGCTTTAATTATGTCATCGCCTGACGTCGAATTCGCGCAATGGCCTGCTCGTCGCGGGGGTGTGGATAAAGCCGGTGAAGTAAAGTCTCGCTGCTAGTATAAGAGTCCACTTGATGCTGAAAGCTTGAGCTCCTCAGGAGGTTTGCGGCCTGAAGTCGCGGTCGATGATTTGCAATTTATAGTAAACCTGGATTCAATATTAATTTACCCACCCCTTCTTTAGATAGGGCTACATTGTGATCGCTATCGCATGCCCCTCGCATGCCTGATTCTCAGGGTCTAGCAGCCCATGAGGTGAGAGGCTTGTGCGTGAAGAAAAGACGGGTCAGGCAAAGGATGAGGTGCATTCGAATGAGTCAGTGAAATAATAATACAGGGGGTTCTGAATTCGAAGCTTGAGCTTCTTCGAGTTTTTGTGTGAGCCGTTATCAGCGAAGTCGGTATGACACGTTCAACCTGGTCCAAAAAGGCAATATAAGTAGTAACTGAGATTACTGAATCAAGCAAGTTCAACACATATGGCCATAGTATCGGGTCTGTAAGTAGCGGGGTTCATGCAATTGGGCACTAGGCGTACAACACTAATGAGCGCCCATTTCCATAAGAATATAAATTCATCAGCACCTTTCCTCACGCCTGCAGCATGAACTGATTCCCAACGCTAACCGTCATGGCAGTCAAGACACTGAAAGCCGCCATCAACAGGGTGCGTCAAGATGACTCGAAGGACGTTCCTCTGGAAGACCTCAAGGACACAGCTTTGCCACCTGCAGTGCCTGCACCCCCGTAAGCTCTGTTCATGTTCTCTTTCCTACCTTGTATTCGCCGACTGATGCTCTTACTAGATATCGACATGCTGCACCGTCGGGACCATGGCCATGGATGGACGTTAATGCCGTCGATTTCAAGACCTCTCCAACTGTTGATATTGATCAATCCTGGCCGGGGTACCCTCAGAACCAGTTTGGGAACTGGACTCCAGATCAAGTGCGGCGCAGCCAGATGCTCGAAAAGTGTTCGAAGAATCAGTCTAGCGCCATTTACTGGATGGATGTACTTCACGACGGGAGTTTCATATCCCCAGATATAGCCCCAGATATGGGAGAAAATGGTCATACTACAGTAGTTACCAGTCAACGCGAGGATGACTTTTGGAATATGTTACAAGGGGAGGTGAGTCTCATTTTGTGCTGGTATGCTGGTTGGGGCGTCATATGGGATTTGCAGCGACCAAAGAATATCCGTGTGCGATCGTTATTCGTGGATGACTTAACGTCACCTGTCTTACGCATGCTTGGGACAAAGTGTGTGGCGTCTTTTACTCATCTATTCGCTCTGAGGTCTCGTACATAGATACAACATCGAGCCATTCTTTTTTACGTCTTCCATTAATTGGATACCCTCACGATATCAGGAAGCGCCTATCCATGGAGAAGGAGACCGTATGTCCAAACCTTCCATTTTGAGTTGCATGCTGATGCGCGCGACAGACATCACTATTACCCTGCCATTTATACGAGCGATGCCGGGATCTCGACCACCATCCGCGCCTCCAACACCATCCGATCATGCGCCACACAATGATACACCACCACAATCCGCAGGTAAGCGGCCCATCACCTGTCGTAGTCGCCCTGTTCACCTCCGACAGGTACCAAAATCAACACCCAGGCTCATTATCCTATGGGCGGTATGTACATCGATGTTCTTACATTCACGCTCTAACATTCCTCAGATCAGATGCTCGTGATCGACCTCCTCGCAATCCACATGGTCCGCGGTGTAAACACGAACACCATTATCTCCTACCATCCCGATTCTGCATGGCGCCGAACTTCCGCGAAGCACCTCCACTCGCTCATGCAGCTGGTGGGGGGTAGTGTGTACTGGCAGAAAATATTCAGCAAGTCCGATGACCCGACCTTCGTGTTCCTCGCGATTTTGTGGTATGCGCTGTATGCATGGGATGAGTCCTTTGAGTTGCTAGACAACCATGTCAGTGAACTGGTATGTAGCCTCGTGCAGAGTGGAAGTGATGTTGCTCAAGCACATTTAGGAATCACAAGTGCTGGAAGATCATGCGCTCACTCGCGAGCTTCATATCCTCCAAGCGCATCTTCTGCACTATCAAGCGCTCCTTCATAGCTTTGAGGTATCAGTAACATTTATCGAGAAGACCCAGAATCCGGCCATGGAGTCCAGTGTCTTTTCTGACGAACAGCGCGTAGAGTCGAATGGACTTATGAAGAGGGAGTGCGAGAACCTCATCGGCGAAATAGATCGTCTTGAGAAGCGACGCATGATGATGAGCAGCCGACTGAAGAATGCGACGGACCTTGCTTTTGCGAGTGTTAATCTCGAGGACAGCAAGCAGACGCGGACGCTGACAGAGGCGACGGTCAAGGACTCGGCGGCCATGAAACAGGTATCCTTCTTTCGTCAAACCGAAGTGGTTTACCAGACACTGACAAACTGCTTTTCTGAGATCTCGTACCTTACGATGATCTTCCTACCGGCAAGCTTATTAGCCGTAAGCATGTAGGTCTTTAGTGCGAAACCTGTCTGACCACCTATGTCCTCAGTCCGTCTTTGGGATGAACGTCGCAGAGATCAATCCAGGAACTTTAGGGACAATCCCTCACTACGTCGAGACCACTATTTCGCTCACGCTCCTCACAGTTTATATCGTCGTCACGCTTCAGACGCATAGCTCATTCCACAAGAAAAATGCTACGTTCTTGCAGCGTGCAGCGTGGCCGGTTCTTCTTCTCGGGAGGATTTTGTTCGAGCTATCGGCCGGGGCCAAGAATGCAAGCGCGAGAACGGTGGATGACAAGGTGTGATGAGATTGATAATGGATTCACGACATACCTATATACATACACTATTCCAAGTTATGATTCGCTGTAATGACTACTGACGCCGTTTGTTATCGCTGTACTGTTCCCACATATTTTTGAAAGATCTCACTGGCTGTGTCGTCTGCTCGCGTATACAATGACTATACATTCCATCGATAAGCTTACGCTGTACTTTCGAAGACTTTCGAGCCCCAGATCTGAATCTGCCCTGAGTCGAGCTCAAGTCTAATCCATAATCTCAAAAGACACCATGGCCACTCCGTCAGATGCCAAACCAACCTACATTTACAAGCTGATACCTTCATCAGCAGCCCCACCAGATGCTCTCCCCGATCAACTCCCCGTGAGCGACCTCGACCAGAAATCCGGCTTCATCCACCTCTCCACCGCACTCCAAGTCCCCAACACCCTCAAATTCTTCTTCAAAGACGACGTCAGAGTTTACGTCCTCCGTATCCCGTACGATCCTGTCGATAAGCACATCAAGTGGGAGGACCCAAAGGCTGAGGTGTGTGGTCCACGCGGAGGGGAGGGCATGTTTCCGCATCTCTACAATGAGTTTAAGCTGGGAAAGGACGAGGTGGAGAGCGTGCAGTCTTGGGAGAACGGGCCTGATGGGTGGGACTCGGCCCTGCAGGCAGCGGAAGCATGGCTCGCTTACTGACCATGATGATATGTGAGTTCTTCTGTGTATCGTTGCAATGTAGCGATGAGCTGAAACTTGAAAGCGAGGCAGTGTCCACGAAATTATGCATGTACCGTAGACCTTCAACAGGCTGCAGGTTGAACGAAAAGATCCGATACAGATACACACTACAAATGAACACATCGTGTCTTTACACGCATTCACTTCACGGAGGAGAATATAATTAAACACTGTCTTGCTCTGGCCAGCTGGTCGCTCAGCGTTGGTTCCCCATGTTGCGTCCAATACAGTCCTTGAGAATGCCAATCATGGGAAATGTTCGTCACTGTGGCTATTAGTAGTACGAGAGTGACAGCCTGTAGGCCTACCTCACCTTCTGACAGTGAATGTCTTACGTTATAGTGATGGCTGCCGAATTCAAAACTATGTCCCATCGATGATGTGATACGCAATTGAAGTTCTCCTTCTCCGTTTCCTCGTGAAGTCCGTGAAATTGTGCATAGGGACCATCCCTGCTTCAAAGACCTTCAAGAAGCTGTATATGGCGCAAACAAAGGCAATTTAATCCAGATATAAATCAAGTATGAAAGTTAAACCAACTTCACGGCATGTCATGCTATTAGTATTTACCCTTCTGCTTCCGACTCTGCCTTCGCCGAGTTAACAGAAGACAACTGAATACTATCCTGTTCTGGCCTAGCTATTCGCCCAAAGTTGGTCCCATCTGTTGTGTCCGATACACTCCATGTGAATGCTATAGACGTACGTGCTGTAGCACTTCGGATCGACCACTCGCGTGTTATTGCCCGCCCCCGTGCTACACGGGTGATAATGAGCAATTGAGCAATGCCCTATTTCAACAAAATGCTAGTGTCAGAGACGTAAGTAATTCAGGTTCTTGTCTGCTTACCTGGACATTGTTAACAGACAGGAAAAATAGATTGAAAACACCCTCAGAATGCAAAGCAGAGGAAACTATAAGGATAATGCAGAAGGTGGTGTATAACATGGCGGACTCGATGAGCATGAGGATGACGGTATCGTAGGTGCTAGAATCATAGTGGGCCATGAGCTGCTTCATCTGGCCTCGCATGATGAGCAAACGATTCGTCACGAGAATCGTATAAATCATAGTGAACCCTACTTCCATGCAGAGGTAGAGAAGCTTGGTGTTGATTTTGAAAAATACGGTCCCGGTGCTCGCCTGGATCAGGATGAGAATAGACAATGCTGCAAGATGTCAGTGATTGCTGTCGCTTGGTAAATGATAAACCACACCAAACATGGCAAGATAGAGTGTGATCATCGGGATCATCACGGGTCTTGCCCGATCCCAGATCACAGAGCATCGGTGAAGCTAAGCATTGAAAGTATTAGGTTTGCACCTGTTCATATGGCGAATTATATAGCTCACAAGTAGGGCTTGCATAAACCACGCCATGATGTAATAACTAAACTAGACGTCAATGCTAGAGGAGGTGGACGGGAAGGGCACTTACGTGGAAAGTGTCACAATGTTGATGCGATAATTCATTGCGTTCTCGATTAGCGCGAGCGGACCACCAGGCGCATCGCGAAGGTCTATCCAAATCATCTCGGTATATCTCATGTTCGTAGCTACATCTATCGTTCCTAGTACGAACGTGATGACGATGTAAACAAGAAGCGCGCGACGGTTGTGTGCAATTTTCCCGCCATATCGAGGTCGCTGCACGAGAGCAGTTGCGGCTTGTACTGTAAGGAGAAAGAACACGCCTATTGCAGACCCAGTACATAAGTTATCTTCCGAAATATTGTATGACAACCGAAAACACACCATAAGATACACCCCCTAATAACATTCCATCGAGACGAGATCGTTCAAGCCACAAATTTGTATCTGGAGTGTCGGATGGCATGACCAAATTTGGTCACTGACGGAAAGATACCGAGAGTCTGAGAGGCAGACGCCCTGTTCAACTTGAAGTTACACCAAGAGGATGATGAGGAGACTGCTGGGGGAAAGGCAGAGGTTATATGGATAAGTTGGAATAGAAATCGAACAGAGAGTCGAGACGCATCATGTCGGGGATGCGGTGCGCTGGCAGAAGTAATCACCCTTTTGCGTTGGTAATAGGTCCATCAGGTACATCCAACCCGGCCCTCGGACAACACTATAAATTTTTTGGAACCTTTGCTGGGCGCTTCATAGTGTACATTCTGCATCTTAAAGGACTTCACGCTCAAGCACTGATAACTGCTGTAGGATGAACCGCAGTCGTATTCTTATAATCGAACTTATGAATAATGCATGGAGTGGAAGTTTATACTTGCCAACGGTTCAGCTCCGAGGAAAATGTTGTACCGCTGTGATGGTTTGCGGAGTGCACTGTTGAAACAGTTTGTTGTCCTTTTGTGTTCTCCGAGTTGGCACAGATGACCTATTCATGGAGATCTTCATCGATGAATTCGAAACCTGATACCCATTTTGGGAACCCGTCAGTGATAGTCTTGGCTTGGAGGGTGCAATTCACGATTCTCGGATACCTTTTGTCGTGACCCCGCAACATCGACTCATGATAGTCTGTCTCACCCCGAGACATGCTGTATAGTAAACGTGGAAGATTCCGTTCAGGTATAAATCAAGTATAAGGATAGACCAACTTCACACCATGTCATGCTCTACACATCTACTTCTGCCGCCTTCGTAGAAGCAAAACACAGTTGAACAATGTCCTGCTGTGGCATAGCTATTAGTTCATCGTTGATTCCAACTGTTGCGTTCGACACAGTTCCTGAGAATACTAGTGTCGTAGGTGCTGCAGTAATTTGAGTCGACCACTCGCGTGTCACTGCCCGCCCTCGTGCAACACGAATGATGATGAACAATTGGGCAATGCCCTGGCAACAAAAAACAACATCAGAGACGCAGGTAGCTCAGGTGTTGTCTGCTTACCTGGACTTGGCCAATAGACAGGAAGCATAGAGTAGAGACACCATTAGAATGCAGAGCAAAGGCAACTATAAAAATAATAGCGAAGACAGAGTATAACACGGCGGACTCGATGACCATGAGGACGATGGTAGCATAGGTATTAGAATCATACTGAGCTAGGACGTGCCTCATCTGGCTTCGCATGGCAAGTAAACGATTCGCCACGAGAATGGTATAAATTACAGTAAGTCCCACCTCCATGCAGAGGTAGGCAAGCAAGAAGTTGATATTGTAAAGTACAGCACCGGTGCTCGCCTTGATTTGTACGAGAATAGACATTACTGCCCAAGATGTTAGTGACTAGTATTGTTGCTGGCAAATGGTAAACTTCCACCGATCATGGCAATATAGAGTGTGATCATCGGGATCACCACGGATCTTGCCCAATTCCATATCACAAAACATCGGTGAAGCTAAGGATATAAGGCATCAGGCTCGCACCACTTCCATATGACGGATTGTTCGGCTCACAAGTAGAGCTTGCATAAACCACTCCTGGATGTGACCACTAAGGGAGATGAAATGTCAACACTAGTCGGGAGATGTGTGGCAAAGGCTGCTTACGTGGAAAGAGCCACAACATTAATACTATAAGCCATTTCGTTTTCGATTAGCGTAAGCGGACCGCCAGGCGTATCACGAAGATCTATCCAAATCATCTCCGTATATCTTGCATTCGCAGCAAAGCTTATCGTCTCCAGCACGAACGTGATGAAGATGTAAAAAAGAAGCACGCGACGATGGCCCGCAATTTTACCCCCATATCGAGGCCGCTGCATAAGAGCGATCCAGGCTTGGACTGTAAGGAGAAAGTATATGCCTATTTCGATATATATGTCAACTTCCGAATTGTGTATGTTGACCGAAAACACACCGTAAGATACACCCGCTAACACCATTCCATCAAGACGAGATCGTTCAAGCCACAGTTCTGTCTGTGGGTTGTAGGATGACATGACCCAAGTTTGGTCACTAACAAAGTGAGCGGAAGTTAGGGACGATAGCCAACGCGGCCGATCCACTAGGAAGTGGAGGTAACCAAGAGGATAGTTAGAGACAAGTGTGGAAGAAGCAGTTATATGGATAACTCAGAATAGAGTTTCCACCTGGGAGACAGACGATCTGTATCGTGCGACAGGATGCGACAGCAATGAGCATCATGTTTAGCGACAGCGAGAATTAGTGACCCTTTTATATGTCAATGAGTAATAGGAATCCAGCTATTAATATTCTTCCCACCTCTTCGCTTTATTACAGTAGAACCTAGGGTATAATAGTTACAAGTATGCAAATCGATAAACGCCTGTCGACTCACGATAAATCAACCCTGTCTCTTTCCCACAACAAGTTGGAAGTACACTTGTAGTACCTCCAGATTTCCATCTGAGAGTGAAGCATTTTTGTCTTCTGTGGCCAATACCTTTCCTTGAGCTCGTAACCGTGCAAAGCTGGTAGTCTTTCTCGAATCTCAACCGTCCCTGCTTCATATAAAGACTTTCAACAGGCTACAGCGCAAATAAATAAGATCACACTAAGAAGTATAAATTTAAACTAACTTGACATCATTTCATGTTATACACTTTAGACTACCTCCGCCGCCTTCGCGGAAGCAGAACACCTCCCAACAATGTCCTGCTCTGGTCCTAGCTATCCGTTCCTCGTTTGATTTTTCTGTTGTGTCCGATACCGACCTTGAGAATGCTATGGTCGTGGGTGCTGCGGCAACTGAGCTTGACCATTCGGGTGTAACCGCTCGAGCCTCGCCCCCGTGCAACGCGAAGGATGATGAATAATTGGGCAATTCCCTGGGTCAAGAAAAAACCATCAGCGACGCCGGTAACTCAAGTTTTGTTTGCTTACCTGTACAGAGCCGATGGACAGGAAGCATAGAGTGGAGACACTGTTCAAATGCAGAGCAAAGGCAACGATTAAAATAATGGCGAAGACAGAGTATAACCCGTCGGACTCGACGACCATTAGGACGACGGTAGCATAGGTGCTAGAATCATATTGGGCCATGACCTGCTTCATCTGTCTTCGCATGGCAAGCAAACGATGCGCCACGAGGATGCTATAAATTGCAGTGACCCCCACTTGGATGCAAAGGTTGGCAAGTATGATGTTGATGTTGTAAAATACGGCACCGATGCTCGCCTGGATCAGGCTGAAAATGGACAGTCCTGCTTCAAGACGTCAGTCGATACTGTCGCTTGGTAAATGATGAACGTCACCGATCATGGCAACATAGAGTGTGATCATTCGGGATCATCACCCATCTTGCCCAATTACGTATCACAAAACATCGGTGAAGCTAGGTGTATGGTGCGTCAGGCTTGCACCGACTTCTGTATGGCGAATTGTTCGGCTCACGAGCAGACCTTGCATAAACCGTTCCTGGATGTGAGAGGGCCGCCAGGTATGTCACGAAGGTCTATCCAAATCACCTCCGTATATTTTGCGTTCGAAGCGAAGGCTACCGTCCCCAATACGAGCGTGACAAAGACGTACAAAAGAAGCGCGTGACGATGGTCCGCAACTTTACGTTCATATCAAGGCCGCTGCATAAGAGCGATTCAGGTTTGTACTGTGAGGAGAAAGAATACGCCTATTGCGGTATATAAGCTAACTTCCGAATTGTGTTTATTGACAGGGAACACACCGTAGGACACACCACCTAACATCATTCCGTCGAGACAAGATCGTTCAAGCCACAGATCTGTCTGTGGGGTGTAGGATCACATGACTCCTAATTTGGTGGTGAGGGGAGGTTGAGGATGACGCTGAGACACGATTGGCCGGGGCTGCCTGTCCACTAGTAAGTAGTGGGGATAACCAAGAGGATGGTGAGACACGAGTGAGGAAGTGGCAGTTATGTGGAGAACCTGCAATAGAGTTTCCACCAGGGCGATAGAGGCATCTGTGACAGACTGCGACAGGCCATCGACAGCGGGTATCAGTGACCCTGTTATGCGAATGATAGGAACTCGCATGTTCTTCCCACCTCTTACTTTCTTACAGCAACATGCAAATCGGTAGTTCCTATAAAAAGTACTTAGCATCAATTTTGTTTCATAACAGTGTTCTTTCCCACAACATTTGAGATATATTAGAAGTACAGTACCTGTTGGTTTAGAATTCCATCCTAGAATGAAGCGTTTCCCCCTGTGGCCTTGGCCACAACACTGATAGACTGTCTCAACCCCATCCATGCCTCACACAAAGACCTTCAGCAGGCTGTAGCGTAATAAATAAGATTACATTCAGGTATAAATCAAGCATACTTTACTTTATTATGCCATGCTATACACACCTACACTTCCGCTGCCTTCGCGGAAATAGAATACGTCTGAACAACGTCCTGCTCTGGCCCAGCCATCTGTTCCTCGTTTGGTTTCTCTGCCGTGTCCGATACAGTCCCTGCAAATAATATAGCCGTAGGTACAGCAGTAGCTCGGCTTGGCCATTCGTGTGTAACTGCCCGCCCCCGTGCGACGCGAAGGATGATAAATAACTGGGCGATGCCCTGATGCAAAAATAAAATATTATCAGAGACGCAGGTAACTCAGGTGGTTGTCTGCTTACCTGCACTGAGGCAATAGACAGGTAGCATATAGTAGTGATACCGTTCAAATGCAGAGCAAAGGCAATTATGAAAATAATAGCGAAGACAGAATATAACCCGGCGGACTCGACGACCATGAGGACGATGGTATCATAGGTACTAGAATCATATTGGGCCATGGCCCGCTTCATCTGTTTTCGCATAGCGAGTAAACGATGCACCACGAGGGTGGTATAAATCACAGTGATCCCCACTTGGATGCAAAGGTAGGCAGTTATGACGTTGATTTGGTAATATACGGTACCAGTGCTCCCCTGGATCAGGCTCGAGATAGACACCACTGCTCAAGATGTCAGTGATTGCTGTCACTTGATAAATGATGAACTTCACCGATCATGGCAATATAGAGTGTGATCATCGGGATCATCACCCGTCTTGTCCAATTCCATATCACAAAACATCGGTGAAGCTAAGTATATAAGGCATCAGGCTTGCACCGATTCCCACATGACGAACTGTTCGACTCACGAGCAGAGCTTGCATAAACCACTCCTGGACTTGACCACTAGACGAGACATGAGACGTTAACATTAGTCTGGAGATGTACGAGCAAAATGGCTAACCAACAAATCGCCAGAACGTTGATACGATACTTCATTTCGTCTTCGATCAGAGCTGCTGGGCCACCAGGTGCATCGCGAAGGTCTATCCAAATCATCTCTGTAAATTTTGTGTTCGCAGCGAAGCATACCGTCCCCAATACGAAAGTGATGAAGATGTAAAAAAGAAGCGCGGAACGATGGTCCGCAATTTTAACCCCATATCGAGGCCGCTGCATGAGAGCGATCCCGGCTAGTACTGTGAGGAGAAAGAATATGCCTACCATGATTACGGTATATATGTCAACTTCCGAACTGTGTATGTTGACCAAAAACATACCGTAAGATACACCCGCTAGCACCATTCCATCAAGACGAGATCGTTCAAGCCACAGATTTGTCTGTGGGGTGTATGATACCATAGCCCCAAGTTTGGTCACTGACGAGGTGAGGGGAGGTTGGGGACGACACTGAGAATCGATTGACCGGGGTTACTTATTCACTGGGAAGCGGTGGAGGTAACTAGAGAGATAGTGAGGTCGAGTGGAGAAGCTCCAGTTATATAGAGAATCCAGAATAGAGTTTCTACCATGGAGACACAGACATCTACGACAGTTGCAACGACCCGTACGTCGTGACAGTAGGTATTAAGAACCCTTTTACGTGAGTGATAAGCTCTTTCCCACAAACATTGAGGTCGGTTAGATGTACATTACCTCGCAACGTTGTTAGTCTGTCACAACCCCGTCCCTGCTTCACACAAAGTTTCAAGACCTTCAACAGGCTGCGGCGAAAACAAAGAAGATGACATTCAGGTATAAATCAAGTATAAAGTTCAAACAACTTTACATCATGTCATGCCACACACGTCTACTTCTGCCGTCTTCACGGAAGTAGAATACGTCTGAACAACGTCCTGCTCTGGCCTGACTATTCGTTCATCGTTTAAATATTCTGTTGTGTCCGATACGGTGCCTGAGAGCACTATAGTCGTAGGTGCTGCAGCAACTCTACTCGACCATTCGTGTGTAACTGCCCGCCCCCGTGCAACGCGAAGGATGATGAATAATTGGGCAATTCCCTGGGTCAAGAAAAAACCATTAGCGACGCAGGTAACTCAGATTTTGTTTACTTACCTGCGCTTGGCCAATAGACAGGAAGCACACAGTAGTGATACCGTTCAAATGCAGAGCAAAGGCAACTATGAATATAACAGCGAAGATAGAGTATGGAATGGCAGACTCGACAACCATGAGAATGACGGTATTATAGGTGTTAGAATCATATTGGGCCATGACCTGTTTTATCTGGCTTCGCATGACGAGCAAACGATTTACCACGAGAATGGTATAAATCACGGTGAGCCCCACTTGGATGCAGAGGTAGGCAAGCTCGATGTTAATATTATAAAATACGGTACCGGCGCTCGCCTCCACCTGGACGATAACAGACAATGCTGCTCAAGATGTCAGTTACTCTGTCGCTTGATAAATGAAGAACTTCACCGATCATGGCAACATAAAGTGTGATCATCGGCATCATCACCCATCTTGCCCAATTCCATATCACGAAACATCGGTAAAGCTAAGTATATAGGGCATCAAGCTTGCACCATTTCCTTACGACAAATGATTCGGCTCACCAGCAGAGCTTGCATAAACCACTCCTGGATGTGACCACTAGACGAGACGTCAATAATTGAGATCTGAAAGTGGATGGGCAACCGTTCTTACGAGGAAAGCGCCAGAATATTTAGACGATTGTTCATTTCGTTCTCGATTAGCGCGAGTGGACCACCAGGCGCATTACGAAGATCTATCCAAATCATCTCCGTGTATCTTGCGTTCGCAGCAAAACTTATTGTCCCACATACGAACGTGATAAAGACGTAGAAAAGAAGCACGCGACGATGACTTGGAATTGTTCCCCCATATTGAGGCTGCTGCATGAGAGCAATCCAGGACTGTACTGTAAGGAGAAAGAATACGCCTATTGTAGTACATAAGTCGACTTTCGAATTGTGTATTTCGATAGAAATCGCACCGTAGGATACACCCCCTAACACCATTCCATTGAGGCGAGATCGTTCGAGCCACAGATTTGTTTGTGGTTTGTAGGACGTCATCACCCTAAATGTGGTCGCTGATGAGGAGAGGTTGGGGAAGACACTGAGACACAAGTGGCAGAGGTGAACTGTGGTGGAGATAACCAAGAAGATAGTTAGAGACGAATGGGGAGGAAGCAGCGGTTATATGGAAAACTCGGAAAAGCGCTCCACCAGGGAGACAGACCCATCATATGACCATCAGGTTGGGGATGTTGCAGCCAGTGCAAACCCTTTTACAGAGTAATAGTTGTCAGGCACATCGTCCCCGCCCTCTCAGACGGTCAGACCATGATCAATGTACCACATAATACCATAGCTGTGCAAATTTAACAGATCTTTACAGAGCGTCCACGCTGCATCCTATAAGTGCCGATAGCTATTGGATCAGCCTTGCAGTGAGACGGTCTAGAAGGCTACAGTATCGCAGATTGAATGCTAAATGCTGATGGCAGTGGTGCGAATTGTTGGATATCATCTTGACAGCTTTACAGTGACAGGCAATTCCTAGTACGGATGTATATGTCAGAGGAAACAGGGGAAGATGCAGGGCGACAAAAGATCTTAAGAGGTTGACAATGACAGAGATATGAAAATTTTGACCCGTGGGATGAACGTTGGATCGACCCCTCAGGGAGGCTGGAGTCAGTGTTGACACCGTGTAATTATCAAACTTCGATTGAACTTGGAGCTTGGAGTTTGTATTTGCTTCTGGCTATTGGTTGGGGCAGCCCAAACGATATCCGTATGTACACGACTAGTCCTGCTCTATACCAACTTAATATACCCATCATATGCCTCGGTCAGCCTGCGCAGACTTGCTACATAGGACTTGCGCAAATAAAATATCCTTCAAGTCGAGTCGTCGAGCACGCCTTGCATACCAGTGACACGAATACAAAATATGGATGGTCTGACTTTTATTTAAAAGGGCCCTCAGATCTTCAGAGACGATCAAGTCGAGTGCTCTGTAATCTGGAAAGAATAAGAAGGGTTGAGATCATACGGAACAGGGTACAAATCCCCGTCTTCGAATTGCATGTCCCGCAGGTAATATTCAATGTTTATGGATTGCTTGCTGATATCCATTGTCACGAAACCATTCGCCGCTGAGAGAATGTTAATCCAGACCAATATGCGAGGAGTCAAGAACCATACCAGATAATGGATTCGCTCCCAAGAATTTTGCATACGGTCCGAGTGGAATACCGTAGTTGCAATCACCAGCTTGAGGGTAGCCCGCGGCGCCAGAGAGAATGAAGTTGGTGTCGTTAAAGTAATAATGCCCGAGGCAGTGGTCATGACCGTTCAAGACGATTCCGTGGTGCTGGACAGCAATCTCAACGAGAGGCGCGAGTTCGGTTTCGTTGGTGGCTGAAGACATGTAACCGTGGTGGAGCTGGAGGAACTTCCATGTAGCCGTGGACTGAGCAAAGGTGTTGGCTAGGAAGTTGATTTGCGTTTGTTGGTCTGCATAGCAGGCTTCTGTGTACGGGTTCACATATACAGAGGTGTTCTGGGAGATTCATCATCTGTCAGTCATCTGTTTTGCGTGGTAGCAAAATCTACAACCTTCTGATACGAGCTCAGGAAACAATCCGAATCCACGACGACAAAAGTAGCGGTCCAGTCTTTGCCTGTCAGGTCGTAAGTCCAATATGGAAGCCCTTGAGTTCCCTAACAGGGACGATCAGCAGATTTTACAAAAGGGCCAAATATTTCGAGCTTACAAAATTCCAGCGAGGGTCGTAAATGGGAGCAACTTTCGTCTGGAAGTCAACGCCGCTCTGTCCTTTTACAATGTCGTGATTTCCGAGACATTGATACCAAGGAGCAGTCTCAAAAACTCCTTGGCTGTACATGCCGACCCATGCTTCCTGGAAACGTTGTATACCCCCAGTAGTGAAATCAACACCACTATCATAAAAGTTGTCGCCAACAGAGACCTTTCAACAGTTCGAAATCAGCGATTCATTTGCAGCTATGCCAGAGCACGTACAAATGCAGTGCAGTTCTTCATCGCGCATACTTGTCCGATATATGAAGACGTGTCGACTTCGGAGGGCTTAGCTGCATTGTGGTGAAAGAGTAAGTTGACTCACCCTGCAAAGCGGTAGCATTGTTTATGTACAATATGTCTCCGGGATCACAATCGTTTAGGACCTCATTCGGAATAACGAGTCCAGCAGCCTGCAACTCCGGAAGCACTTCAAGGCAGAAATGTGGAGGACTCGGCGTCCATCCTGTCCAACCATAATCTACGATGTCGTTGTCAAGGTTAGGCTCCTGACAATCGGATATCATTACTCGCCCCCAATTACGCCCACCGTCAGGACTTCTGCGCCAACAGGAGCGATCGTAGACTTCTTGGTTCTCACATATTCTGCAAGGACCGTTTCCTGCAGGGCAAGAAGCGCTAAGAAAGACAAACGACTCCAGCTGGTCATGGCAAAAATGGAAGTTTACCGAAAGTCGGTTATAGGACGGGACCGTCTAGCGGGGTGACGAGTTTCGCGTTTATTGCTCATGATATAGACGCACTTTTAGCGCAGCCGGTTCACTCATCGATAACCGTGTACATCCGTTACCAAGCAGTGCACAGTGGAGATGTGCCAAACCGCGTGGATGATTGGCATCTGCCAGCCACAGATATAGTGCACCAGTGTAGTTCGAACCAATGGCTTGCGGTCGGGTAGGTTGTTCAACCACGTTCGATACGCCATGCCCCACAACGCCTGGGCGAGCCCGGGCCGCTACGCTTCTTGCAAGTCGTAAAGATGTAAAAAGAAGGAACGTGCAATTATGATGATGGTCATGCAGACAGGAACAGGACCTGAGCGGTGGGTAGTGAACCTGCATCATGTGGGCCTATGACGGTATATAGTGTAACCGAAGATGTGACATGAGGTAATTGTTACGATAAGTAGCCACAATAGCATGAACAAGGTGCGCTCATCGATATAGGCTGCGAATCGTCTATTTACAATTGGCAATGTTGATGAAGACCAGCATTATTCTTGCATCCTGTAAATGCCGCGGCGCAGGTTTTTGTGGAGGTCACTTGACGCAATAATTATCAACGGAACGGATTCCAGAAGCCCTCAGGCTGCCGCACGCTGCCAGTCAAGGGAAGCCTAAATCATAGCCTTTCATTCAAGTCTTACCTCGAAGTGCCACTGATGCCTGTGCCAGTAGTTGAGCTCATCACCTTTACCCCATCCGCAGCTTATGTGGCTGCGCCCAGTGTGTCCTTGCACGACTTCTTTGGCATTCTGGCGCAGACCAAAGGTCACATCGAGTGAGCAAGTGCGAAATTGAAAACAGTTCACGAATGCTCATACAAGAAGCTCATTCCACGGCCTGCAGGTTGAAGATTCAAGGCAAGGTCAGATTGTGATTCGTAAGTCGCCCTCGTACATGATACACATCTTCAGGCTTCATTAAATATTAATTGCCCCATCAGTCTGGGAGACACATCAGCACCATGTAGCCCTCCAGCAAAGCCCCCACTATCAGGCGCTCAGGGACGCCCTTTCGGTGGCAGTCGAGGGACAGCGCCAAATGGTCCATGTCCTAGTTCAACATGACTGTTCACAAGTGTTTACGGCGCCTCACGTCGGCATCGCAATTAACACAGTAAAGGAAGTGAAGAGCATGACATTGCTAAAGCGCCAGTTGGACATACTCGTGTCTCAGAGCTTTGACGAGGTGGTAGCCCACACCTGCGGAGAAGTGCTCGAGGATGACCAGAAGATCGTGTTGTTTGTTGGTTGGAAGTCACATGAAGTAAGTTTCAGCAAACGTGTTTTGATCCCAGGCTATTGTGCTGAAGATCCAAACCTCAAGCATCGTGAGAGCTTGAAACGGAACAAAGATCCCGAACTGGAGAAGCTGATCGGGAACATAAACCTTCTGGCAGACGTAAATGTCAGACATGTGGGGTTCAAGAAGTATTCAGCATAGGAGTCTTGTGGATGTTCACCAGAGTACATTGATGTTGTCTTGCAGATCGCATGGGCTAGCTCAGGTCTAATACTGAATCAATGGATCAGTATTTTTTATTTTAATGACGCCACATGAACTTCGATTGATGCCTTAACCAAATAAATGAACCCATGCGACTGCCCTCCTTGAGTTTTGTTATTGTCTGATTGGAGTGGAAACCACTGGATGGTGATAATGGGGACCGACTCTGAGCCTTCCAGGTCCCGTGGAGTCCAGGGGCAAAACAGACAAAAAATATGAGATGACACGCCAAGCTCAAGCTTGGAAGTTCAACCGGTCAACGTTTGTCGAACGTACGTTGAATCAGGGGTCGGGCCTCAGGTGACCCTCTTGCAAGTAACGGCACTCCAGTGTGTCCGCATCTTCACTCACAAGTTCAATGTCAAAGGAAATGCTTCGTTAACTAATAACAGCCGGTTGCTAATCGGCATCGTGCTTATTACTAATATGTAATAACATGTAAGCAATGAGTCAGTACAAGTCGTGAAAGAAAGCAACAAGTCTACATCTAAAAACGATGCGGTTCGTCTCATGATCGTTAAGTCATTATTCTGTGCGAGCTGATATAGATGAAGAAAGGTGTCTGATTTAGAGAGTCTGCCTACATATCTCCAATGGGCTGACTTCTGAGCGACTGTCGGAGGCCTGTAGGTCTCGTGACATATAAAAACGGCCACGCGAGCCGTCGCCAAAATCCAGTCCCTTGCTCGTGGAACGGCGAGTGAGTTTGGAATGCGACTACGAGCCATGCAGTGACCACGGTAAATGCAACAGAAACTATCGCGTAATGGCCGATGGTTTCCGTGGCACCGCCGATAATTTCCCTGACATTCATTCCAAACACCGACTGGAAGAAAGTAATTAAATGTATCGCTGAAAGAGTGAAATTAGGCATACCGCAATGAAGCTGGCAGGGAGGAAAATCATTGTCAGGTAGGAAATCTATCAAGGATTATTTAGGATCGTCAAGCCAATTGAGATGCCAACCTACCTGTTTCATAGCGGCTGAATCACGGACTGTTGCTTTCGTCAGTTCTTGCATCCGTCGACTATCAACAAAGTTCACAGTCGCTTTAGCCTGGACATTGAAATTAACGATCGTCGAATCTAGGATAGAAATGAAATAAACCAGGTCTATGATGTTTTTCAACTGAAAGCCCAGCCTGTCAATTTCCGAAAGTAGATTGTCGCATTCCTTCTGCATCAGTTTATGCGTGTCACTTCTTGCCTGCTCGGTGAATTCGTGGGACTCCAGAACAGGACTCGGGGTGCTCCTAACAAAATTCACAGATTTTCGGAAATCCTCGAGAAGTGAAGTATAATGGAAGAGTTGAGCCTGGATTGTGTGCAACTCAGTCGTGAGGTGGCTATCATTTGTCAATAGCACGTTTGTTTCCTGAATAATGGTATAATTAAGTGGTCAAACAACACAAGTGACGAAGAACCTTACCAGCCAGTTGATGTGGGTGTACAGATGGTCCAAGGATTCGTCCCAGGCGTAAAGTGCATACCAAAGGATGGCCAAGAAGACAAATGTTGGATCTTTGGACTGTTCGAATATCTTCTGCCAATATACGCTCTCTCCCACTTTGTGAACTAGACGTTTCAATTGCTCAGCGGTCGTCCTTTTCCAATGAGCACTTGGGTGGTAAGATATGATAGTACTGCCACTAGGCTCAGATGACCTTATCATATGCAGAGCGAGAAGGTCTTGAAGAAGATACTTTTCCACTGACGAGACGACTGAAAACTGTTTAAAAACCAACAACATCAACAGGAGGAGAGACTCTACCAGAGCGAAGAGGTAATGACTCCTGTGTGTCTATAGCTCCCTCACCGTCTGGTAAACGATCATGTTACGTCAAGTTTGCACAAGCGCTCAACAGACGCACCGGAAATGTGCTTGTTCTGCGAGGACGCTGCTGTCTTTTCCCATGGTGCCGTGCGTACGAACAAAAGCGTAACCGTAATGTCTGATGGCATTTTACAAGCGCCGTCGTGTAGACCATGAAGAGCACTTACGATCTCCTTTTTGCTTGTTAACTTCTTCTTGGTATCGAGAAGGAATCCAGTTTGATGAGGATGTGAAAAAGAATGGTTCTATGTTGTACCTATTTAAATTCAACCGACAGCACATGTAAGAATGAGTGGATCCCTAGCACCTTGTTCCTAGCATCTGAAGTACGGGGTGTTTCATATTGTCGACGAGCAACACCCTGAGACGAAGACCCGTCGGCTGTAGAGACAAAGGATTAACTTGCCTGCAACAACTTACGGCTATTCTTCACCTCGGTCTGCAACTGATCCCAAAGTTCACTTAAAGCGCGTTCATCGACATCAATAGGTGGATCGGTATCCTTAGCCGACTTGAATTTTCCAGTGTCAAGCACATCGACATAATAGATCCTGCATTTCTCTCGAGATTCCTTGGAGCAATTTTCGACCATCTTACACCGTGAAACTCGATCGGCGACCCAGTTTCCAAACAAGCTTTGAGGATATCCCCTCCACTCCGGAGGTTCCACTGACTGCCTTGATGGGGAAACAGGTTCCGTCTCTAAAGCGGTCTCCGACTCGAGGTCCATCCATGGCCAAGGTCCAGACGGGGCAGCATGTCGATATCTGGAAAGACATCCCAAACGTCCGGGCTCATGAGCATGTTTCGAAGAGGGTTGGCGCTTACATTGGTGCAGGTGTTTTGGGGGGTTTATTGCTGTGTGTTGTAGTTCCATGACCACTGTTGGCCCAATGACAGGTAGTCAGTGGGAAACGAGTGCGAGTAGATTGTCTGGTAGTCATGAGTAAAGGGAAAAGAAGGTAGTCCACCGAAGTTGCAGAAGTTTATCAGGCTGACGCCGTCGCTCGCTGAGTGCAGCCTAAGGCTATCCTTCACGTGCAGTCCAGGCACCGTCAATGAACGAGGCATTATATTGTATCCTATTGTAATATTAAATCGTACTTATCTGTCTCTGTCATGAGTTATGATTGATAGTGATGCGTACGGTAATAGCCAGGGTAACATCGTTAGTAAGTTGCCGTCGAAGTGCAACGCTTAGGTAATCCAGTGCAGGACCGTGATCAGCTCTTCTTCGGGAGGTGAATCGAATAGTCTATAGATCAACCCATTATCCAAAGCCCTTTAAGCGCCTCTGTCTCTATCATATTTCAATGGTAAAAACCGCTGTATGAGCCTCTCGCACATAATATCGATTGTCCGCGGCATGCAGCATGAACTTAGTAAGTCGGAAAAATCCTAAATCGTACCGCACGGCAATTCGCTTGCAACGGGAAACAGTGCATACACTGTGTATATCGGCATTTACAGTCCGCCTACTCCACAAGTGCTAGTGATCCTACATCCGTGTCTGCACGATCATTGGTGGCAGGATTCAGGCACTTGACGAGGATCAATACCAGTGTTCAACTATGGACGTTTGACAACCTCGTCATCAACCGCAACTTCCCCCGGGCCCCTCCTTGTCATTCAGCCAGTCGACTCCAATGTTAACACAGGAAGAGCAATTGCAACGGGATTTAGAGGAAAATAGGAGAGATGTTGTGCGAGAACTGCAGCACTGCGAAGAAGCAGCACTTCTTGATGCTGAACGCACAGCTGATATTGTTCGCTTTTGGGCGAGTCTCTCGCGAGTACGTACGCTGTTCAGTTGTTTTTCTACCTGTTTTTTTTGAATCAATGCATACACGAAAAGAGCACATTCCCGCTGTTTTTCCGCGTCGCAATGAATATCCTTCCCTGCGCAAGCTTCATCTATCCGTTTTGAACGTGTCTTCCGAGTTCTCTTCCAGCAAAGAGACGTGCACACTTCGGCGTGCCAATCTATCATCATCGGTGCTCGAGGCACTGCAAATCTTCAAGTTCTCTTACAAGCAGGACCGGCTGAATTCCACGTTGGATTTTATTGCTGAAGAACTGGATAGTATTTCGAGATCTGAGGCTGTGAGGGCCGAAGTGTATCTAATTTCCACTTCGATTCGCTTCACTTCGCGGCAATACTAAATGCCGTCACTAACACGGTAAAATCCGGTGGAGTGACAAAGGCAAATATATTTGGTCATCGTGGAGAATTCGATTTAGTAAGAATAACGGCACTCCGCTCCTATATATACCCCACAACCCGATCGAATACCAATCCATTGACACCATGCCTTCTACATTCACGCACGAATTCAACGCACACGCTTTCAAAGGCAAAGTTTCCTTCAGCACCGGTATATTCGTCAACGGCCAGTTCCAGGATGGATCAGACAACACCACTATCGAGTACGATCTACCCCTGTCTGCTGATCGCTTACTGATTTCAACAATTTCAGCGTGATCAACCCGAGTACGTTTTTTGACTTGATGATGCTCACGATCTTCCATGAACTCGACGAACAGCAACTGGAAAGGTGATAACTTCAGTGTCTGAGGGTACGGCCAAGGATGTCGACGTTGCCGTCGACGCTGCGCAGAAAGCCTACGACACCGTCTGGGGTCTCAATGCCCCTGGTACTCAGCGTAGTATATTGATGTCGAAACTTGCCGCCCTCATGCAGGAGAATGCAGACGAACTTGCTGCTCTCGAGGCATTGGACAATGGTCAGTATCTAGGCCATTCAGTAGGTATCTGAATCGTTGACCTGACCAATCATCGCCAGGCAAGACTTTCAATTGGGCAAAAAATGCCGACGTCGCTGGTTCCATCGATTGTATTCGCTACTACGCTGGTTGGGCCGACAAGATTTCTGGTCAAACACAAGAGGTCCGAAGCTTTTGAACAATCGGCTTTGTTTATACACTGACGATTTGGCAGACCACCATGGACAAGCTCACCTACACCCGCCACGAGCCAATCGGTGTCGTCGTAAGTACCCGTTTCTCAGCTGCGTCATCCTCTTATATACGCGTCATAGGGCCAAATCATCCCATGGAATTTCCCATGCACGTATATATCAACCGGTTGACGTGTTGGCACTCACTGTTCGGTCCGTAGTGCTCATGATGGCCTGGAAACTTGGCCCTGCTCTTGCATGCGGTAACACGATCGTTTTGAAACCCTCAGAATTCACACCCCTGACTGCAATTCGAATGTGCCACCTGATCAACGAGGCCGGCTTCCCACCCGGCGTCGTCAACGTCATCACAGGCTACGGACACACTGTCGGCAATGCCATCTCTTCACATATGCATGTCGATAAGGTCGCCTTCACCGGCTCAACCCTTGTCGGTCGTAAGATCATGGAGGCTGCTGCGAAGAGTAACCTCAAGAACGTCACCCTCGAACTTGGTGGAAAGAGTCCGAATATCATTTATGATGACGCAGACCTCGAACAGGCTGTCAACTGGGCTGCATTCGGTATTTTGTGAGTGTAGTTCGCTGTTGTCGCACGAATTATATTTATCATAACATCAGCTGGAACCACGGTCAGACGTGCTGCGCAGGTTCACGTATCTTCGTGCAAGAAGGCATCTATGACGAGTTCCTCAAGCGCTTCACTGAGAAGACTCGGTCACTCAAGGTCGGCGACCCCTTTGCCCCTGACACTTTCCAGGGTCCTCAGGTCTCAGAGGTTCAATTCAACGTACGTCGTAGAATGCTCCGAGAAGCATCCACATATCTAATGCACAATCCAGCGTATCATGTCTTACATCGAGTCCGGAAAGCAGGCTGGTGCCAAGGTTGAGGTTGGTGGGGAGCGTATTGGAACTGAGGGTTACTTCATCAAGCCCACCATCTTCACCAATGTCGACCCTTCGATGAAGATCGTCCAGGAGGAGATTTTCGGTCCCGTTGGTGTTGTCATCAAGTTCAAGGATGAGGAAGATGTGATCAAGCAGGCAAATGACACCGTCTACGGTCTTGCTGCTGCTGTTTTCACCCAGAACCTGAACCGTGCTATCAACACCGCGCACAAGCTTAAGGCTGGAACTGCATGGATTAACTGCGTTAATTCGTTGCACTCCAATGTGCCATTCGGTGGTTTCAAGCAGAGCGGTATCGGTCGTGAGCTTGGCGAGTACGCCCTCAATAAGTGAGTGTCGCTTCCATGGCATGTCAGCGCGGTCTCATCACTCCTCTCAGTTACACTGCTGTGAAGGCTGTTCACGTCAACCTCGGCCACAAGATGTGAGCTGGTGGTAACGGGATAGCAGTGTGGGTTTGACCCCAAAATTCGAGGAAATTGCACCGCAAGTGTACTATCTTGAACTTCTCATTTCTGTACTTCCATGTAACGATATGCAAATTTGGAATGTGTAATATTGGATTCTCATTAGCGGAAGAAATCAGGAAAGACTTCAGAGAACAAACAGTACCACACTCATACACGTAACTAAAGCTTGGGCCTTAATGGCAAGAACTGTGGTGATTCCTTGGACTTGGTCATCCCCGCTCGAAGTGCCTGCCCCAAGTCCTAGCATAGAAACATATAAATCGAAGTACAAGCAACCAAATAATTGATATACTAACCGCAGCTTGAAGTGCAGCTGAATTCCAAGTTGCCGTGTACTGCAGATTCTCTGCGACGCTACCACAAAAACAGTGAATTGGTCCAAAAACATATGCAAACGAAACTAATACCTGTGATCCCTGGCGTGCAAAAGGAGATGCTTCGTTCCCGTCACTGCTACAGGACTCTTCGAAGCGATGTCTTTGGCCAATTGCAGTGCTGCAGCCACGACTGCCTCCCTTCCACCTTCAACGACTCGGGAAACAAGACCAAGTTTCTCCGCGTCGTCGCTCGAGAACGTGCGTCCAGTATACGCCAGCTCACGAGCTAATGAATGATTACCCGTAATCTTCGGTAGATAAGCTAGCGTCCCAACGTCAGCCGCCAGCCCCATGTCGACTTCCTGATACACAGTAACGTTCATCAGACAAATGACTGAGGAACTGTGTGGCTAACGAGCCTTGATGGAGAATTTCGTATCAGATGCTGCATATCGCACGTCGCACGCGGAGATTATGTCTATCCCCATACCAATCACACTCCCATGCACTGCTGCTATGACGGGAATTGGGCACCGCTCGGGGGCTGCTACAGCTCGTTGGATGTCGAGGATGAGGTCGCGTGTCAGAAATGCGCGACGTGCAGGATCCATGGTCACGTCGTTGCTCCCGAGCTGCATGAATCCCTGGACTACTGACGATCAGCCATTCGCACAATTCAGTGGGATGTAACTCCTACAGTCGAGCCCTGCAGTGAAGTACTTGGGAAATGCGGACGAAAGGACGACCGCGCGGATGTCGTCCGGGTTGGTTGAAAGTGCGTCAAATGTACATCCGTACTCCTTCCAAAACCTGTATAATGTGATGTGAGTAGTTTCGGACGATTCAGAGCGACCTACTCTGTATTGAATGCGTTGACTGGCTTTCTGACGAGGAGCGAGCAGTGCTGTCAAAAGACGAGAGATTTGTGACGACTCGAAGACGTTACCTATTTAACTCCAATAACAATACATGAGGAACGGGATTGGAAATTTTGATGTACTTGCTCTTGAGACTGGTCATGTTGCAATTCAAGGCGTAGGTCAATCTCACATGTTATTTCAGGTGCCTCGTCACGGTGCCCGGGAAGTCGGGTAGATTTGTTTTCCAACTCCGCGAGCACAGCTGCCGCCACAACTTGAACTTTCAATGTCGTCCACTGGGTAGTTAACCTGTAGTTACCTATACAGTGGACACACCGTCCGCAAGTCCCAGCCTATCTGTCACAACCTTTGGTTCCTGTTCAACGGCAGGAACACGAGATCGCGAAGGGGTACGAAGGGCAGGTCCGAGAGGGGTTCCTACCAAGGGACGCGTACGAAGGTGCGGGAAAGGTATGAATGGGAAGTTGGCTATAGGTACTCATAGTCATGTACAGCAGCATGTATGGCCGATTCCAAGGACGGCTGCACTCGAAGGGGAGGTGAAATGCTTAGGTTCCCACGGCAAGTACGAAGCACTCAGAAGGTACTTAGGGAAAGGATAAGGAGAAGCTGAATATGCAGCAAACAATAGAAGCAGCCACGACCGATTTGGGCCAGGGCGGCAGTACTGGCGGATATCTTAGTCTATGGAAGGCGTAACCCAAATGTTACTTTAAGTTAACAGTGACAGGTAAGTGTTACCAAGGCTCACCCAAGGTAGGAGCTAACTATAAGTATCAAGGAAGCAGGTAAAGTCTATGCGACCTGAGGCATATGTCCGTGCTGGGCTCTAACCAGTCAGAACTTCGAAGCTCTTAAATCGACAATTAATCTAGTCTTCTCAAACCACGACACGTGCCTTCGTCAGAAAATTGATGTCAGTGTTTTTGCCATATCGCGCTGCCCTGTTCACTTTTTACCCGACCGGTACCGTCTCGCATCAAAGATCTCGCCAAGGAAGCGGTTCAGTAAGTGCATCCACGATGCAGAATCACTCGTTTGGAATGCCGGGTGGGTGTTCCCACATACTTCCTGCCCAATTGCTAACTTCCCTATGACCACTCGTCCCAGGCTCGTACGGCACACGCGCTACCTACACGAACCGGTAATATAAAGGACCTAAATTACGCCATGAAATCTGGAATTCAACACATCATTATGTCTTGGTGCAGACCGGACCATCAACGTGATTATTATATTCACTGATCCAACAGCACAAGTCCAGCTTTAATGCCGCATGATTCCTCTTTCATCCCATAAGCTCACCACTACAGAAACAGTACCGATCAGAAAATGATGGTTTAGAGATGAGTTCTATAACACCAACTTAGCGATAATCGGTACTTGGATCAAAGGTCCAGTTCACTATAAAGGCGACTTCATGCCTGACGGTTTAACGAGGCAATGAGCACCGTGATATTAATCGCTGTGACATGACCAAATCACCCACAAGCAACTCAAGCTTTGTGTCGATCATGTGCAGATCTTGTGCTATCGGGAGTGAATTTCTTGTACAGGAAGTATACAAGGGAGGTTTTCCGGCGAACATTCCCTGAGACACTCATGCGCGAGGCATTGCTGACTAGTAAGGCGCAAGTTGGGGTCGAACTTGAGGAGATCGGAGATACATTCGACAAGTCGGTGAGGTGTTTGCTTGTCGAATATCGTGTACATGTTTCTCGGTTCAGTCTGAATGATGACAAGGGTCAAATACTCTGCAAGCTCGGACGGACAACTAACTTGGGGAAATTGGAAAGCGAGACGCCTTGCCAACTCCAAGCCGTGGGACCATGGACCACCTCCATGATGTCTTCCGCGTTCATCCACGCCCCGATCCGCAGGGTCGCCAAGTACTTTGATGATTCTGTTGATCTGATCGACTTCTCCAGAACCAGGAAAGATGGGCTTCAAGTTCACCAGCTCGGCCATGATTGCCCCAAGGGCCCACATATCCACCGGCGTAGAATAGTCTCTCTGCTTGAGCAACACCTCAGGGGCGCGATACCACCGAGCTGAGACATACTCGGTGTAAGGTGGAGTGCTCGATATCTCCCTCGCAGAATCAAAATCTGCAATCTTGCAGATAACTGCAGCATCGGTCTTCTCAATGGCTTCTAGTTGCGGCTGTGAAAAGGGTGATCGATAATCGAAGAGCCCTGTTGTCGTAACGAGAACATTTTCAGGTTTCATATCGCGATGGAAATAGCCCGAAGAGTGCATATGATGCAGTCCAGCTGCCATCTGTTGAAAGATGCAAGACAAAAGGCCAGTGGCCAACGGCCGCCCCTTGCGGGCTTTCATGAATCGGTATAGGTTTCCTTCCATGGCTTCAAAAACGAAGTACAACTCCGAAGTTTCGCATGAAAGAAAGACATCATAAAGAGGAACGACGCATGGATGGGGGGTTAATGCACGGAGTGCCTATAGTCAATTTAACAGGAAGCCTAGGAATGTCAGAAGATTCACTGAACCTTGAGCTCTTTGAGACGCTGACACTCGTCCCAACCATCTTCCCACCTTCGCTTCAGTTTCTTCACGGCCACCAAACGCATACCTATCCGTTCTCCCCTCGCGGCACCATTTACATGAATCGCGGAGGGTGGTGGCACTTCGTGTGGTAGATTTCCATGCCAGTCACATAGGAAGACTGATCCAAAGGAGCCCTCGCCCAAATTCTTGATGACAACAAATGACCGCAGGGAGCCTGCACAAGTACACTGTCAGCATATGAAAGCTATCTTCATAAATGAGTGCCACTTGTTGTAGAATCGCCGAGAATGGGGTTTTTTGCATCGATGGACACATGAGGAATACCAGCAACAGAAATTAATCCTCCAGTATCACGCAGGTCTGCCGAGGTGGTACAAGGCAAGCCAAATCCTGAATGTTCCCGTCCGTATCCGTTGTTTTCCTCAGACGACATTGAGGTTTGTTCGAAGGGTTGTGAACACGCGGAAACGGCGTGTGGCCAAACACGCGGAGACGTAATGCAACTAGAGTGGAATTCATCCCCGGGCCTTGAAAGCTTGACCCATGACAGAACTTGAAGGTAGTCCAAGGGCAAGCGGACCGGACTTGTCCGGATGCGTTTTGTCTGGGTGCGTGTTAGCAGACTGGAGGTTACGAAAAGGTTGAAAGGTTGAGAATCGATTTTTTTTTCGTTATGTAGCGTAGAATTCGAATAGGTTAACGTTAAGTTAAGTTAATTTAGATCTCGGAGGGGCGAAAAAGTATCAAAAATCGACACCTCGTCCCCTGTAACACCCTGTCCCGAGAAGCATCACGTTCCGAGTCTTCCGATGGTTGACTCGGAGATGGTAGCATTCCAAATGCAGAGAGGTCAGCAGCCCGGATGGCGTCCCCTTATGTGCGAATGAGAAAAGGAAAAGACAAAGGAAGGCAGTAGAACTCAGTACTAGAAGCACTGAAGAAGGAAATATGCATACTTACCTGAAACACAGTGGGCCATGTCGGGAATAGAGCGGAAGTGCTAGCAGATTAATGTTGTGGAACGTTGCTCGTCCGACAAGCTGGTTCAACGACTGCGAGGTACGAAAGGGTACGAAACTACCAACGATTGCGACTGCAACTAAAAATATTATCGACAGCGCCGGCCGGGTGCCAATCGTCGATCTTCCCTCGATCTTCCCGAGACCCTCTTGGGAGCTACACTGACATAAAAAATGGCTTCGGAGCCGGACTTAGAAGTCACTATGTTTGAGCCGGCCAAAGTCCGTATCGATGAGCATCACCGACAACGCCAAGAGTTGGCAAAGGGTTTCACTGCGAAGGAACAAATGCCTGACAATGGTTCAGGCCGTCATCAAACCATGGTGGTTTAGAGCAAATGCTTACCTGTCTTCAAGACTCATCCATGGGTCAACTGTGATTGAGTTCATACCAGAGCGAATAAGCAGTAAAAGAACTTCAAAGGAATGACGAACAGAGAAAGAGTTGCACATTTCCACTGATCTCCGCGCGCCCTCGTACGTCGCTGGGTGGCCGTGAAAATGTGTTGTTTTGTCACGCCACTGCAGTGTGTGTGTGCTAGTACATAACATACCGCAATCGATACTTGGAAAGGTCTTTCTAAATAAAGCGAAGTTGGGCGGATATGGGGTTGCCCTAGAGTCTAGTATTGTGCAGTGAAATGGGCGTTATTAATATCAGGCTTTATCATGAATCATGATTAGAACGACGCTATGATACGCTCGTACCGTGATGTGCAGCTTCCATCAGCCCCAGAGTGCATTTTGGCCCGAGATTATTCCAGTGGTCTGCGAGACACGGATCCGAGTCTTCGAACAAGGAGCGCCATGTAGATTGGCATCTTGCCAGGCGTCTGGCTATGAGTCAGTCGATTGCCATGAATCTCGGAGTGCCCCTAGTTCACTCCTGTCTTGGACTTATTGGCGAAAGGCCGCAGTGGAAGACTATAGTAGCTTGTTGCTGCATCGGTAAGCCTGTTACATTCCGATTTACCAACGATCTTACATACTCACTTCAACGTCACAGTGTAACTGATGGGCCTCGATATGGGATATAGGCCAAGCCAGATGGAGTGATAGATAAGGTGCCAAGATGACGGTGCCATAATTGGGTCCCTGCACCGTGCACGAAGGCATTCTCCGAGTCTGAACTCTTACCGTCCCAGGAGCTGACGGCATCAGTATCTATGCACTGTTATATAGTAAGTACCTACTTATCGCCTTTGAATGAACTGGCTTCTTTCCCTTACCTGTACTCATGACTAACAGGCAGTCTCCTTGTGCTCGTTTCCCACTGAACACCCTTCATTGGGGCAACATTGGTCATGCAACCACAACGCACAGCAGTAAGCCCCCAAAAACGCCTGCGCCAATGTGAGTACATGCTTGTAAGCCTAAACGCTTAGAGTTAACGATATCTTTCTAGATATCGACATGCTGCCCCGTCTGGACCTTGGCCGTGGATGGACTTCGAGTCGGACATTATTTTAGAGACGGAACCTGTTTCCCCACTTAAACAGTCAACAGAACAATGGAAATGGAGAGGATATCCTCAAAACTTGTTTGGGAACTGGGTCGCCGATCGAGTTGCACGATGCAAGATGGTCGAGAACTGTTCCAGGGAACTTCGAGAAAAATGCAGCATCTATTATGTCGATGTGCTTCAAACCGGACACTTCAAACCGGCCAAGGACACTGATCCACCCATTGAGGTTGATGAAAGCGCTTTAAGTCAGCTTTGGGATCAATTGCAGGTAGAGGTGAGGAATAGTCGTAGTGTGTTACAGGTCAGCTTCATCCGTCTTCCTTACAGCCAACAGGTCTACGTCTCAGGATGTTGTTCGTCGACAACATGAAACATCCCGTACTTCAAATGCTGGGAACAAGGTGCCAGGGAGTCATTTCTCCTGATATGTGCTCTAGATTGACCGCAAATAGGTACAATATCGAACCGTTCTTTTTCACGTCCTCGTTAAACTGGATCCCTTCTCGATACCAAGAAGAAGTTATTAAACAAAAAGGAGATCGTGAGTGTTATTCATGGTCTACCCGACGGCTCTTACAATATGCCCCATCAGACATTACGGTAACGCTGCTGTTCGTACGCACGGCACCATGGGAAAAGACCACAGCGTCCTCGCAAAACAAGAACACTTCCGGTGGGTTCGCTAAGCTCTTGCGCAAAACTTAAATTGATCGTTTCCCAGGCGGTGAAAAAGCTATTGACACTCAGGAGTCGCTTCCTCTTCGCTCTGGTAGAGTCTTTCCCCCCATTTTTTGTGCTGTGTTTTTCATGTTTTCAGTCCGCTCGTCAGCGGAAAAGTACCTTCTTCAAGACATACTCGCTCTGCACATGATAAGGTCATCTGAGCCTAATGGCAGTACTATTATATCTTACCACCCTAGTGCTCGGTGGAAAAGGACGACCGCAGAGCGATTACAAAAACTAGTCCACAAAGTGGGAGAGAGCGTGTATTGGCAAAAGATTTTTGAACAGTCGAAAGATCCAACATTTGTCTTCTTGGCCATCCTTTGGTATGCGCTTTACGCCTGGGACGAATCCTTGGACCATCTGTACACCCACATAAACTGGCTGGTAAGGTCCTTCGTCACTTGTGTCGGGTCGTTTAGTTATGCCATTATTCAGGAAGCAAATGTGCTATTGACAAATGATAGCCACCTCACGACTGAGTTGCACTCAATCCAGGCTCGACTGCTCCATTATGCTTCACTTCTCGAGGATTTCCGAAAATCTGTGACCTTCGTCAAAAACACGCCGAACCCTATTCTGGAATCCCACGAATTCACTGATCACACAAAACGAGACACGAATAAACTTATGCGGAAGGAATGCGACAATCTGCTTTCGGAAGTTGACAGGCTGGGTTTCCAGTTGAGAAATATCACAGACCTCGTATGTGTGTTTGATGCGTAAGATTCGACGACCGTTGATTTCAATATTTAGGCTAAGGCGACCGTGAACTTCGTTGACAGTCGACGGATGCAAGATCTGACGACAGCAACGGTCCGTGATTCGGCCGCTATGAAACAGGCAGGTTGGTATCTCAATTAGCTTGACGAAACTGATGACCCGTGATAGATTTCTTACCTTACAATGATTTTCCTCCCTGCCAGCTTCGTTGCGGTACGCGTAATTTCAGGCTCTCGATGATACGCTCAATTACCTTCTTCTGGCAGGCGGTATTTGGTATGAATGTCAGGGAAGTCACGCCCGATGCCACGGAAACCATAGCCAATTACGCGGCAGTTGCTGTTTCGTTTACTGTGCTCACTGCATGGCTTGTAGTTGCATTCCAATCTCAGTCCCCCTTCCACGAGCCAGGATCTGGATTTTGGCGGCGTCTTGCTTGGCCAGTTTCATATGTCATAAGACCCACAGGCCTGCGGCGGTCGCTCAAAAGCCAACCCGTTGGACTTCTGTAGGCAGAACCTTTTTATTTACCCATCAATGTCAGCGTGATGACTGAACTAAATATTATGAGATAATTGCATTTTTAGACTGGCTGTTTCTTTACGAGTTATGACTTGATACTGTACTAAGTATGTCGTATATTTAGATTTAAATATACCCAGTTTCCTCGGCTCTGAACTTGCGCTTATCGAGTTGGTTGTTATAGCAGGTTATAGCCTGATAGTCATGCAGTCCCTGCATTTCGACAGATTATACTGAGCAGTATCGACAAGCTTTCGACAAATACTTGGGCCTTAGTTAGGTGCAACGGTGTGTAACTCGGCGACACCCAATGCCTAGATATATAACTTGATAGACTAATAAAAACAACGATCAAGGATGTGTATCATTAAGATGTAGCAGCTCTGGTAAGGAAAGCTTCCCTAACGTCTCGCGACCGTACCACGTACGAAGGCGCACTCCAGCTGAGCCGCTCGATAGTCTGGGACTCGCGGTAGACTCCTGCAAGCAAAACCTTCGCGGTTGAATCGCAGGGGGACAATGTGCGGGTCCAGAAATGAGTTGGAGAAAAAAGTTATACGTCGCTATGATGATAATATATGGGTGTGGTTTAGGGCCGGCTAGAACAATATTGTTGATAATTCGAATCCCAGCCAATTCGCAGCTGCTATCGCGTTCTTCATTTTACACTCATTCTGGTGACTTAGATGCCTCCAATAAAGACGAAACAAACGCAATACAGGACAAGTGCACCAGATGGCGGCCCTCCCAATCCGGCCTCTAAATCAAAAACCAAGTTCAATCGCGACGTGAAACTTGATCATGAACCTCATGAAATTACGATTCCGAGTCAGAAATCCTCCGTCCCGAATCCCACTCCAGCCATAGATGAGCCCTCTATTTCAAAACCAAAACGCAAGGCCTATTACGCCATCAAACCCAATCTTCAGGAAGTCAGCGCTCCGACTGAGAAAGCCCCTATTCCATTTCTATCTCCAGCCATCCTGGAAGAGCTTTGGGTAATCTGGAAATCCGATCCACGCGTTCCAACAATTGCATCGCGACGTGCATGGGCCGCCTCACGGAATATCAGTCCGATGCGCATCGACAACTGGTTCAGTCTTCGCAAAGCACAGGCGAAGAAAACAAGACAACCGATATCAAACGAGACATACGAGCTTTCGTTGGAGCCACGAGTTGCTCCAGTGACACTCGAAGTGAAGAGAGAGCTTCTGTCTTCATCACCTGCCTGCTCCTCTGATATCATATCTCCATCCGACGACACGCTCGTTCCATCTAGCCCCGACTATTCTGATGCCTCTTACACGTCCCCAAGATCCTCCGTTACGCCTGCTCTGTCTATGACCCTTAGCCCCGACTGTTCTGACGCCTGTTGCACGTTTCCGAGATCTTCCGTTACGCCTGCTCTGTCTATGACCTCTGAACCTACGGAAAGACATGCATATATGCTCCGCGACGCTCAAAAATTCTCACCAGCATCACTCATTTTCACTCCCGAGACAAATGACGAACAGAAGGCGAGCCATAGCAAATATGTTTACAGGTATGGTCTCTAGAAGTGTGCTCGATGTTTGAGCAACGCATATACCCACACTGCAACAGCTCAGCAAACTTCAGCGTTTACGACGATAAAAGCACCGATAGCATCATCCGCAGTCAAGATTCGTTTCATAACGTCTGTAATCAGGGCAATCCAGACGTGTCCGACTTTACGTGCACTCTTTGCCAACCCATGGAAGGTGATATCCCTTTGGTTATATATCTTGAAGCTGTACCTATACTCATCCAGTATTGCACGAGCTAGATTATTCGCAAAGAGCTATAGATCGACTTGTTCAACAGTCGATATTTCCGTTCGAACCCTCATTCGATATGCTTCCTACTTACGCTCGCCTCGATCCCGGCCCCAATACCTTGATGGAACTCTCCGCTATACCCTATCTGTTTTGCACACCTGGCCTGAACTTTGCATCCGCACCCGCCCCCGGATGGATTGATGGAGGGAGAACTGACAAACGTACTTATTGATAATTGCTTTGATGTCTCTGGCGTTAGCCCTTTGGATCTTCTGTTTATGGACTCGGAGCTGCTGGGTTGACGGAGATCAAAAGGAACGCGCGCGAATTGGGACTTAATATTGCTTTAGCGTTGTAATGCTATCCGCTTTCCCTCCCTTGTACCGGATTGTTTTTAGACTGCATCAAGTTCGCACACTATCATGTATATTGCCGCTCAGTAACCTGTGATAGTTTCGAGGGTTTCCTAGAATGACTGACACTATCGACCAGTGCCCTTCAGTCCGCATTTTTCTCGACGTATGATCAATCTGGTGATAACGCCATACAGTATCGCCAAGTCAGTACGACAGTGGGGTTTGAGTACCCAACGTATGTCAGTAGCGCTAACTACTGACCGACAGCTCAAGGAACTCATCAACCAACTCGTCTAAGAGCTCTCTTCTCTTGGTGGCAGAGCTGGAAGGAGAAATTGTCCCGTTTAGAACAGACTGGAACGTATCGTATGGAAAGCCAGACCACCGTGCTCTACTTCCAAGGCTTCTACTTCTCAGAACCTTCGTATTAAAGTAAGTGCTTCTATTGGCCTCCTAGGAAGGTTCTGAGAAGTAGAAGCCTTGGAAGTAGAGCACGGTGGTTTGGCTTTCCATAGTATCGGGTGCAGTAGATGGTCAGATAAAAATAGACAAAATGCAACGTGACGTGACGTCAAACTGGTGACTCAAGTTGATCGCCGCATCGCATTGATATCCACATCATTTCACATGTAACTTATAAGCTCAGTTGGACAGACCCAGGAAAGACCTTATTCCAAAGTACATTGCCAGCATGGCACCATCCCGCCCTCAAGTTCGCATACATACAGACCCACCTGAAATCTTCGATGGATCAAAGTCGATCATAGAAGCAGAAAAAGACCAGCCGACCTCCCACGGACGGTTGAACGAGAACCAGGATGAAAAAGTCGCGAGCGAAAGCGAGAAGGATGCCGATGTTTCCTCTGGGCGTGCAGATGAGAAACAGCCATTGAAGCAAAAGATCAAGTTGCCGCAGAATTTGCAATGGATGCCAGCTAACTCTACTTGGTCCAAGTGGAAGCCCGTCATTCGATGCGCCCTTGCCGCCTGGGTCTCAGCAGTGGTATTTATTATTCCCCGAACAGAGAATATATTGGGGCAGGTATGTTCTGTTGTGATCTTTGTATTGTTAGTTCGATGATCATACGTTTTGAAGGCAGCCTTCCTCATAATTATCGGTGAGGAGCGCTCATGTGTATTTTATCTCCTAGCCATTGACTCTCTGCAGCTTCTTTTTTGTCACCGCCTAGCGACCCTTTCATGGTAGTTCTAGAACGAGAACTCATGATACTCGTATCTGTAGCATTGGGTTGGGCGTATGTACAAGTTTTTTTCTCGGTTTCTTCGGTTATATGATGGTTTTTTCTAGCTGGGTCTGCTTGGGCCTCATGTTTGCTGACTTAGCTCGCACCCAAAAGGTACCCAACGCCAGTATACAGAATATTATTACAGGAGAGTACATCGAAGCAGCGGTAAGCTCCCTTTTGAAATCAGTGTATACACTTATATTGACGCGTGCGACCAAAGCCCACTGTAATTATTGGCGTTTTCCTCTTCATCGGAAGCGTTTTCTTCTTGTACATTAAAGCCAGACAAGGTCCTGGACCTTTCCTCTTCGCTTCCGTGTTTGGATGCTTGTGTGTTGGTGCGCATCACTCATACATGCATTTACCTCGAAACTTAAGGATTATAGATATTTGCCTTAGCACCGCCGCTCTCTTTCCTTATCCATATTACAAGGTAACAGATTTTTCCCTCTCTGTAGCATGTACACTCACAAGTCCTCAGATCGGTCAAACTATTATGCTTCCCCTCGCCTTTCATTCTGCGATTGCACTCATCATGTCGATTCTTGTGTTTCCGCAGTCTGTGTCCGCTCTGTTTACGGCGAATTTGCAGGGGGCCATGGCCCCTCTTGCAACGGCCATCTCGTTGCACAGGTCTCACCTGCTCGAAGACGTCACCTCATCCGCGTTCTCATACACACAGATTACAGATGCAGCAAACAAAGCTGAGGGTGCACTGCCTATGCTTGCAGCTGCCGCACGATTACTGAACATTGATGTTGTCTATGCACGCTTCGCACCTACCGACTACGATGAACTGCACAAGATCGTGCGGAAGCTGACGGTACGAGCAAATGGCATGGGTGTGTACTATACACTCATTGATCCGACGCGAGAGCGATTCCCTGTCACACCCGCCGCCTCTCGCCCTGCAACACCTGTTCATTCCAGACCGCCCTCCCCTCGGCCTGATCGGCGGTCTCCCGCGACGACAGAAGAGAAGCACGTACGCTTGACTGACCAGGAGCACAGAGATCACAAACACTCCCGTCATCATCGGCGCCTATCTTCTCGCATGCAGTCATATCCTGCGAGTTCCACTTCACCTCTCCATTCGCACCGCCCGTATAAACACTCGCATTCGCACCACGCCCACCACACGCGCTTGCACAGCTCCTTGATGCACCTGGCGCTTTCTCGGGTGCCAAAGCCGTCTGTGGAAACATCGGTAGGTGTATTTGAATCCCGGCAATATGTGAATTTGGAGGCGATACATTTGTCGCATCCGGAATCAGCTTCCTACACTGCTAGGGCAACGGAGCTGCTCAGTAATAGCTGCCAGGATCTCCTGAGCGTGTGTGAAGAAGTGCTTGGAAGCTCTGGTACCTGGGTAGGTAACGTGCGGAAGCATCCCTTCGATTTTTTGAGGAGGCACCGTGAAGACAGGGCGCAAATCCACGAGAAAGGTGTCCAGAAGTACAAGGACTTGCTCGAAAAGTTAACAAGGGAGCTAGATGAATTCAAAACCACGAAGAGGTATATATGATCCACGTCTTCTTTTCGTGACATTCGCCCCTGAGCTGCCGAGACAGGTTGACTGTTTTAGACCCATATCGTCCAATTTTTGACCGCAGCTATGACGCATCTAGTGACGATGAAGTTCCACCGCATCGGTATCTATTCCATTGTTATGTGTACCAGTACCACCTCTTGCAGTTTGCAGTACTATTGCAAGAAATGGTGCGTCGTTTTCTCTCCATTAGTTCATCGATGAATATCATATCATGCACAGCTCAAAGAAATCATTCGACTCGAAACGGAAAGAAAGAAGCCCAAATTATGGCTTCCTTCCTTGCCAAAGCTGTTTACCTGGACAAGATGGGAAGCGTCCGAGACCATCGACCACGATGATGACGAGGATCCTGGTATATTGCCACATGCGTTCCCATCGTCATGATAGCTAACATTTAAGTGCAGAAATGATTCCAGGCATAAACCCTGCTTGGATGACGGATCTCGGAAAAGCAGTGAAACGTGATCCCGATGCCCTTCCTCCAAGGAATGTGTTTGAAATGGCCATGAACTGGATTTACCGCACCGCTATCAGTATCGGAGGCGGAAACGTGCTCTTCGCTCTGAAAGCGGGCGCGCTAACAGGTCGGCCACGATTCGTTTTTAGTCTGGCTTTCTGACCTGTTTGCTTGCGCAGTGATCTTATGTATCCCATCTTTCGTCAAGTCATCGGCGGAGTTTGCATATGGTGAGTGTGCAGAGTGGGCGCGTCTCTGGACATGTTGACTGATGGTTCTCCAAGCAAATAAGTTTGTTTGGGCGGTGTAAGTTGATCTTTTTCCGCCCTGTAGTGCTATAATGATGAACGCTCTTCAAGTTTCATGGGTCAACTTACGATATCGCGTTTTCGCGGAGACACGACTTTCGGTCTAGTGGCTAGGATCGCGAGCACCTTCGCTGGCGGTTTTATTGGCACCGTCATGTGGTACGTCGCAGACTTGAACGATCTTTCAGGGTACTTCATTATCGCACAGGTATATTTCCACAGGGAGTGGCCGAGGCGATCCTTATGGACTGGGGGCCGTGTGCGCAGTCTGCTTCCCACTATTTTTCTTTGCTCGACTTTATTGGCCCATCCCGCCCATGACGAATATGATCATATGGGTCACATCTGCATTGGTATATTTTAAAAGTTGGCATATCCGAGTAAATGAAACTGATGGTTTGGCATAGGTTGTTGGGTATTCATATGAAGATACCCATTTGACCGTCCCTGCCTCGCCAGGATGGGGTATCGATGTGGCTTGGGTAAGTCATTGTAGATTGTTCTCGACATCATCACTGACGCGTGGTGAAGCGTCGTTTTGTACTAGTCGTTGTAGGTGTCTTAGCTGCTGGGTGAGGGCTTTCTCTAATTGCAGATCTGACATCCCTTGACCACGATGATAGTATTTTCTCCCTCTTCCCTCCGTCAACAACGATTCGTTCGTATCAGCGACGAACACTGGCTACAACATCAGCCGAACTTGGAGCAATCTACTGTTCAGTTGTGTCTTACGCGAACACGCACGTAGAAGGAGACTCCACCTTCATAGTTCAGAGCTTGTTAGCCATCCGCAGTAAACTCAAGCGTTCACTTGTGCTGAAGCAAAACGTCATATACGAGGTGAGTACTAACCGTCCAGACATAGACCCTCACACACATTGTTTCACCAGTTTTCGCTGCGCGGACAATGGCCGGCTGAGAGGTACCACAAGATATTGGAGATTCAACTGTGAGCATCGATATCCTACGATGAAACTGTCGTTTGAACCAGAATTAGGCAAATCGCTTACCTCCTATCTCATTTAATGTGCGTAGCGGGGAATCTGGAACCCGCGTGGGCTCAAGCCTTCCTCCGCCGGACACGGATGCTTGATTCTGATTTCCAAGGCGATGTACTCGCCGTCATCAGTATGCTTCCTGACCAGACTCTTTAGCCTGCAATGACATTACTCTCCCTCCCCAGGTCTTATCTCCCATGCCCTGCGCACAGGCTCTCCTTTACCTCAAATCACCCCGTGTCCCTTGCTTGACAGGTTTATGCTCAGGCATCATGGCCTGAACGTAGTGCATGAAGAGTCAGAGGATAATTATGGATTGCCGCGGACGCTCACTATGGAAACGTTGGAGAATTTGCAGTACCTGTGAGTCTCCCATTTCCCTTTCTCGTTGAAGAGGTAGTCATGCTTTGTTTCAGGATGTTCTGCGTTGGCGTTTCCACCGCTTTCGGAATTATCACTCGCCTCGATCGTTTGATGGTTGCCGTTAAAGAGTTGGTCGGCGAGCAGTATCATATTGATGGTGTGGGGATGGGGCATCACAGAACGTGGGCGGGAGTGGAGACGACATCGCCTAGTCCGATATCTATAAAGAAAACAGAAGTTTGAGTCGTTGATTGTTCACGTTCAACCGTGTAGGATTTCTTGTTTTGTTTGTATTAGTAGATTGTACTCAGATCAATCTGACTGTTCGATTTGTTATCGAGTAGCCATGGAGGAAGGCAAACCCAGGATAAGCGTAGTTCCACGTCAGGAAAGGCATAATGACAGTCGCGACGTGCACTCTCTGCGGTCCTGATGTCACGCTCGTCTCATGCTCTAGAAAATGCTGATACTTGCCGCTATTGGGAACGAAGATACCGCACCCGCGCCCTTTGTCGAGCACAATCATGGCCATCAAGCACTAATTGGTATCGTGTGCTACATATAAAGAGGCCACTAAAATAAGTAACACTACATTGGCTGCCCGGGTTTAACGTTTATTGTCTTACGACGGATATCTGCAGACAGCCAAGGAAAGGGAAAGATCAAACCAGATCCCAAAGATCCCCTCGCACGACAACAAACCCAAACTACTACTTCCACACCTTCCATCCCATCGATAATGTACGTCAAAAAACCCACTATGATACAATCGCTGAAACCGCATATCATACCATGAGTCTCAAACCCCATATTGATCCAACTTCTGATCCGAAACACCTGGAAACCCATGATTCCTGCCAATCTTCTTCATATGAGCAGCGTCGCGAGCGTACTCTTCTTCGGTCGTATCGTACGAAGGCCAACTCTCTCGTGTCAGGACGAGTCCCTGGTTAGGTTCGTTCTCTGGCTTGGTCACGACGTGGAAATGCACGTGGTCGACACTTTGCCAGGCTGATCTGCCGTTGTTCTGATCCGCGTGTTAACTTAGCGCACGCGGAAAGTAGGAGGAAGCGTACCTGTATGATGTTGTATGAATCTTCACCGTTCATCACTGCTATCTTCTTCATTATAGGACCGATGTCCGCGAGGAACTCATCCGGGAGCCCGGGATCCGTCAAGGTCCGTGAATGATCTAACCAAACAGGTTAACACAGGTTTACCTAGATTGAAAGGGGACGCACATTTGGGTATGATAAGCGTGTGCCCATGGGAAACAGGAGGTCGAGCGAGAAACGCGAGACTTGCAAATATGGTATTGGTGATTGAACAGTGACTGAGTGATGGGGCGTACCTGTGTTTCGTCTCATACACCTTGAAACTCGGCGCTTCCCCGGTTACAATCTTACAGAATATACAACTGTGGAAATGCTTGAGTGAGAGAAAAAAACAGAACGAGATTCCACGCACTTGGGGTCGAGCTTCGTCGCATGCGGAAGTGTCCCCGCATCGACGTTAGATATCACCTCGGAATCTACTGTCGAATGCGGCGCGGTACCGGATGTCAGCAACGATTGTGACACAGGATCCATTGAATGAGACGTGGTGGTCGTAGTAGGCAACTGAATGTGACGATAAGCTTTGATTGGAGACGCGGTGTATGATAAAGGTATGACAGGTCCTGAAAGATAAAAACAGCTCACCATTCCCTCAGACTTTATATGTGATTCCACAGGAACAATGTCTTCCTGCGGAGGGTCCAAGCGAGCAGTGAAAATGGAAGTGAGTAAGAGGAAGGCACTGGTCAAGAGGAATGACTTGTGGCGTAGGAGGGTGTCCATGGTGGATAGCGTCTATATCCTTGTTATCGCACTTTGAAACCTGTGTGTTGCGGCACTGCCGCAACACTGGTCTTGGTCTTGGTCTTGGGTGTCTTCTGTGGAAGACTCGTTAATTTGGCAGGTTGCCAATGGACGCTCAGACCGGTTCAGGTATTGCTGTGCGGCTGAGACAATGAGTATGCTCAGTGACTCGGCATGGCCATGGCAGTGCGCGACAGCAATTACGGCATGTATGGCACCAAGCATAAGACAGCAATTGTACCTCAAACAAAACTCAAATGATATAATGTAATTGTCGTGTTATAAACATGTCTATATGGTGGCCAGTATGCAGCATACATTCAAATACGAGCTTGACAGATGGTATCCAGGACGAAAGGTGTTCGTTTGAATTGTTGCTATTGATATTGGCGCTGGCATGCTGTGTTGGCTTGGTGCTATCATTCCTTTGACTCCCGGAGTGAGCATCTCGGCTCATCCAATCCACCGCTAGTTGGGCTGACGGGTATCGAGAATTTTGCCAAAGCCGTGAGCGCATCAGAGATAAATGGAGGAAAAGAACTGCGGCTCTCAGGCCTGATCACTGCAACTTGAAACGCTAGGTCAGCTCGGCCTTCAAATATGTTGTTGGACAGCCTGAGGAACGTCGAGAATTAGGTCGCGGGAGTAACAAGGCGGCAGGTAGAATGCGGCGAGCGCAGCATGGATGGCTCATATGCTGAGGAGTAATGATAGATACCACAGCGTCGGATTAACACATGAAGATATTTCAAGGCAAAAGGACAGCAGCTAGTGGAACTATATAGCTCTTTAGTCGGCGCGTGCCAGTGGCACCCCACCAGAGCCAATCCCAGCGACCGTTCCTAGCCCAACACGTCGAATGAAAAACGGAAAATGCTCACGACATAGCAATCTTGCTATCCCCCCACTCCACAAGATATGTAAGCCCGAACTGCATAAAAACAGGTCCCAGTGCAAGATTGCAGATGGTCCTTACGCCTTCCGCGACGCCCCCACCCGAACTTTCCGATTTCCCGCATTCGGGATGAAGAGATCAGATTCGGGATGATTGGGGGAGAAGGTATGAATACTCCTACAACTCACCTCAATTCCCTCTCGATCTCTTCTGTTGCCTCTTTCATCACATGGAAATGAACGCATGGGTAGGAGGGGAGGAAAGGTCAGTGTTTGGTGAAAGTATCATACCATGACACATAGCGCCCTCCTACTAAACAGCAAATGCAATACAACGTGTGGGTCGACAGTCCAATGACTTTCGGAGGATCTAATCGAGCGGTGAACGTTTCACATAGAGGATCGTAAAACAAAGGTACTGGCCAACAGGAAGGACTTGTAGAGCAGGATGTCCATGATAGCAGAACGTCAGGGATCGTCCGGCTCAGAGGCCGTTCCGATTATCTTTAACAGATACATCAAAATGGGAATTCGTGCTGGCACAAACTTTTGTGACGAGGTGGTGACTCGACGGACAGAAGATAGGCAGAGACAGGATGGACAAAAATCACGAAAATGCTCACGACAACGGCCTGAGCAGCTTTGAATACGGTGGTAAAGTCATCTGAAGAATTCGCAGTCGTCCTCCATGACAGCACAACTTGAAGGTTGCGTCAACTCAAGCTCTTTGTCCGCGTGATACAGAACACTGATGAGAATTTCAGGGTCCGCGATCGTGGGTATCTTGTTTGTTGAACGCTCCGAGTGAAACCCGAGTACCGAGTACTGAGTGATGGCAGTACAGTGGAGTGACCGAAGGTCATTGAAATGCCGCTGATATTCTTCTTCGGTCAGTTCAAATCGCATTTGCCGTCGGCAACGGTGACCAAGGTACGGAAGACATCTTGCCGACGACGACGACGCTTCAAGAATGACGATGACACAGAGGAGCACGTCGATGAGGAATGTTGCGCAGTAACAGGCCCTGGCTTCTCGGACCCAGGAGTTCGGGACGGGCTCAGACACCAGTGGAATCTGAGGGGATGGATGACTCGGAGACACTGGATCTGATGCGAACCAGGACGCCACACTAGTGACGTGCACTGCGAGTCTAAATCAATGCTGACCAACCTGCCGAGTGTGCGTTCTCCTCGAAATTTGCGGTGATCAGACTCAGAGTCGGATGTTGAGCGAAAGTGTACATTCCAGGCTGATTGCCACTCTGATGCTGATCTTAGACTCTTAGTATCTTCAATTGTCATGAGCTATTTTCCAATGTTCGACTTTTATCTGAACATACCACTGATTGACGCACAGCTCTACAACCCGCCCCTCCTTCCTGCGAATACAAGCTCGAGCTCTGCTGGCTGCGTCTTTCCCTGCCTCCACTGGCTCCCCATCGGATTCGTCAGCAAAGGCTAAGATGAATCAACACCGCCTGATCAGACGTATTCTGGTCACTTGTTGTAATCCATTGGGGGGTGCCAAATGTTTGCACCCAGACATTCCCGGGAGACTAGGGTTTTATGGGTATAGCATGGAGACATTGTCCTAGATACATTCATACGTATACTAGAATTATTCATAACAAATGATGGTATCCAAGAATGTGCATCTGCTGAGATGCGATGAATGAAGGTATGTACATATGATGGTGTCTAGTCACGTTGTGAGATCTGAGACGAGTATAAGATCTGGATGCGATAGAGAGACGAGATAAATGACACATAAGTAATACAACCCATGATGATGATACAGTACGGTCCAATGATGAGAATATGGAAGTCCTTCAATTGCGCTTTAATTTTGCAAAGCGGGATCTCCGGAGAAACATCCGTTCTCGAAATCTTGGAACCAGGATTCAAAAACTGGGTCTGATGAGGAATCGGCGAGACTTGCAAACTCGGCGTCTAGGCAAGCGCCAATGTCATTTGCATCTATAATTGGAGAACCATGCTCGAAAGGCTTGTACCAGTCAGAGATCCAAGAGTCAGATGAAGGATTGCTAAGTTCAGCCTCTAAGGAGGTGGCAAAGTCATCTACATCGACGACAGGCGCCGGTGGGAGCTCAGGAGAGGGAGACGCCGCAGGCGAGCCAAACATGTCCACATCATCTTCCTCTGTTGAGGTGGTTGAAAAATCTTGGGCCATACAGTCATTGACCGTCATTTGAGTTTTCACCATCATTTGCAGTTTACCTTGTATGACACTCGAATTTGATACTATCCCATGTAACATTTTTGTTCTATCATACGAGTTATATGCCTAACTACATATTGGCAGTAATGATAGGTATAAAAGACCTCGAACAACTGTGCGATGTTATGTTTTGTTGCGAAATTTTCACTATTATACGTCCCTGAAAGCAAAACAACTAGAATCAGATTCGTAAATTGAAGAAATACATGCAAACAACCTTCAAGCACATCACTGTTCTATTCCACAAGGGAGCTGATGAGTGTGTGTGTTGCCAGAATGTTGCCTGGTGCAGAGTGTCTCAATAGTATCTTATCAGCAGTCACCGAAGCAAAATAAGTGAGATCCGATAAACACGGACTTGATATATGATCGAGGATCATCGTGTCAAGCTTCGATACAGGTGTACTTCATGCACGTCTGTTGAGTACAGTAGTAACACAGTGGCAATCCATGAGTGTGCTGTTCAGTCCATCAACCTTTACTCACCACTCGAGATGGCCAAGCATGCACAGTCTGTCTCAATGAAAAAACGGCTCGCATCTCGTGAACGAGAAAAAGCCATTGCTCATGCCATGGAGGCCTACAAAGCCGAGCTACAGAAACCTGAGATGGAACGGAAACCACTGAAAACCATCTGTCGGGAGGCAGCAGAGGAATGGAAGGAGAAAGGGATATCTGTGACTGTGAGTGCTGACACAGTGCGAAGACGTCTCACAGGAGGAAGAAGCCACACTGAGTTCAATGCTGAGAAGAATGCATGGCTTGCACTGGAGGAAGAGACGAAAGTTGTTGAATATTGCCTTGCACTTGCAAAGAGAGGTTTCCCACTTAATCACAAGCAGCTGAAGTTTCACTGTCGACTCTCTTTTGCAAGCACAGCTCGGTGATAAATTTCCAGAAGGAGGTGTCGGCAAAAACTGGTCTACTCGATTCATTCAGCGGCACTCTGCCGATTTGTGCCGCTATTGGAGTACCTTGTTAGATACTGCTCGAGGTTGTGCAGTTAATCCAAACACGAACACGCAATGGTACAAACTGTTAGGAGACACACTTACGGAGAAGAAAATTGAGCAGGATTGCATCTGGGCTGCCGATGAGAGTGGCTTCCAGCTGGGACAAGGATTAAAGGAGCGAGTTATTGGTGTGGCACATCAGAAAATACAATATCAGCAACGTGATGGCAATCGTGAAAATATCACAGTCATGGTGACAATCTGTGCTGATGGCGAAGAGATTCCTCCTACCATAATCTACAAGGGTCAGTCATTTTCAACAAACTGGCATCAAGGTAACACAATCAATGCTTTGTAAGTTGCTGAACTTCTTAATTTGCGCTGGAACTTACCCATGTGCAGTGTTGCCCACTCGCCCAAAGGGTGGACAGATGGTGTCATCGGCCATCTGTGGATTGAAGATTTCGACAACAAAACACGTGCGAAGTCGAACGGACGCGCAAGGCTGCTTCTTGTCGATGGACACAACTTGCATTACACTCAAGAATTTCTGGAGTATGCAAGAGAGAACAACATCCACATCCTGTGTTATCCAGCACATGCTACCCATATCTACCAAGGGCTTGATGTTGTGGTATTCGGACCACTCAAACACTACTGGACACGAGAGAGAGATGAGTACGAGCGGACAATGAGGCGAAAACTTGACAAGACAAATTTCATCTCCATATATAGCAAGGCCCATCAAAAAGCATTAACACCTGAGACGATTCATGCCGCTTTCAGGAAGACGGGTGTCTGGCCATTTAATCCTGATGTGGTGACCGAAGATATGATGGCACCAAGCTTGGTGACATCCTCAGTTGGCCATCTGCCAATATTGCAGCCAAGTCCCGTGAAAGCACTCGCAACCATCATCCATCAGTATCACGAGGATCAAACACCACAGTCAACATTGTTAACACCACACTGGAATACACTTGTTGGACAAGCCCTCGATGACCTTGCATCTTCATCAGTATCATTTCTCGTTTCCGACACTCCCATTACCTCCCAAGATCAGCTCCCTGCATTTACACCAACTTCGTTCACACCTACCCACAAACAAAAACATGCGGTCCTTGATCATCAACCTGAAACAGAACATGAGCATGAATGTCATGATGCGTTGCGAGAGGCATACAAGCATGAAGATTATTACAAGGGGGCCTTGTATGGGATGCAGTCCACTGCAGTGTTGCAGGAAATGTACTGCAAAACATTATTGAGTCAGCTGGCTGCACAGGAAGAGAAGAAGTTAGCAAGAAAGCGAGAGAAATTAGTAGGCGACAGACTACCGAGACTCCTCACAGGAGACAAATTTTACCGCTCGGTTGTTGATCACAACAATGCGGCAGATGCAGAGGTGGCAGCACGCGAAAGCCATCAGCAAGAGAGAGATGAGCGAGCGAGTTTGATGAAAGCATGGAAAGAGGAGGATGCAAAGCGGCTGGAGAGAAATGAAGTGCGCAGGCAAGAATATAAGGAGGAGTTGAGGCAGTGGGAGGAAGAGCGAGCAAAGGCAAAGTTGGAGAGATGACGCATGACACATGTCAAACCGAAGCTTGGGAGACTCAAGGCCCCACTCCCAAAGCCGGCACTCGCCCACATTGACGAGGAAGAGGATGAGTCAGATGATAGCGAGGAAGAATATTAAGCTGTGCGACTAGGGAATAAATCTGCCTTTTTGGGTGAACTCAAATGATGGTGAACGTACGATAACACCAAGATTTATGCACTTTTCATTGTGGAATAACGTCTCATTTGATGTTCTTAAAAATTTTGTTTGAAGTAGATTAGCTATCTATCGTGACATCCCCGAAAGCGATTTTCGAGATTGTGTCGGGTTGTGTTGTGGTAGACATCCGAAAATTTCGAACTCAAATGACAGTCAATGACTGTAACTGGTGAGGGAAGAAGCGCTGTGGATTGCTTTGCGGGCAGCAGTGAAATGTCATGGCAGATCACAGGCAAGGGTGGTGCTTGCTGGGTCGCTGAGCTTGGTCCAGGTCTAGGGGAGTGCTGAGTGGCGATTTGTGCAGTACGCCAGATCCCAGGCAAAGGCGGGGCCCACTGGGTCACTGAGCTTGGTCCAGGAGCGGTGAATTGTGCAGCAGGGGATATGTGCAGGGTTTGCTGGGGCACTGAGCTCATGGCAGGTCCTGGCACCCGGAAGGTGAATGGGCCTTCAGGGACAGTGATGGTTGGCAGAGCCATCAAGGTGCTGGTCACCGATGAGCTAGCCGAAATAGCATTCTGTAGTTTTGCCTGGTTGGCCAGACACCACGCGCTTCCTCTATGGCGCGTCACAGCATCCCCACAAGTAAGACTATTAAGAATCAACAAGTCAGCACCATAGTCACATTTGAAAGCAGCGGGGTACTCACGCTGTGTTACAGAGGTCGCACAGCACCAGAGCAATGTCTGGCTGATGGGTTTTCAATTCTCTATGCTTATGCATGCTGCCTGCTTCCAGTACTGCGCCGCCGCACGCAGGGACTTGGCACTCGTACTTTATCTTTCTGTCAACATAGACTTCTCTCTGAGAAGAGAAAAAAGTGTTAGCGGGATGGCAAGAATAAAAGAAACAAAATTGACTCACAAAATCAGGGTCCTCCTTGGGGGGGAGGCGTCTCTGTCGCTTGTTCTGTTGGGTGTCAACAGCATCTACTGCCCTGCGCTTCCCTTGCTGCACCGCACTTCCACCAGACGAGCCTACAGATGGGTCGTGGACGAATCCCTGGTGGGAGCCGCCAACATGATGGTCCTAGCTAGCTGCGGCATTGGGATATGTCTGCTGGGCTACCACAGGAGCAAGACCAACTTGCATTGATGGAACGCAAGGTGTTACATTCATATACTGAGGGGGCGGGGCAAACCCACCATACACGTGAGGATGGGTGGGGAAGGGGTGTGGTTGGAAAGGCTGCTGAAGAGGATAGGCAGCTGGAGGAGGGGTATGCATAGGCATCATCACTGGCTGTGCATCTTGTGCACCACGAGGGTTGAAGCGGGTGGTGCCATTGCATATCTGGCATTGGGAACCGGCCGGGGTGGAGCGTATGCTGAACTATACATCTCAGGAGGGTACCTCGGTAAATGATGCTGAGGCTGAGGCTGAAGCTGAACTTGTTCAGCATGTTGCTGGTGTGTAGATTGGGTGACCTGTGTGGCGCCATTCTTATGATACTGCGCATTGCGCAAAGTACCAGTGCCAGAATTAACAACATCGGTCAAAGCCGTGTCCGTGGAGGGACACACGCAGAAGTCGCTAGGACCTTGGACTATCCAACGGGTTTGTTCCATGATTAAGAAGGACAGAGGGATATGTGAGTGGCTGTTAGGTGAAGCAAGCACACCACAGTTTAGAGCACAAGTTAGACAGTACTAGTGAGGAAGTGGAAGAGAAAATGCGATGAGTGAGGATGAGGAGGAAAACAACACAAGTGGCAGTATTTAACTGCCAACACGCTTCAAGCAAACAACACGGATAACATATGTGGGCGCGGCATTTCCTTTTTCGCGCTGTGGTCCACAACTTGTTGCCCTAGGAAAGCGAAACGGTGACCCAGCTTGATACAAAGAAAAGCATCCACCATCATGTGCGCAGATTATTCCAACGGAAAATGGTCAAACACGCGTGCCACCCGGATATCCCCCCATGTGAATGTGAAGTTGTTCAATCAAGCACGTCAATCTTCGGAAGGTTTGGTGAAAGTGACCTTTAGACCGCGTTGAATTTGGATTTAGAATGCACCTTCACCCTGGCTTGTAGAATTTTCTTCGCGCACATATTTTTCTCAGTTGCTGCCACCAGTCATTGAATTGCATGCCGGAAAATCTGATTCACGAGATATATCAACACAAAACACATTAGACAGGAGATTGCATGCTTATTGATTTAAATAAATATAATTTCATGTCCAACCACTAATGTGACACACGGGGTATGTGTCTCTAACGCGTCCAAGTAGCATCGCGTCTCTGACGGTCACATCGGTCACTTCTCTATCACATCACAGTTAGTCATCGGCCTTAACAAGCAGATGCCACTTACTACCACCAAGTTTAAATGTTAATTTTAGTCCACATTAGATCATGATAATCAAATTGTGATTTCAGAGAAGGGTCTCGACTGCGTAATCACAGATCCTGAGCACGATTAGTCAGTCGCATTGCAAGTAGTCCACCGAAATACGAAAAAGTCCTGGTGGTGGACATGTCCCAATTCAACAACAATAGACAAACCGCGCAAACAGAACCTGGGCAGCGGATGAACAACTCACCCAAAACGGACCAATGAGCACAATGTGGTAGCAGATGAACAACTGGCCCACAATGGAGCAATGAGCACTCCACCATGACAGTCTGGCACACGCTCTCAACGTCTGCAAGCGCAAGGTTGAATTCCTGCATGCAGGAGAACGTATCAGATTGCATGAAGGACCATACGAGGATATCAAGGTAAGAGGCATACTATCGAGTTGAGCACAACCACTGACCGAGTACAGAAATTGCTTCACAGATACAGTGTCCTTCGCAGAAGGTGAGGTCAGACACCTGGGAAGTCATTTCGAACCGCATGGATGGCAGAGACCCAGGCATATACCGCGGATCTGCAGAATTTTGGTTGGTGCTGCTTGTTGACTTGGCATTTGATTTGACTTGGAATAAATGGTTGTAGGATACATTGTCTGCCTTGGCCATTCCTGCCAAGGATTCAAGCATCTGTATTTCCAAGACACCCAAGTGAGACAAGGCATACATAAGAGAAAGCATCTGCATAAGCCAACGTGTATTGCCTCCCCAGTTGTTGTGACAGACTGTCTAAGTGCCCGCAGGCACATCCCCAGCAAGAAGGGATTTCGGCGCGCACTAACTGGGTCGCCAAATGGGGACAAACCAGATGACTCACTCCATCCTACTTAAGAATACGTGCCAAGGCACTAATGGGGGAAAATCAAAATTGAGGATACTTACCAGTGTGCCCGTGCTAGGCGCAACACTCGGACATCAAAGCAAAGGTAATATGGCGGTATCATCAACACGGTCAAACACCATTTTAATCACCTTGCAGATGGCATAGCTATGCCAAGTAGAATCAGCATTTGTGCCCTTCACTCTCCATCAAAACTCAAACTCACCGATCAACCTCGAGCGTACTAAAAGTCTTGATATGGTGTTGCTTCAATATCTCCTTCTCACTCTTCAAAATGCTCTGCAGGGAGGTGGGTCTGGGGATAGAGCAGGGGGGGTTGAACTTGAACAGGACGGGGACACCGTGAATGTTGTCTACTGTATTAATTTCATGGGCTTCTATTCAGATGACAGAGTCGAATAATCTGTGGATGATGCGGTCACTTGCTTCAATATCTCCTTCGCCCTTCGAGATGCTCTGCAGGGAGGGGGGAACCCCAGCCGAACTTAGCGAAAATGAAGTCTGGGGATAGAGCAGGGGTTGAGGCCGAAGAGGACGGGTATGCCGTGGATATTTTGCGCTGTGGGTACTGTCGACTGCATTTATATCGGCTTGGGCATCCATCCAGGTGAAACATTCGTATACTCTGTGGACCCAATATCAACTCGGTGGAATGAATCAAGTGAAACCACCAGTCTTTCCGAAATAGTGCCCATGGCCAAGAAATGGTCTCCGCAAAGGGTGACAGAGAGCCGCCCCTTTTCGACATGAGCCTGCACAGCAGATGTGATACTGGACGGCTACTCTCGCAGACCTGGATAACGAAAATTTTCAACTTCACGATGAGCGTGTCAGTGGGACCTCATTTGTCATTTTCCCCGAAAGTCAGCTGCTACACATAATTGAGGCTGAAGGCAAAGCAAAGGACCACCTGCAAGAAATTTATCCTTGTGCTTGACAACATGTCATTGTCAATGTGAGACGACAAAGTAGCTGACTAAGCTACGGGCACGTAATAAAGATATCAATATCATCGTTCGTAATAGGCAAGTCTACCATGGCATGCAATACACACTAATAGTAAGTGCAAGGGTATCCAGTGCTAAAAGCCTCGATAGCGCTGGCGTACTAGGCGGGTCATGGCTTGGCGTGCTATCACTATGTAGGCGATGGTGCTCATCACTACCAAACGGCGCGTAGTCAAATAAATCAGCTCGACTCCCCAACAGGACTGATAGGCATCGAGAATTCTTCTGCGGAAGTAGCCAGCGCGTCGTAGAGATAGATAACGCCGAATATGAGGAAGAGGACTGCGCCTCCTAGGGTCACTGCAAATGTTGGGTCAGCTCGGCTTCTAAATGGGTAGTGGGCAGCAAGATAGATGATGATCAACAAAATCGAAACAGCGGGCGTAAAAGAAAAGTAGAACACGGTGGGCACAGCAGGAACGACACATTTGACGGGGAGTTATAATAGATGTCATGCCGTCCGAGAAGAAAGGACAGCAGCTGGGTGGAAATATACAACTCACCATGCTTGACAGATATTTTAGTTGACACATACCGCCCTCCTATCACAGCCAGTGCCGTACAACACGTATGTCCAATGACCGTCCCCAGCGTCACGAGATACACGTTCTAAAACCGCATCTCATCAACACAGCTCCTCGAACGAAGGAGAGAGCTCACATGGGCAGCACCCAAAGCAATCGTAGCAATCTGACTCCTATCCCCCCACTCCCCGAAGAAAGTAAGCACGAAGGCCTGCACGAAAACGGGTCCGAGCACAAGACTGCAAAAATTCCTCACGCCTTCTGCAACGCTCGAACCCCAACTCGTGTTTTTCTGTTTTCTCGTGTTCGGCGACGAAGGCGACACCTCTCCTTCCTCAAGTCGTTCAAGCGGAATTCCACCCTCAAATTCATCCCCTTCAATTTCTTCCTCCGCTTCCTTCATCTCCTCTTCGGCCTTGCCACTCCCTTCCATCTCCTTCGCTTCCATCACCATCTTACTCCCAAACACCAAAAATAAAACGCCAGCCATGACCTGAGTCCATTTCTTGGGTAAAAGCGTAGGTAGGATATGACCCAAGGACGCTGAGAGCATGCTCATGAGCAAAAGGGATGTGAAGGCGCCTAGGAAGACAACGAGGCGGGCATGTCGCATGGAGAGGATGGCGGAGATAAAGAAGGTTTTGTCGCCGATTTCGGAGAGTATGATCGTCATGAATGAACGGAAGAGGATTTCTGCAGAGAGTTCGGGAGGCGTGGTGGGTGGTATTGTAGACATCTTGGATAGGATTGGGGGTTAGGTGGTAAGTGGGAGAGAGAGCTTGGTTTAATACTTACTGTGAACGAGGACTTGTTGCAAGCTGTCTGGGATGAGAACTTTTTATTTGAGGAACGTGCGCAGTCGATGCTAAAAGTAATGGCGGTGGGCAAAGCTCGGTTGGAAGTCTCTTCCCACGTTACGCCGCAACTATGATGTCAGTACGCCTCGGCCTAAAACCACAACGACAACGACCAAAGCAAGATTTAAATGTGTTCATCATACCCTCAATCAACACTGCGTGAAGCTACAGATCATCGCGGTGGCAGGGTGATGCAGGGATTGTCGGCGAGTACTAACAATTACTCAGAAGGTTCCCCGAGTTCAACAACCAAGCAGTTGATATATCAAAACTACAGCACTTGGTAATGAAGGTAACAGATGATGATCTACTGGCCTACGCCGAGCTGTCTGCAGACAAACATTGCTCCTCCTGTTGGTCGTCTCGACCCCCCTTAATTTCACCATGTTCGCGTTGAACGTTAACACCCATCCCCAATCTTCTTTGACTCCTTGGGACACGACGACGCAGATCCGCTGTCCAAATCGCCGTTGTACTGATGATCACTAGCGTGTCAAACGAGAACGACGAGTTGCACAGCATCCAGAAAGCACGTACCCTATACGCGCAGATCGATTCCTTGCCATTATCCTTGTAGCTGCCGGCCCATCAGCCACTTTGTTCGATAAAGGTGGTGAGTCTGACGCACATGCAAACCAATCCCGAAGTGCCGGAGTATTCGTAGTCGTAGGAGAGCCTCACGTCAGTACCGTTGACATTCAGTGTTTTTGGGCACGTTGCACATGTTTTCGCGTTGGCGCCAACGAGGAAGCTGGGTAGCGCAAAGGTGATGAAGCGGGAGGTGAACATTGTGAAAGTTGTTGATTTCTACGAGATGAGGCCATACTAGCATTCAATATTCAGGGCCAAGCAGGAGTTTTACTTTTTGACGGAGGGCAAAGCCCGGTCTCTTCCAAGTTCCCACACCTACATCACAACTATCATGTCAGTAGCTCATTGATTATGAGGGTGCGGTGAACACGTTTGTGATTTTACTTGGTTTAAATCTTGCTTAAGCTTTGGTCGTTGTTTCAGTGGGCTTTTGGTCGAGGTGTACTATGACACACAAATTTTCACAAAACGGCCTGTGAACGTGGAGTGAATCTCATAGACCGGTATATAGTCACCGTTTCACGATCCCAAGCAAACACACGTCCATACAACCTGCTCGCAATTAGCAGCGCAGTCTCCTTATCGACGCATACGTACGTGCAAGGAGGCAAGACTACGAACACGCGCAGCCTCCTTGTTTTATGATGCGCTCATTCATGCACGATTCGTGTCGCGATCGCCTTCAAAGTGCCCTGCAATGGCTTGTGCAATTTCACAATCCAGTTTCCTTGTACTGTTGTTTTTATGCATCTCATCATGGCATCGTAACAGTTCTCAATGCGGAACAATATCTTAATGAAATTTTATGTGCAATCAATGTCCAATGGGTATTCCCTACAACGGCCCATCAATCTTTGTGGGTACTCCGCAAGAGTACCAGAAGTATATGTGTAGAAAAATCGAAATTCACTCCCATGATCTTCCCCCCTGGGTGTGTTAGCCCTGTCTTCTCACCTGGTATTGATTCCTGAGCTATGGGGCAACAGGCACGTCCGTGTTTATCTTTGTCTAGAAAGGACTTGAGGTGAGTTTCCACTCGAACCTACAACTGAGCTGCGTTGGAAGAAAGTGAAGGGTAAGTGGGCCCTGGAGCAGTGCTGGGTGCGTGCTACCTACATATTTCTGTCTAATTAGGATTTATTGACTCGGATGGACATGGCAGGCGATTAATTAGGAGAAAATGCAGCTGTTGGGGAGAGAATTGAGGGGATGCTGTCGCTGCTTGGGGTTGTTTGGATGTATGGCGAACTCTTGGAATGTATTCGTTGTCTCTGTCTCATAAAAGAGACCGTTATTCTACGTATGGCCTTCCTTTCACTGCGAGCTTCATGCTTCATGCTCATTGCTCATCCGTTATTTTCCAACTCGGTCCCAACCCCCTCTGAAGACCCATGCGCGCAAGCCGCCTGTGCATTGTGTTTATTGCATCTTAAAAGCAATACTTGGTCAGCATCTGCAAACTACTGGATAACGGTGTATTGGGAGAAGTGTGTCTCATTACTACCCTCAATATTCTGGCGCTGACTCATACAGGAGGAAAACAACGAGGAAGTATCGGTCAGGGAGAACATCAGGCAAGCCGATGGTAGCAAAACCAGCACTACCCTTCATCAACAGCCCCGGCAACTTATATCCCTTGCGGCGCTCTTGTTTTGATTTTTTCTGGTGTGCTAGGTCATTATGCTTAACTTCAGAGGGCGCTTGTGTGCGTTTGTATATGATTCTATGCTCTCCGTGATGTGTATATGTTCAACACTCCTTAATCATATGTCTCGCCACCCTTGTACATTACGTACCCAACCTTCTGGTGCTTATCACCGTCGGAACGGCATCCGTCTGGAGATCCATTACTAAGTAGATGCAGGGAATAACAAAATACGCGTTGCGTATTCCCGGGACCCAGCCCCACTTGCCTCCATCATGGTGAATTCTCGTGTATGCAATGTGCCCGAGTTCTGGAGTTATTTGCAAGATCGTACTGTGTCGAGTGCTTTCCGGAGAAAGGGACTTAATCAATCACGAGACAAAAAATGGAGTAGCAGACCAAAGTTTGAGGGTTGTCGATGCATATGATAGAAAATCGTTGGACGCTCTTCTCTGGTTTTCTTCTCTGGTGCAACGCGAAGCTGAAGTCCGCGCATAAGATGAGGGAGAATGATCGATTATTGCATCTACATTTCAGCGAGTGAGGGCAGCTGTGTAGGACAACAACCCACGCAAGACATTATTCATGCGGCCATCCAGAGTAGACGGCCCCGCGACACTTACGAACCATAAGCATTGGACTATCACTATTGAATGCGAGGGGATGTATTTTCGAAGGTGTGGAGATATACGTCGGACCGATGTGTGAAGGCGCGGGGTGTTATACAGGTGTTGTCCAGGACGACACGAATGATGACGGGAAGTATTCTGGCAGCGGCCTTAATGGAAGCAAACTCTCATGCCCTGGGCGTCTATGGAATCACGAGGCAGGTTAATACAGTGGAGCAGCATCAAACGCACGGTACATCGCACCTCTGCACCAGAAAGACACTCAGAATCCCTCCACCCAAGTTCACTTTGACCGTATCAACACCATCAACCTCCAGTAAAATGTCGCAGCTCATTCCAAGTATCACACCCCATCGAACTTTTAAACATCATACACAATGGATATGCGGTGTGGTAGCTTTCCCCGATAGACGACGGATGGTCACATGCTCGTATGACAAAACAGTTTGTCTGTGGGACGTCAAGTCAGGTGTAGTGTTGAAGAAGATGGAGGGGCATGGTAGGGAAGTGCGAGCATTGGCGGTATCACGAGATGGGAAAATCATAGCAAGCGGCGATATTGGTGGAGAGTTGAATGTCTGGCACGGAGAAACTGGGGAATCACTCGCCCAAGCCATCAAAGACCACTCCAATTGGATCCACTCGCTGGACTTTGCTCCCCATGGAAAAGTGCTGGCCACTGGTTCATGGGACGGAACAACAAAGCTGTGGAACACGACAACATGGCAGATAGAAGGGAATCCAGTGCAGTGTAGTGGTTCCGTCTACGGCGTTCAGTATTCGCCGTCTGGCGAACTTCTTGCCATCGCAACATCTAGCAATATCGAAATTTATAAGTCAGGCACGAGGGAACGCGTCGCAATCTTCAAGGGTCACATATCAACGAACCACACTCTCGCGTGGACGCTTGATGGCACACGACTTCTCTCAGGGGGCGATGAAAAGGATCCCACTATACGGGAGTGGGATGCATCCACTTGGACGCAGGTCGGTGGTCCCTGGATGGGCCATACTAGCTATATCTTCACCATTGCCATTCATCCTGCGGGCAACCACGTCGCGACCGCATCTCAAGATATCCGTCTTTGGCGGCTCTCAGATCAACAAACCATCGCCATCTTCCAGCCCTGGCCGGGATGTGTCACTTTCTCCATCGACGGCAAGCAGATCTTCAATGGAGGTGACAATAACATGATCTCAGAGTGGGAAACACCCAAGGGCGTATCAGGGGCGAGTTTCTATCCTTGACTCTGATAACGCAATTCGAGCATGTTTCACGTCACAGATCCTCTCCGTCAATAAAACTGCCCGCGATGCATGCATCGCAGGGGACATGTCCACCGCTGAAGAAGTATTCACACGAGAGATCGACGCCGACGCAAACAACTACACATCATATGCCAATCGTTCATTCATTATGGCGCGAAAACATGCCTGGGATCACGCGCTTGATGACGCAAGCAAGGTGAGATAGACTAACTCATCATCTCTCTCTTACTTACAAAAGGCTGACTTTCATTATCAATTTGTGGCATAGTCCGTCGCCATTCAGCCCTCCTTGACAGGTTATATCTCCCAAGGCATCGCCCTATGCGGAAAAGGTCTGGTCTGGGATGCGAGGACAGCGTTTGACCTCGCGTTCATGTTCACGGACGAAGATTCAACAATTACTCATTTCCTTCTCTTGGTTAAGGCATGTTCAATTTTCCTTGCATACTCCCTATTTCATTGTGGATTTCAGGCTATCACTATTTTCAACGCAGATGAACATCAAGAAGCAATTCACCGTGTCCGGAAGTTGGCTGCCGCTTGTCCGAATAACGACACTCTTGCTTGTCGTGTCGTAGAGGTGAGCATCTTGATCAAGCCCAGGTTTCATGCATTTACACCAATTTTTCGCATATCAGGCATATCTATGTGTTCAGCTTGGAAGTAATGCCGCGAACCATAACGAAGCCGTTGACTACTTCACTGCTGCTGTCAATGCTAGCGCTTTTTCGTCTACATTGCCTATTCATTCTATATATGGGGACCTGGTAGTGGTATGTTCATATGATTCATATGAACGTGCTTTTCACGCCAAAATCTATTGTGCAGCTCTTTGGATGGGACCTAAAGTCCTTGTGGAAAAATGCACGCCGGAAACAGTGCGATGCACTCTGCCGGGCAGGTAGACATGAAGAAGCTGTGAAATCCTACCAACACATGATGGATATGAGTGACGAAAATACAAAGGCTAGCTGCCTTGACTGGTCCAATGGTAAGTCTAAAGCCTGTAATGTCACGTCCGGCCACAATCATCACCCGCATTTCCTGCATTTCACTCAGCTTTCGCGCAAGAATACAGTGCACCCTATATTGTCAACGGAGATGCTGCCTTTGCTGCAAGCGATTACGACAAGGCTATTAAATTATACACTGTGGCAATTGACCTTCATTTTGCAAGAGACACCATATTTGCAAACCGCAGCAAGGCCAGGTTAGAAAAGATGCTATGGGGGGATGCGCTTCTCGATGCGCACCAGGTATGATGGTATCTACCGTTTTGTAGTTATTGTTCACTTTGGCGATGCATAGGTTATCCAACTCAATCCTTCATCGCACGTTGGATACGAGCTCAAGCATGCAGCGCTTCATGGCGCACAGCGCTACGATGAAGCTATCGAGGCCTTTGACATGATGCTATTGAAACTGGACAGTGCTACTGACACGCAAATACGAAGTAAGCCCTGAGTAACCCATACTTCAAGACGCTCAACTCTTTCTACAGACATTCGCCAGAAGTATATTAGTCCTTCCGATGCAGAAAATGCCATTCGAAAGGTCATTGACGCTCAACTCGACACCACCCCGCTTCGTCTACTGAATACCACTGCCGGACTCTTATGTGATCGAGGGGCGCAGATTAGCACCTTCAAGAAGAGCACAGAGTACAATGACCTTCTGTTGTTCACTATGAAGAATCCAGACCTCCATCCTGAGCGCATCGCGGAAACAGTGACAACGTACTTCCGTTGTGTCATGTTGTCGCATAGGTGGGAAGGCACGGAGCCGCTGCTGCACGAAATCAAGGACAAGGTCGTGTACGAGTTGAACGCAGCTGGAGGTCTGGTAAAGTTGCAGTCATTCTGCAACCTTGTTCGTAGCAAGACAGAGTATCATTGGGCATGGGTTGATTCATGTTGCATTGACCAGACGAACAATGTCGAGCTCCAAACATCACTCGACTCCATGTTTGCCTGGTATCGCCATGCAAAGCTCACGCTTGTTTATCTGTCGGATGTTTCGCCTTCGCCCCAGCCTGGTGCACTAGCGAGGAGCGCTTGGAACACCCGAGGATGGACTGTCCCAGAATTCCTGGCTCCTAAAGTCATTCAATTCTACCAACAGGATTGGACTCCATACATGGACGACTCCTCCCCCAACCACAAAGAGTCTTTCGAGATCATGCGCGAATTGGAAGATGCGACGGGCATCGAAGCACAGACCCTCGTCGCCTTCCAACCGGGGATGAGAGATGCGCGAGAGAAACTCCGATGGGTGTCTGCGCGCATCACCACTAGGCCGGAAGATATTGCATACTCATTGTTTGGTATTTTCGGTGTCCGACTTCCTATCCATTATGGCGAGAATAAGCAAAATGCACTCGGGCGGCTCCTACAGGAGATCGTGGCTCAGTCGGGCGATATTACTGCCCTCGACTGGGTCGGGCAACCATCCGAGTTCAACAGTTGTCTACCAGCCGACATCATCTCATACAAAACTCCACCATGTAATCTTCCATCTTCATCCGAAGATGAAATTCAGTTATCGGTCTCCTCGCTGCAAGGTGTCGCTGTGGCTTTAGAGTCGGCTTTGAGACTTTATCAGACGCTTGACTACCTGAACGCTCCACGTTTCGCGCATTGCCGGTTGCATCTTCCTTGTATTGTATTCCCTGTTACAGAAGTCAAGCGGCGGTCTGGTCGAGACCAGGAAGAATATACGTACGGAGTCAAGGCAGATGGGCTTCACGACCTGCAGATCACCACGAAACACAAGTTAATTCAGTTCTCGCGGACAAAGCCCACTCGACAGACATTCCTGCTTGTCCGTCCGTGGGATCGATGCCTCCTCGAGCATTCTGATTTCGCAGAGCAGCCTACCTTTCCGGATGATGCGGAGAGCGTGGGAGATTGGTCCGATCCCGAGTCTCCGTTGGACGACTCGCTCGGCAGTTCTCCTGTAGAACAGGAGTTGGTTGATTCGGAATCGCACTCGCGAGCCTTGCGATTGATGGTTCGCCTTGGGCAGCCGTTCGGGGCATTTTTGCTAATGCGGCAGCCTGGTGGAGAATACAAGAGGATCGCATCAGATCACAATATCATCGCACAAGTCAAAGAAGTGACTTCTGTTCACAATATGACGGGCGTCAGAATCCTGGAAATATTGTAACTGTACCTTTTTTTCAAGACCGGAGCAATTTTTTCTCGCCTAGTACAATTATATTTCACAACAGATGTATGTTGCAGACCAACCATTCATTTCATCACGCACTCGTACTTCTCTATCCTACATCATTTATGCCTTCTCACCTTCCCCCCACCACCCCGCATTCACTCGACACCTTCGCGCGTCTTAACCAATCACGCCTCCCCTTCGTTATGCCTACTACGAGCTGTAGTACACGAACCGATGCCACATTCAGTTATATACCGTGACTTGAACGCCGATAGCCATTTCCATGACCTCCTGGATGTCTCAAGTAGCGGCTACAATTGTATGAGGCGTCGTTTTTTAAAGTTTTACTGTTCTAAATCCTGTCAATAGAATCCACACAAAGCATCAATTCAACAATTCATATCTCAAACGGGATTGCAAAGGTATTCTTGTAAAGTCCCTGTTCAGAACTGGATGAGGAAATGTCAATCGAGTAAATTACTGTAGCTTCGCTTTTCACTGCCGACTCCAAGCCTTAGTGTGCTCCGAGAAACACCGACTTAAGTTTTGATTGGCGGGTTGTCTGGGTCCAAGGGTCTTTCCAAACAACTTCCTTCAGTGTAGAAAAATATTACACAGCTGTAAAGCAGAAGGCACAGGTGGCACATCCTTGATCCCCCTCCCAGGAACAGGGCTATTCCTATACGACTTGCCCGACTTGCCAGATTTACCAGAACGAGTTTCATCGGAAGGTTTGCGGAGAATAGGACCGACGGGGACATTGTCCATGCTCCCACTCCGCCGTCGACTAGAAATATCGTAAGAATTGGAATGTGAGTGTGACGGACGAGACCCTGGGTTATACGAGTAAGATTATGAGCTACGGTGCTCGTAGGAGCTCTGAGAAATGCGATGGTCGTCCAACCGGGGGACTGTGTTGTATATTCCCGAACCAGATGAATGGTGCGCATCACACTCCCTCTCCCGCCCAGATTTCGTTTCATCCCTCCTAGGGGAGCCCTCATATGACACCCTGGCATATCGAGCATCGTACGACCCCTGATGCTGATGCTGCCTTGGACGCGTTGGCGATACCTGCGAATCGAGAGCGACAAGCGTGGCAGCAAAATTTGCTAATCGCGCCATGCTGTGGTGAAGTGCGATGTTGTTGCCTATGCTGCGCTGCGTAGTAAAACGGATTCACAGGACGCACCCGCTCGATCTTCCTAGGCGGATTAACAACTGCCAACGTCCAAAGCACGTCCAACACGTCACTCCATCGTTCACGCCAGACACGTACTGTCTCGCCTCCATTCCCTGGTTGGTTCACATCTTCCATTCTGTCTCTCGGCACACTCCCCACCGCTCATCCACAACTCCCTAGAATGCTGATGCTCCCCAACTGCATGACTTGCTATCGCTGCCCGGTCCTCTGACAGCTCGAGACGGTTGTCAGTTCGTGTGCGTGATTGCATGGGTAGGTTGAAGGGCACAGTGAATGGGGGAGAGGGAGTTCCTTGTCTTGAGGGAAACAGGGAGAAAGTATAAGAATATGTGTGGATTCCACGGTAGGAGTATGGCCAGGGTTAGTGATGTCGGTGGTATCAGCGCCGACGCAAACGATATAAGCAGCATCGGATCCGGTGGTGAGGGCAGTAGGGAGGGTATCACCGGTCGAGGCTATAGGACTATGTGACGATGCAAGATGTGATATTGTTAATTCCATACATTTGTTGACTGCGAGTTTTTTGATAGTTCGTTTGCTTGTGAGGAGATGGAGAGGGTGTTTCCAGTGTGTTAGGTCATCTGTGTGGGGGACACGAGAAGCGGGGGTAATGCGTGCTACGCGAATGGTTGGGGATTGTAGCTGAAGTGAATAACAAATGTGATTATCTGAATATCAGCATTTCAGTCGTTGCAAGCGAGTGGGAATCGAATGAAAGCACGAACTGGCATACGCACCAGTATCTCCCAAGGCGACACGCCCACCTAGTTTAGCCTGTCCATCAGGAGAGAGACACAATAAGCAGAGTATGTTCTGGAAGTAGACACGAGATAGTGATTGATAGCGTAGATAAAGCCATGGGTGCGCAGTGCATCTCGAAGTTGCGGGTAGAGCTCTGTTCATCCTTCTGGCGTATGGGCCTTGGAAAGGTCAATGATAGCTAGGTCTGCAAATTCCACTACAAGCGGAATGATTGGATGAACGTAGTATATTAATCAGAACTCTCTTACAGTCCTCCTTAGTTTCTGGAGGCAGGACGCAGTGTCTGCACTCTAGCAGGGTTAAACTGGGCATTTCTCACTAGATGGTACGGGAGAGGAAAGTGCTTTGGGCAGTTGTGAATGTAGGAAGATAAATACCTCCAGTACGGCTTCCCGAAGACTAGAGGACTCACATTGAGATAAGCCATCCGAACTAGATATGGTACTGTGACCTATGAGCACGGGATACCAGCAAACGCGTTCAATAGGAGAGCCTAGGCGTCCCAGGTCACGCCGCTTTCCCCCATGAAAATCCCAAACCTTACTCGCTAACAATACCATTACGTGCTGGGTGTGCAACGTTGGGGAACAAGCAACCATGTATGTGTGCAATTTGAAAGCTGGAGGATGAGTGAGCGGGGGTAAGATCAATGATCATGACAAGCGAGCTATATTAAATCGACGGGTCAGAGGCAATTCACTGAGTGGAGGATTAGCAGTGACCGGAGCGAGCAAATAATAAGAGATAATAAGTGAGCAGAGAACCGAGCTCAAGGTAGGCACCGATATAGGCAAAAGATGACGCAGTTGACTCAATCAGCGAATTCGAATTCAGCTGAGAACTTGGAAGCTCAGAAGCTCAGAATACTGGAGCATTACTCAGCTTCACTAGTACTGAGGCCCCGGGGTGTGAAAATGGGCTGAGAACTTTATGCCCTGGTCGAGTCTGGTCGACCATCGGTGCCAAAGCTATACGCATCTAGGTCACCGCAATAATGAGCTTAGAAAAAGTGAAGGTCGTTGGGATTCGAGATTTGAGAGCCAATCGAGACGGGAGTCCCGAGCCAACGTTTGAGACTGAAGACTTCTCGTAATGGGTTCAATTATATATGATAGTGGCTGAGAATTTCAAGAAGCGGTGATTTGATGGAAACGGCAACACAAACTCATACCTGTGATCTCAAAAGCGCAGCAAGACGTTCTCGGCCTATGGTTCGGCGTACTAAATCAACGTGATATAGCCTGAGTGGTGAGCCTTAATTCCACTGCCTTCATTCATGTCTTTTCTCCCCAGAAAATTCAGAGTCGCTCATGTCTGCCCAACCCCAAAGGTCATTCTCCACATTATCTCTCGCGTTTTTCACTCAATTTCACGCAATCCTGGTCTCCTCTCCTTCTCGATCCTCGTTGCGCTCTACATCACAATGGAGATAGTGTTCTCCGTGGCGTTCTTTTGGGGATTCTCTGGATGGCGACCCGCTTTTCCCTTAAGCTGGAGGTTCCTACTTCTACTCCTCTTCGTGGTCCCCATCTTTTCCTTCATTCAGGTATCGCGATTTCTACTTCCCCTGCTCATCAACCGATGGAATGGGACGGTCGGAGGCATGAACCTTTCCCAGCAAGGGTATGTCATGCTCCAGCGAAATGGCGCCACCGACGCACCAACTGAACTATTGGACGCTGCCGAGGAAGAAAATGCGCTGCTGGAAAATGTCGAAGAAGGTAGTGAGCGCTCTAGACCAGTGTCTCCTACTGCGCATCTTGTGGTACCGCATCCCAAATGGTGGTGGATACAACTTCTCACATACATCGTACTTTTTTGCGCGAGCACGTGGGTCGAACTGCATTATGAGCAACCTGGTGATGTGCGCTACAGGAGTTCAATTCAGTCGGCTGTTGATCATCCTCGAAGACAAGGATATGGAAAGCAAGGTACGTTTTCTCAACATATCGAATCGAAGGTAGCTCATGCGATCTCAGAGAAAATCTTCGTTGCTGCGTTGTTCTACAACAATGAACTAGTTATTCCCTACTGGCACAACTCTCTTATCAAAGTCATCCATTATCTCGGTCCGGACAATGTGTTCGTCTCTGTTGTCGAGAGTCACAGTACCGATAGCTCCCCTCAACTCCTTCAAGCGCTAGATGCAGACCTCGAGCTTTTGGGTGTGTCGCGGCGCATACTCACAGGAGATGAGACAATTTCGAGACCTGACTATATGGGCGGGGGCGAACGCATTGAATTCTTAGCGGCTACGCGTAACCGCGCACTGGAACCCTTAATGGCAGGAGGGTATGATAGGGTCGTGTTCTCGAATGACATATTTATCGAGCCTGAGAGCTTGGTGGAGTTATTAGAGACGAACGGCGGAGACTACGATGTGGCATGCGGGCTAGACTTCGGGCATTTTGGGTAGGTACATTCAGCTGCTATGACATACCCATGGTTCTAATGGCCGGAAGCGCATATGATATGTGGGTTCTCCGAGATCGACAGGCAAAGCTAGCCAGTGCAATGTGAGTTGCCAACTTCGTGTTCATGTAGACAGTCTAATTCAATTTATTCGATACGTAGCTGGCCATATTTCTTCGACGAGGCTGACTATCATGCCATGCAGGAGGATTCTCCCGCGCCCATCTTCGCCTGCTGGAACGGTATCACCGTCTTCACTGCAGATCCTCTTATTCCGATAGCCTTGCGCTCTAACCGCACGCTTTCAAACGATCCTTTGCCATACGAATTGCCCTCAACCCACCCGGCAACGCAAGATGCCTCTATGCGCGGTCCTAGTCCTGCTCTGACTCCCCCAATAGGATTCCGCGTCTCTGCGCCAGAGGAATGTTTTTCGTCTGAAAGCTTCTTACTACCGTATGACCTTAGGCGACAGTTCAATCTGCAGCGCATGTATGTCAACCCAAGGGTCATTAATGCATACCGGTGGAGGTATGTCGCATGAAGCATTATCGGGAACGTGGCTGATGTTACATACTAGATATTATGTCTACTTCAAATGGTTCATGCGCCACCCCGTACTCCGGTGGTGGATCGAAAAAGTATACAATGGTGCATGGATGGCAAGAGCTGTGTTCGTTGTGGGCGATGCAACTCAGGTGTACCGATGGGATGGAGGGGACTGCCATCCATGGTTTTGAGAGTTTTGGCTCTGTTCAACAGACCCAGTCGCGAGGTTACGTGGCAATGAGTTAGGATTTGGACATATTCAGTTATTCACTACCTGGGAGCCGTCGCAGAAGCTGCGGAGAGTCTTCGGACATTATATTATTACCGGTACTAATCTGCCACCGACGTTTGTGCACGTCGACTCGTACGTCCACATAATCACCCATACAGCGCTTTTCCATCATACAAGACCATAATGGGGCCATCAGCGTTCATCGGTGATGGAGCCCCTTTGCACCGTCGCATCCAGCTTGAAGGTCTAGCAGTGAATATTATCGGAGCACCGTAACGGTCAAGAGAAGTCTCTTCTTTCTTCATCTCATGGGAACTGTCATAGATTGTCGTTCTCCAGTTATCCAGCATGATCAGTCCCGAGGCTATGAGTAGCTCAGCGCAGACCATGCTCAAGTCGTCCATTACATTTAAGGGAATTATGCATCATGATCCCTCTGGGTCTCTACATAAACGGAGAGCTCGCGGACACTGTTGAGGGTGGCACAATCGAGTGAGTGTCTTCACCGTACACTTGAGCGCGGTTTCATTCGTACTCGGTGGTGTCAGTCCTGGTACAAATTCTTTGTGCATAAATTCTTGCAGCAACGGGCAAGGTAGTTACTTCCATCGCAGCCGGTCAATTTATAGACATTATATAGGGATTTTGTAAATAAGTTCGGTTAAATAACTGGTTTTGTTAGGACTTTGGCTTTGAAAAGGTATAAATTCGATATATATTGTTCATAACTACAAATAATTAGAGTATAGTGTGGAGTGAAATGGTTGTAAAATAGAGATAGGCATTTAGAATAGTCAGCACTCACAACAGTTGTGAGTGCTACTGCAGCAAGACTGTAGTAGCTATATTGTCGCACTCAGAACTGTTTCGAGTGTGATGGTATGTCACATGATGTTCACGGACCTGGTAATAGTAAGAACATGAGGCTAAGGGTCGAGAGATAGCACAAGAAAACGGGGGCGAAAGAAAATTGCACTCTTATTGATTACCATCATCACATCTACCAACACATTAGGTTAGGTGGTATTGCCACAGCCCCCAAAGGAAGTGTAATGTGAGGTGAAAGCTAGAGATGGAGACTAGTCAAGTTGCAAGTTAGCCCTAGCTATGGTGTAGCTGAGAGTGCTTTCGATGGTACTGGTCATCTCATCAGGCAAACTAGTAGTTTTTATACCTGTAAAGCTGTAGATGAGAAATCTAAGCAGCTATTGTTGTTATCATATTCAAACTGATAGCAAACATGGAAGGATAAGGGTTATATCAGTACCTGGATCTATTGAACCAATGAAACACATTGGATAGGAGTTAACCAACACTGTTGCAGGACTCAAAGGTAAACAATAGGGGCTTCCCATGGGCTGTCAAAAATGCAGATAGGGGGCAATAAGATAAGATCACTGGAGGGATGGCACCTGAAGCCATTTGAGTGCGAAGTGTGAATGCAGCTTCCAAAAGGAGTGGCCGCTGGCTTGTGCATGAAATGAGAAGATCTGAGGATCAAGATTACCGAGTCAATGGTATTACCAAAACAATGGAATGAAACTAAAAGTGATGTGTGAATTGTCATGATCTGATTGGGTGTTACCCCTTGGAACATGGAACTGTCATGGAACAGAAGTCCGATGATGTGTGATGGCACTGTTCCATGCTGTCCAAATCATGGGTGACAGTGGACAAAGTGGACAGCAAGGTGGTCTGCATTTAAAGACCAAAATAGTCATCTAGATGCATATAAAGTGTGTCAATGACAGATGGATGGTATAACTTAGTTGAGTATGATGTGCTACCGCCAATATGACAATACCACTACCCTTGCACAAACCAAGCCATGGGGCTATACTTGGGGTGCGAAGCGCACTTGTGCCAATCACATCCGTCGTTGTAATAGCGCCATGGAGTTCATATATTTCTGTTTAGGCATTTGTAGACCTGTAGGTGGGCAAGATATATGGTATCTCTATGTATAGGTTTGTGTGTCATTTGCAATGCTTATGTAACATATAATGCTGAACCCTATGGCCAAACATCAACTTGCATTACATAATATTTTGCTTTTGATCCTCAACCACTGTTGTCCTATGTTAGAGTTGACTTTTGCCTTTCGTCTTGCTGGTAATCTGCATTTATTTGCTGCATCACTTATGTGAACAGTTCAGACCCTCTAGGGCAGATCTTTGTGAGATCTTGTGAGCCCTGCATCTGTTTGCTGTGATGCGCTGGTAGGGCACAACCCACAACTTCAATTCAAGATACTTGGATGTGGAATCCCTCCTGTCATGTCCGATCACACCAAAGGGGTGTGTAGTGTGGGTATGACAAGTGTAGCAGTGAGAAATCAATCTACTACAAAGTTGGGTCTTTGCTACTGGGGAGTGTTAGTCTCTGTCTAAATGACCCTAATCAACCCTACCGCAGGTAGGATGAGGATCTGCAAAAATGGGGAACAAGCGGAACAAGCGGAACTCAAGTGGAATGAAGCAGAATGAAGTGGAACTCAAACAGATAAAATGTGGAACATACAGATTCGTCGGAACTTGCAGATCAAATTGAAGGAAGTATATCACAAGGTTAGATTGATAGTGAGCATAAGTCAAAGCGGTCCTCTAGTAAGGTGAAGGAAAAGTTGGAGAAAAGTTGGAAGGTAAAAGATGGGATTCGATAAAAAACACCCAAGCCCTGAGTACCACTACTTATAGGGAACATTATTTTCAAGGAACACTGAGGTACAGGTAGTAAGTTCTCAGGAAGTGGAAGTGAAGGCAGGCAGTGCAAGGGCGCAATACTCCACAATAGGGGTCCATGCCATAAGGGCATGCGTCAATGTGATCCAGATAATGTTAGAAGCAACAGGAAGAGAGATACAGTATACCAATGGACCTGGAAGGATGGGGACAGGACATGTAAGGGTTGTCTGACGATGCGTGGGAATATCAGATAGTGCAGGCGTGTTCCGAAGGATGCATGGGAATGCGGAACACATTGGACGATGCACGGGAAACACGGAACACGCAGAATATGCGGAACTGATGTGAGATGATGTAGAAAGGACAGGGTTTTACACCTACAGTGGGAGCATTCCCCACAGCGGCTTCTGCTTTGACCACTGAATGAGCAGTCACTTCAAGTTCTGATTGCGGGCCATTGCATCTTGACGATGCATCTGCACATTCATCTCCCAGTCCAGGGTAATTCTCAGCACCACTCCATCTTCGTCACAAATGAGTCCAGTTGGGATCAGCAAACTGCTGCTGAGGGGGCAGTTGAGCATAGTAAACCAAACAAGCCAAGCAGACAGCTTCTGTAACCCCTGAGCCACAGCTGCTCCCAGTGCCTCTGGATAATCTGGAACATCAGTTTATATTTCAACTGCAGAGCTCCACCCAGCATCTAATATTGTGTCCCTAGATTCACATTCTCTTCATGCCTAACCCTTGCATCCTAATCCAGCATGGATGCCACTCTGCCTCAGTTCTCTGCCCTTGGACGATCAGGCTCCTGATTCCCAAGCTCTCTACACAATTTTCATGCCTGAAGCACAACCCCCTGTTGGCAATGTGTAAGTCCTCCTTTATTTGTTCTTATATATCATACTAATATCTTATACATGCAGATGTGGCCTCTACTACAAACTACCTGGTTCTGCTCATCCCATCAGTATGAAATCCAATATCATTTGCAAGTGCTCTCGACATGACACTTGTGTGCAGGGTTCCTCCCTTACCGACCCTCCAAGGGCTTCCAACACACCAGGCACTCTCTCTGAGACACCTTCTCAAACCCAGACACCACCTGCATCTCCAGGCATCTCATGCCATCCTATGCCATTGCCATCACCAATTTTGGCACCAGACAGTATGACTCAACCCCTTCCCTGGGTCATACCACCCTGACTACCTCAGCCAGAATTGGGTGCCGTCCAGTTTGACTGGCGTCAGCAGGGGCACAAGCAAGGTGTTGCCGTTCTGTGGTGACCATGCCTCTTCAGATGCTGCATCCAACCAGAACAGTTCCCCTTCCTCTGCTTTGAACAACTCAACTTATGAAAAATTCATGGTTTTGTACGAAAAACTTCATACTCAAACCCATTATCACCCATGTGTCCCCCATTATCGCATCTTCCCCATGGACTTCTGCTCTCCTCCATTGTGTGTTGTTCCTTCCCAACTCTGTCTTGATCTCTAACCATCTTTACCCACAACAGGTTGTCACCAATGGAAGCTTCTTCATAAGTTCACCATCATTGCTCAGCAGTCTACCTTGTGCTCAGATTTTTCTCAAGTTCATGCCCAGGAATTGTCAACACCAGACAGCATGGAAGCAGCCTGTTCTGTTTCTGCTTCTCACTGGATTTGATTGGGTATCTCATTGCTGTAATTATTGCTCAGGCTACTTATGTTCATAACAAATTGAATATGTGACGAATCAAGAATACAGTGTACATCTTACTATTGAACATTTCAGGAAACTATCCTAGTGCATTGTCCTCAAGTGATTTGGTGGCTTTCATCATGCACCAACATAGAAGGAATGCCCTTACCATCCCATGTGTAAGGAATGTAAGATACAAAGCCTGGCCCAGGTCAATGCCAGTAGTGCACATCATTGCATCTGCTTCACAACCTTTGAAGTATTCTGCAACATTGATGTCTGCTGGCTTCAGTAGATCACAGTGAGATCCTGATGACCACTCATTCAGCGCTTGAATAATCTGTGGAAGCCTGGGGGTAAGTGGTAGTGTAAGGTTGTGACCATAGATTAAATTACCAATGCTGCAGGGCAACCAGCCATTTCAGCTGAATATCCTGTGGGAGGTGGAGCACTGCCAACAGAGGGCAGTGATGTTCCAAATGATAGAACGTGCATTACAGAGTGTAACATGTCATCTCCAATCACCCCCAAATTCCCCAGAGTTAGTAGCTAGCATATATTGGACTACACCTCTTACCCCTAAAAATGCCATGTATGGTGTCTTGTTCAATGTTTCTTGGAATAGAGGGCCATGATCTGCCTTGCCTGAGTAGACAGACAGAATCTGAAATCTAACTTCTTTGAAAGCGACAAGCTCATACACTCAAGACACAAAAAAGTGCAAGTTAGACAGTGTGTAGAGGCTCCCCTTGTCCAATGTACCAAGACCATATATAGCTTGGAGTGCCTGATATAACCACGAGCACGATCTATGGTCATTGAAAGGGAGCATGAAAGATCAAAGTCACACCTGTAATGAGTGTTGCCAGTTTGCCAATGGTGCTGTGCTTGTTGATCTAGGAGAGAATTGGGAAAGTTGTGGAGCTCTGTCAGTGATGGGAAGAACTTTTGAAGCATCCCTGTGGTAAGATTTCAAAGCAAGGTGCTTGATAATGCAATGGGGAGAGCTGAAGAGCGCTTTCATAGTGATGCATTGACATCAGGCCCACTCCAAAAAAAACCGGAATCATGCTTTGAATAGGCATGCACAAATATATAAGTTTCATGCTCATATACTGACCTGCGGACCAACCAAAGGATGTTGCAGAAAGCTGGTCTCAGAATGCCCAGGTAAAAGAGCAGTGGTGTTATCAGAGAGCTTGGGAGTGCCCATAGACACTCCTTGTTGGTCTCTCCCCACTGCTTTGCAGCAGGATTTGCTAGTGTTAGAGCGCCCCAGATCACAAATAAATTTCGTTGAGCCCCAGTAATGGTGTCATAGTGGTAACGCAGATATTTGAGCTGGAAATTTTTGGGGGAACACCACAAGACAGCTGGAAGGATGCATTGAGAAGACAAAGGATATCCTGCTCTTTCTCCATCAGGTTTTGAACTGCTTTGATATTGACAGATCCCTTTCTATTGAGAACTGAGTTGCAATGACCAGCAGGGCCAACTAACTGATCATATGCAATCTTGATCATGGGTTGCAGTTGGGGCTTGTTAGCTGGTTGGTGAAAATTTGATTCCCAGTGGCCAAGATCATCAGTAAGTTGAAGCTGGGAGAAGTCATTATAGAGTGACTGATGCATATCAGGTAAAATGGTTTGGACAGTGGAGGAAAATTGGTGAATTAGCCTCCTGGTAAGAGACCCTAGCTGGGACAATTGGACACAGTGAAAAACACTGCCAGCGTCTGGAATCATGACAGATTGGCCGTCATTGGAAAAGATGAAACCGTATTCCATGTGTTCAAGTCTTGCTGCTGATGTGACCTTGGCCCATACAGTCTTAAAATGGGTGTAGGGCATTGTAAAACCCATATTGGTGTCATCAGCAGGGTGAACAAATGCTTGATTTTTGAACAGTAAACTAGTAGTAGGATTAATCATTATATTAGATTCTAAACAAAGTTTGGAGGAAAATGCACCCTAGAACCAATACTTTATTAAGGCACTGTCCTGGGCCTGCATTCTCTGAGTCTGCAGCAAAGAACCCATTGGAAACAAGGACTTCAACATGGCTGCTGTTCAGATCATGGCCTGGCAATCCTGGTAAATTCTCCTGAAAATCCATGTTCTGCATTGCATCTTCATCCTACAAGGAAAACAGTCAAAAAGTGATGGGTTCAAGGAAGTGCAGGCACAAACAGTCATGTGACCATCCCTATGCGGGTGTCCCCCTCCCAATGTGGGTGTCCCCCTCCCAATGTGGGTGTCCCCCCCCTATGTAAGTGTCCCCCTCCCAATGCAGGTGTCCCCCCCTATGTAAGTGTCCCCCTCCCAATGCGGGTGTCCCCCCCTATGTAAGTGTCCCCCTCCCAATGTGGGCATCCCCCTTTAGGTTAATAGATAATTGTAGGTTTCGTAGGTGGATGGCTCAGTGCTTGAGACCCTAACCCTAACTTAGGGTTTAAATTTGCAGGAGGATAACTACTTGCCTTTTTGGGTGACCCTAACCCTAGACTAGGGAGGCAATATGCAGGAGATGCTGTGGGATGGCCAGCGGCTCCCTATGGGGACTGTGGCAGGTGAGAAGCCGATTGATTCTTGTGTGCACGTGACCTGTGTGCACTTCACACATGCGTGGTCCCCTCAGGGAGCTGCACCTGTCTAAGGGAGAACAGGGGTCATGTGATGCAACACATCACTGTTTGTTGGTTGAACAGATGGACATGTTCTGTCACGTGACCCCCGTTCTCCCTTGGATAGGTGTGGCTCCCTGAGGGGACTGTGTGTGTGAGCTTTGCAACAGATCACACAATGTGTGTCCATTTGTTGAATCAACATAGACACATTGTGTCACGTGACCTCTGGTTTGATGCGAATATTTGCGGCTCCCTGAGGGGACCACATGTGGGGGCCTTGCACCATATCACAACACATAACGCGTCAATGTTGGTTGGTTGAATGAACACTGACCTGTTGTGTCATATGACCCCCATTCTCCCTTGGATAGGCGCAGCTCCCTGAGGGGACTGCGCATGTGTGAAGTGCAAATAGGCCACGTGATGCGACACATCAACGTTGGTTGAATCAATGTTGACGTGTTGTGTCACGTGACCCCCATTCTCCCTTGGACAGGCATGGCTCCCTGAGGGGACTGTGTGTGAGAGCTTTGCAACAGATCACATGACATGACCCATCCATTGGTTGAATCAATGTTGACGCGTTGCATCATGTGGCCTGTTTGCACTTCACACATGCGCGGTCCCCTCAGGGAGCCACACCTGTCCAAGGGAGAATGGGGGTCACATGACACAACAGGTCAGTGTTCATTCAACCAACCAATGTTGATGCGTCATGTGTTGTGGTATGGTGCAAGGCCCCCACATGCAGTCCCCTCAGGGAGCTGCAGATGTTCGCATCAAACCAGAGGTCACGTGACACAACACGTCACAGTTGATTCAACCAAATGCTGATGTGTTGTGTCACATGACCTGCTGTAATGCTACACATTGCGGTCCCCCCAGGGACCCGTGAATGCACTGTGTCTGTCCACAGTGTCCATCCACAGCATCCGTCCACAGTGTCCATCCACAGCATCCGTCCACAGCGTTCGTCCACAGCGTCCATCCACAGCGTCCATCCACACCTGAAGTCTGGACCAATCACTGTGGACACACACAGTCCCCACAGGTGGCCATGGTGCCCCATCCACTGCTGAGTCGAGTTTCTGGATAATGGTGTTTTTACCAGTGGAGTTTGAACTTCGTTCACAATGCCATCTCTCTTCCCTACTTATTCTTCTTTCCAGACTGTCACATTTCCCTCCTTTTCTCACCCCCACCTGGAACAACCAACCCCCCATCTCCACCACTGTCCCCATCCTCTCCCACTCTCCATGGCCCAAATTTCAAAGGCGAAACAGTCAGCCCATCTGCATTGGGCACGGGAAAGGCAGGCACACTTGCCAGCTGCCAGGCAAGCGGAGGAACTTGTAAGTCATCGCCCTCAGTTGTTCATTTTACTAATCAATTGCACCCCATAGGTGAGAGTGCCCTCTTGTGCTGCTCAGCCAAGGTGCAGCAGGCCCAGACACCAGGTTCTGGTCCCTGGACCTGGAGTGTATCTTGGCACGCGGTCACATGCTGGAGCTGCAGCGCACTCCATGATGTAAGTCCCTCCCTCTCTCTCTTCATTCACATTATCTGACCCAAACATAAGGTGGGTATATTGCCCCCACCTGCGCCCTCACCCTCACCCCCACTCCCACCCCCACCCACTCCTGTCATGTTTTCCCCCCCCGGTCATCAAGGGGGAGGCAAGTGATGTCTTCCGCATCCTCCCCAAGATAGAGGAATGCCTCACCATCAAGAAGGAACCCCTCCCCTTCAAGCTGAAGGATGCTGACATGATGCAGGAGGTCATAAAGAAGGAGGAGATTAAGGAGGAAGCAGTCCTCCAGGATGTGAGTGATCCCAACAGCTGTTGTTGTTCTTAGATACTCCATACAGTACATCTACTGTCTTGAAAGTAGCTACAATGATAGTTACATACTTCTTCTTCACAACCTTCAAGTATAGTTGACCTACTCACCTACTCATCTAACCACAGGAACGGGTCAATGAATGACAGGACGACGGAGTTGGGGGAGCTTGAGAATCATCAGGCGGAGAGAGCAGAGGGTCGTGTAGTCAGTATAGTAGCTTAATTGCTGTCTTAGTTACATATCAATATATTGTGTGTCAAACTCATCCTTTACTGCCTTATGGAAGACTAGCGCAAAAAACCCCAGTACCACCATGAATGCCAATGCAAACATGACTACAACTGGTCGTACTGCCAAGTGCCGTTGCATGAGCAGAGACAGTGTGTCAGAGCCACCAAGTTGTACAAGTGGTGCCACCAGCCATACTAGGCTGCAACCAGTCCTGACTGAGGGAGTCAGGGTGACATGCACCTGAATGGTCAGCGGCTCCCTCAGGGGACCGCAAATGTGTTGGCATGTTGATGAGCACCTGGTGCACAACCCTGGCTGTGAGAGAAAGCATGTGCTTCATGGCCGACTGTCAGTCACACATCTCATGGCTCCCTGAGGGGACTGCATCCAGCAGCCTGAACATTTGTCAAGGGGGATTATTAATTTTTGATAGGATCTGTTGGCAGTGGTGGGTCCTTTGTGTGATGTGGTTGTTGAGTGATTTGTTATTCATGCTACTGGTGTGATGAGGGTGACAGGATCGTTGTTTCAGGATCTGTTGTATCACACATGTTATCTGACAAGCACATTGAATTGACAGCATGCCAGTGGTGTGACTGATGACTGATTCCCGCTGAGATCCCAGTGCTTCATGTGGTTGGATGGCAGGGCAGCGTGTTTCTCATATCCACCTGGAGGGTGTTGATTAATGGACGCAACAGCTCCCAAAGAAAGCTGCCTCACTTGATGATTGCTGATGTCTTGCCATCTTGGCAAGACATGGCTGATGATTTGTGAGATCTCATAGTGATGGCAGGGATTGGCCAACACACAGGTTAGGTTGCTTCAAGGTGTTGGCCATGAATTGTGACGATCACCCGGGCACATTAGAAAAATAATTGTAATGATCACCCGGGCACATCAGAGAAATCAACCAACTCCCACCTGGACAAATGTGGCAAGAGACATGTTGCCTCATACCTGCTAGCAGGTGCCAGCTCCCAATGGGAGCCATTGCCTTTGGCGGGATGGCGTCATTTCACTTGCCCCATTTGTCCAGGTGTGAGTTGGTTGATTTTTCTAATGTGCCTGGGCGATTGTCACAATTCATGGCCAATGCCTTGAAGCAACCTAACCTGTGTGTCAGCCAATCCCTGCCATCACTGTGAGATCTCACAAATCATCAGCCATGTCTTGCCAAGATGGCAAGACATCAGCAATCATCAAGTGAGGCAGCTCTCTTTGGGAGCTGTTGCATCCATTGATCAACACCCTCCAGGCAGATATGAGAAACACGCTGCCCTGCCACCCAACCACATGAAGCACTCGAAGCCCTGAACCAGCCCTGAGGGTGATGCAATTTCCCCATGTAGTTATTGATCATGGCACAATCTCAATATCCCTGAAAAATATCATTTTAAGTGCAAATGAAATAGTACAGCAGATACATTATATGTAGCTAGTGCACAGTGGAACTGAAACCATGAATGACTCACAACCCACCACCTCACATATCACTGCGTAAGTCTACCAATGCAGGTCCCACTCACTAGCAACTAATCTGACACACCACAGAATCACCTCACCATGAGCAAAAACCTTCAAAGCACTGTGTTGATGATCCTCCTCACTGGCAAGCATTGGATCTTTGATGACAAGAGCGGTACACTGGAAGATGTGTTTGGGCTGGATGAAAAAATGTTTGAAGTCCTGAATCCACACCTCACCAATAAGCAGCGCAAGTCATTGTGCGCGATGATCGAGGCGGTATCACAGAGAAAGTCAGCTGATGCACGTCACAAAGTCCTGGAAGGGAAGAGCGAGGGTGGATGGAGTGCTGGTCGCAACACCTTAAAGATCTGGTTTAATAAACAAAAAATATCACTGAAAATGGCCCAGCACATTGACAATGTCTGGGATTCTCTAGGACTCTTACCCTTGCAACTCATTCAAGAAGGACTGGAGGAGGGCAAAAAATTTCCAAACATCCTGGACTCTGAGCATGCTAAGGAGGACATGCTGATTGCAATCTTGGGAGACCATACCAATGAACCGCTCCTGCATGGTGATTTTTGCAATGCAGCAACAACAATCAACCACCATGCCTGGGAGCGTCACTGTAAACACTTCAAGCATGCCCAGGACTCATTGCCCAGGAAGCGACTTACTGCGAGTGTGGCCATCAAAGGTATGAGTACAACCATGACTATCGGGATAGATGAACTCACACTGAGACAGCAATTGAGGATGCAGACGAAGTGAGTGTGAAGATGTTTTATGACACTATGAAAGCCGTCAAAGCTCTGCGCATGACAGTGGCATGGTTCCCACAGGAGGATGACCATGTTGCAGAATATGAAGAGTTCTTGAAGGAAGTCATTGTGACTGTGATTGCAAAATCAAGGAAAGTGCCAAAGGAGAAAGTGACCATAGAGAGCGAAAAGACTCCAGGCAGTGCATACTGTTGTGGTCCCCTATGGGAGCTGTCTAGGTGTCATGCACTGATGACACTTTGCAGGACAGTGGGGTGCTGTGTGTGTGCGGAAGGTCAAGGCAGGGTCCCTCACTGCAGCTGGTGATGTTGAAGAGATTTGGGCACTCTATGTGTAGCTCTTCAAGACAGAACCTGGTTAGTTGGAGGTGCCCTGGGTTGAAGATGATGATGAACCTAGTGGCAGAGATGATTGGAACAGTAACTGTGAAGATCTTGGCATGGATGGTTGGCGAGAGATGGACAATGACACGTTGAATCACCTCCTTCAGTTCCCTGGTGGCAAGCCACCGCTGTTTGCCAAATTTCGATCGAAAAATGGTTTGTGTGCCTGGGATGAGGGTGTGTCACAGAAGTTTGTGGTGGAGAACGACAATATGGAACCATTGTTGCTGCTGTGGCATCAGCATGTAGGTGTTGTGGCCATCATGGATAAGATATGGATGTCTTAAGAGAAAGAGGGTAATACACCAGGTATTCTAATTGCTGACGAAGTCGGTGTCGGGAAGACAGCACTTACAATGGGCACAATTGCCTTTGCCATCGATGCATACTGGGTGCAACGAGTGGCTGCTGGACGAGGCAAACCTGCCGGGGTGATGTCAAATATCAACCTCAGCAACCTCCACCCAGCCCCCATCCTTGGTGAGTCAACTGTGTCATTGGACACTCCCCTGAGGGAGCCAGTGCATGGGTCAGCAGTGTGGCTCATCATGGTGCATGTGGTCCCCTTGGGGAGCTGCATGGGGTGGCTGGCAAAATCTGCTGGGCAGCATGTTGACAGTCCCCAGAGGGAGCTGTGGTGGGTGCACACACTGGTTGGTTGTCTAGTGTGCATGCGGTCCCCGTACAGAGCCATTGGTGGTATGGCCACATGTTGGCAGTCCAGCATCCACACAGTCCCTGTAGGGAGCTGTCAGCTGATCACAGTCAATGAACAGTAGCTCACCCTCCATATCTCCCTCACAGCAGAACACCCTTTCTTTGCAGGTCGAGCTGCAATTCCCAATCTGCCACATGTCATTGTTGTGCTGAAATCCTTGATCAATCAGTGGTACTCCAAGCTGCACACCTTCTTTGTGCCCAGAGCCGTTGAGATATACAAGTATCTGACAGCAGAAATTGAGTTTGGAGAGTTCTGGAATGGTCCTTGGGCCACATTGACCACACCATTCATTCACCGCATCATCCTGGTCACTCACTCAGTGAGTCTGGTTAGATAGCCCAAGATTTGGTTTCTGACTAGACAACAGGTCATGGGCATGGGCGGGAAAGTCTTCGACACACGCCAAGGTGTTGCAGGACACAACAGCAACAAAGTGGCCAACAAGACACAACATCTAAAACTCCATAAACAGGCACCTAATTGTCTGTGGGCGGGCCATGAATTCCTCATGGCTTCCATTGATGAAGTCCATGAGATGCGTAACCGAACTGCTAGCTCCTATGTGGCCCTTGAGGTCACCAAGGCCTCAATTATTAAGCTCCTATCATTAGGCACTTTGTTGTACACTGGCCCGATGGTACACCACATGTCCTTCCTGGTCAGCACTAACTCAAATCCTTCCCAGGACCTTTGCAATGTTGGTCGGTTAGTGTGGATTCCACATTTCATGGGCAAGGAAGGTGATGAGCATGACAAAGAGCATACCAAACAACTTCAAGCTGTACGTCAGGCAATGACGAAGCAGGACAAGAAAGATGCAGCCACACACTGCCCAGCTGATAGCAGGTGGACCGACCAACTGTGATGAGCCTGAAGGCAGGTTGCATATACGCAATGTAACAAGTGGATGGATCGCTAACATCAAGTGAGGGTACAGTGAGCGAGTGATTTGATGGACTGTCAACTCCATGACATCCAATCAAAAGAAGATCAATGACATGCTGAAGCCGTACAAGATGCTCATTTTTCCTGTGCATCTTGATGAAACTGAGCTGGAGATCAACATGAGTGTCATGGCACAGATTACGGGCTCGTGAGTACATGGCTCCCTCAGGGGACTGCGTGCATGCACTGACATTCCATCATTGTACAGATCTTTGGTTGCAGCACTGGATTATGGCGCAAGTTTCAATATGGTGTGTTGCCGGTCCCCTCAGGGAGCCACCCACTGACAAGTGTCCAGGTTTTCTACCTTGATGGCCACACAAAAGTTGCATTCCCACATCACACTTCCCCAATGTACCCCACTGTCAAGTCACTCACTGAGTGGGACAAGGTAAGATCATCCAAGGTCGACACATTGGTCACCCTGCTAGGGTGGCAGCTTGAATCGGACGATCATCACATATTTCAGGTCAAGGACAAAGACGCAAGTACCAAGGCTGGCGAATCGGCCAAAGTCTTAAGTCCTCCTCCTGCATTGATTGAGAAGGATGCACAACCGCACGAGACACCAACCCTCATCTCGCTGAAGCCCAATGCACGCTATGTGCCAATGAAAGACCTCATGACCAAGGGCACACACAAGATCCTGGTATACATCAAATTTCCTATGATGGCCCCCCTCCTCGTGTCTGTCCTGAAGTTGTTCAACATCATCCCTCTTGTTATCCATGGTGGACATGGTATTGAAGAGTGCAATGAGACTGTGCAAAAGTTCCACTCCGACCCGAAGGTGAGGCTTCTCATTTTTTCTAGCATTGGTGCTGTCGGCCTTAATCTCACTGCGGCGAGCATCGTCATTCTCTTCATGAGTGTTGACTCAACCTGTCAGTCATTGACACACACTCACTTACCAACAGGACCAATGTTGGTCTCGCATGTTGGTCAATCAGATTATTGGGCAAGCATGGTGCCTGGGACAGCAAAGAGAAGGTATTTATATGATCATTTCAGAAATACATTTCAAAGTTGTAAAAAAATATCTTCTGGTGTGCTGGTACATATGTTAGAGGGTACTTCCAGGATGGATATGAGCCAACAATCAAAGAAAACAGCAGTTCGGTTATGGAGATATTGCCAAAATACTGACTTTTTAGCCCCACCACCATATGTCACAAATACTGACCTCCAGATGGTCTGGGACCATCACCAATTGATTCCTACACCTGAAAAACCCCAGGACAGTCCTTTACAGTAGTGGTTTCAAGTTAAAATAAAGTACAGAAAAATATAGGAGGTAGGAGGGAGGAGGAGGACCTTGTATATCTCAAGAACACAATTTTTTCTGGGAAATCTGGCTCGACCATCGTGTTCAGAGGGATCAAGAGCCTCCAGGAAAAATGTTTTTGGAGCACTGGCAAGTCATGGGAAGTCTGTAAAAATTGATCTTTGTAGGGGGTATGAGGCAAACTGACCTATTTTAATTCAAACAGGCTAGAAATACTCTGGGACCATCTCCAATGGATTTCTGAGATAATAAAACACTAGGAACACCCTTTGACATATTGGTATATACATAATATCAAGATATATGAGATAGGAGGGGGGAGTGGGACCTTGTATATCTCAAGAACCTGATTTTTTCTGGGAAATCTGGCTTGACCATCATGTTCAGAGGGATCAATAGCCCTTGGGAAAAATGCTGTTTGAGCCCCAGCAACTCATGGGAAGTCTGTAAAATTTGATCTTTGTAGGAGGGTATGAGGCAAACTGACATATTTCAATTCAGACAGGCTGGGAATACTCTGGGACCATCTCCAATCAATTCCTGTGATCTTAAAACACTAGGAACATTCTTTTACATATTAGTCTTCACATAATATCAAGATATATGAGATAGGAGGGGGGATGGGGACCTTGTATATCTCAAGAATCTGATTTTTTCTGGGAAATCTGGCTTGACCATCATTTTCAGAGGGATCAAGAGCCCTTGGGAAAAATGCTGTTTGAGCCCCAGCAACTCATGGGAAGTCTGTAAAAATCGATCTTTGTAGGGGGGTATGAGGCAAACTGACACATCACAATTCACATGGGCCCAGTGTCACGAATTCCAAACACAAACCATCTTTCGTTCCTTGGCTTTCCTCCGGCTACTTCTAGTTACTGAACTGATCACGTGACTTCACTTCCTGTCACATCTTCACCTCTTCACATATCACCCATTACTTCTCCGATTGGCTCCCCTACTCCACAGGCTAGAACAATCCCACTTCCCAAAGAAGAGCCAGTTGGATCTTGGGTTTCTATTTAGTTGCCGTCTTACTCATTTGCTTATATATCATGATGTCATGATCAGTCATCCGCAGTATTGTATGACTCTTTTCTCATTGGCTGATTTCTTTCATACTCAGATATCTCCTATTCAATGTTATGTATATAAGTAGGTTAGTTAGCGTAAGTACTCCTTAGACTTAACCTCTTCATTCTCTACAGTTGTAGTAGACCTAGATGTTCACGCTCAATCTATCTTGTTCTCATCATCATCTGTGACCGAGTCCTAGTGGTTGTTGTCTTGACTTTACCATTCGGTGAACTCAGGTCATAACACCCAGATGACTCTGAGACCATCTTCAATCAATTAATATAATCCAAAAACACTAGAAACATCCTTTTATACATCAGTATTGACATGGAATCATGCCTCTGGGCACAGTAGGTAGGGGGAGGGGGTAGCATCACTCTGGAATATGATTTTTTTGGACCAAACCAGTGTTCCCATTGGATTCAAATGGCTCAATAACCCCGGAAACAAGTTCTATTTGAAGCCAAGCAAGTCATATGAAAGCTCAAAAAATCAATCATTGAGTGAGGCAGCATCAGGAGTGACACTGCTTACATAAGCAAAAGTGGTCAACCTGAACATAGGTGGGTGACTTTACAACAACATGACTTTGAAATATCAAATTGTTGTTCCTACTGGTCTATGGCTTCAGAAATAAGCCTGAGATCAAGCCATGCAAGCCATACAAAGGCTGAAAAAATCGACTTTGGGTGAGGGCCTCAGCACAACAGGACTTGATACCTCATCACTTTGGAACATGATTTTTGTGCACCAAACAAATGCTGCTGTCAGATTCATGAGGCTTAATAACCTCTAGAACAAGTCCTATCTTGAGCCAGGCAGGTCATGTGAAGGCTGAAAAAAATCAATCTTAGAGGGTGATGTAGCATGATAGGGGTGTTCAACTTTTGAAAATGATTTATACACAAGAAATGGGCATGCCCACTCGATTTATATGGTTCAATAACTTCAGAAACAAGTTCAAGATCAAGCCATGTGAGTCATATGAAGTCTAGAAAAATCAGTCTTGGAGGGAAAGGCAGCATGACATAGTTGGTCAACTTTGGAACATGATTTTTTTGGACAAACTGAGCATTACCAGTGCATTCAGGGGCTTCATAATCTTAAGAAAGAGTCCTAGTTAAAGTCAGACAAGACAGATGAAGGCTGAAAAACTCGAGCTTGGAGTGGGGCATCATGACAGGGGTAGTGAAAACAGCACTGGAGATGTTTGAGGTCAATCAGTCTCAAAAAAGAGAAGAAAGAGGTGGATGGTTTGCCATATTCTATATTCTTCCCATTATATTGCCTTTGAATCTCATCATAGAATAATTGGAGCCAAATCACAAGGATTTAGGGTGACATACTCATGACTGTACCTATGACTGTATCTACACCCACACAGTGGCCTGAAGTGCTGCATTTTCTATGGATCTATCCTCTCATTTGTACTATAGTAGTATATAGGGTGTCAGAGGAAGTGTAGTGAGTATTATCATTGGTCACTGTATCATTCAGCCTAAAGGTAAGATAAATCTCATGTCTATGAATTTTCTACTTCTAATAATAAGCCAGAATGTGTAATGCCATCATATTTCTTCCTCTCACTTTACCTGACATTTCTTATATATGCAAATATGCAAAATTTCATCAAGTTTCTTCCAATGACAAGATGTGGTCTTGTTTGACACTGATTATGGAAGCAAAAATGCGGTCAACTTGAACCAAAAATTTTCTCTTTCTTTCTTTCTTCTCACTCACTCACTTATTTACTTATTTACTTACTCATTTAATCCTGTCACTATCTTTACTTTGTACTTTACTTATGAACCTGGGGCTTATGTTGGTGTCACCCTTCCATGAGGGTCCTACCATTGATTATGGTAGCAACATTTTTCGCTTCTGAGGGTTTTTTTACTTGTTATTTTACTTTACTTCTGGGCCTGAGAGCTTTTGTTGGTCTCACCCTTCTATGGGGGTACCACCATTGATTATGGTGCCAGCATATTTCGCTTCTGGGATCTTTTTTTTACTTTTTACTTTACTGATGGACCTGGGGCTTATGTTGGTGTCACCCTTCCATGAGGGTCCTACCATTGATTATGGTGCCAACAAATTTTGGTTCTCAGGTTTTTTTTGACTTTTTACTTTACTTTCCTTGTAAATCTGAGAGCTTATATTGGTGTCATTCTTCTATGATGGTATTACCATTGATAATGGTGCCAGCATATTTCACTCCTGGAGGCTTTTGATGTTGTCATTCTGGAGGCTTTATTGTTTGCATCTTTATTAATGATAATAATAGTAGACCCTAATAAGACTAATAAATTTCGCTTTGAAGGATTTTGTTATTGGTGTCCCCCACTATGTGGGTCAAACCATTATTATAATGATTAATTGTCGTTAGGGAAGGCATTGTGTGTTGATATCACCCTACATGAGTGTCTAAGTGTTAACTTACATCAGCCCAAAAGACTCTGAGATTATCTTCAATCTATTTATATGACTGTAAAATACTGGGAATGCACTTTTATGCATTATACATTGGTATTCATATAAAATAATGTCTCTGGATGTAATAGGTGGATAGAGGGGGTAGCATGACTTTGGAGTATGATTTTTTTAGACCAAACAAGTGTTACCAACAGATTCATAGGGCTAATAATATCAGAAACAAGTTCTATTTGAAGCCAGGCAAGTCATATAAAAGCTGAACAAATCAATCATTGGGTTAGGAAGTGACACTGACACTCGTTACATAAGCAAAAGCCAGAAATGCACAATGCTAGAATGCTATTCCTCTCCATCTCTGTCTGTCCTGATGACTGTCTTCATATCATGATCTAATTATCTCTTGGGTGGTCAACCTATTGTAATGGGGAGTAACCCTTATGTGAATTCAATGTCATTGAACATTAATTCTCTGGTTGTTGTTCCGTCAGATATGCAGTCATATTCCATTATTTATCCACATATCCAACAGGACAGTCTAGATGCTAACCACTAGATATCTCAGTTCACCTTGCAGTTGCAGATTCTACAATGGAATAGTTTGACTAGCCAATCCTCTTCATCAATCACTGTATACTAGTGCCAAGCAATAGACAAAAGTTCACTGGCTCAGTGAATGGGCGCTTTAGGTTAGTTTGACATTTGAGACTCGATATGAGTCAAGGAGCTATCTGGTGGGCTGAAAAAGCTGTAACTAGGGAATGCTAACTCAAAGAATGGGAAGCAACTCTTCTGCTGACCGGTAAACTTGATTTTTTGAACCACCATATTCTGCTCTCTCTCTTGTCAAACCCCACCCAGAAAAGAGTTTACCACCCAGTTGACTAATTACAATTAATAACAACTCTAGTGCGCTTCACCTGGGGCTCAATAGCCTTACAGAAGTACTTATCCTTGCAGATGATGATCTGATATCTGATGACAGCGAATCCTTCACACTCAAGCTGTAATGATGCTTGATTTTCTACTGTGGGGTTGAGTTGGCTGGACAATCCTTCTTCTATGAAGAAAGGTGTTGACTGCACAGAAAGCATTACCTGACTTTAGTGTTGCCACAAAGCGAACTGAAGCGAACTGAAGTGGAAATTGGACACACTTCGTTAGACTTTGATGTGAATGAAGTTAGTTGAAGTGCGCTTTATTCCACCTCGCGAAGTCACCAATAGGCAGGAAAACTTGCAGCAATAATAAATCAATCAAATGTAGCTAGTAGCTACAGTATAATCTAAGACTAAGCTTCCTCATTTTCATTTGTGAGTAGCTGAGCAAGTTCGTCGAGCTTGCCTGCTGCCATGAGCTCGTCTATGGTGTTCCTAGACACAGGCCCTGAAATATTGTAATCCATTTCTTCCACAACCACATGTGACGTGAAATTCAGCTGGTCTTGCTTGTAAGAGAACTTGAGG